GGGTCTTCAGCAGCGAGACGCCCTCGAGCGAGGTCAACGGCCAGCACCAGTACGACCCGAGCAAGAGCAGCACCTCCAAGGTCAAGTCGGGCTACACCTGGTCCATCTCGTACGGCGACGGCAGCTCGTCGAGCGGCAACATTTACACCGACGCCGTCAACATTGGCGGCGTGACCGTCCCCAACCAGGCCGTCGAGCTCGCCAAGTCGGTGTCGTCGACCTTTTCGTCCGACAGCGCCGTCGACGGCCTGGTCGGTCTGGGCTTCGACAGCCTCAACACGGCCTCGCCCAGCGCCGTCAACACCTTCTTTGACAACGCCGCGAGCCAGCTGGACGCGCCCCTCTTCACGGCCGACCTGAAGCACAACGAGCCCGGCTCCTACGACTTTGGCTTCATCGACTCGTCGCTCTACACGGGCGACATCACCTACGTGCCCGTCAACACCAACCCGGGCTACTGGACCTTTACGTCGTCGGGCTACTCCGTCGGCTCGGGCTCGTTCTCGTCGAGCTCCATCACCGGCATTGCCGACACCGGCACCACCCTGCTGTACCTGGACCTGGCCATCGTCAAGGCCTACTACGCCAAGGTCAGCGGCGCCTCCAACAGCAACACCTACGGCGGCTACGTCTTCCCCTGCAGCGCCACCCTGCCCTCCTTCACGTTCGGCGTCGACTCGGCCCGCATCACCATCCCCGGCGACTACATCAACTACGGCCCCGTGTCGTCCGGCTCCAAGACGTGCTTCGGCGGTCTGCAGGACAGCTCCAGCATTGGCATCAACATCTTTGGCGACGTCGCCCTGAAGGCTGCCTTTGTCGTCTTCAACGGCGGCAGCTCCCCGACTCTGGGCTGGGCCTCCAAGAACCTGTAAGCGGCCAACGTGTCGACTGCAGTTCGGCACACGCTGTCAAGTTGCCCGGTGCTAGTCACGATGGCGACGGACGACAGCAGATGACAGCAAGAAGGATGGATGGCTTGAGACAACGAGGATGGTGGAGGACAAGAACACAACAAAAAAAACCACTGGCTGCGATGCATTTTACACCGCACTTTCTGTACATAGTTTTCGCCTTTGGTTCTTGGTAAATATGTTGAGGGGAAACGTGAGAGGATTTGGTGTAGCCACAAGGGAGGTTCGATTCGTATTCAAATTTACTTTTGAATTTACATTATCTCAACGGGATTCACTGTTTGTGCCCGCTCCTCGCGAATTGTTCTCAAACGGCGGTGAGTCTAGATGTGTATTGTTAGTCACTGTGGGCAGTGACAAAAAGGATGGGCATCGTTCACGTACCTCCTCAGACCCTCTTAGAGTCTTCTTTGGCTGGCTAATGACGAGCCGAAACTGCCCTTCCGTCCCGGCATGCTCTTCGCACGGATGCACACCGACGCAGCCGTCCAGCAGTCGTTGGGCCAGGGCAAACTCGCGGTGGGCCGGTGGCTTCGTTGCGGGCAGGCAGCAAAGCGGCAGATGCATAAAGATGAAGAAGCCGGCATTCCTCGTCAGCACAAAGTAGAAGAGAGCGCCGGGGGGTCGGCAATAAGGTGAGAACGCGAACAATGGCGTGGACGATGGGGCTCACCCTCGCTCGTACTGGATGTCCACGATATATTCTGGTAGTCGACGAAGCTTGACGTATTTTCCCTTGACGTATTATCCACGGAACCGAAAACTTTTACAAGTTGATTCTTTGCTCATTTCAACTCGTCGAACATCTTATGGAGAGCAGGGTCCTCGTAGATTGTGGTTATGTTTATGTTGGCCATTTTTGCCGGCACGTTTGCTGTTCTTGTTCCTAACAACAAACTGGATATGCGCTGAACTTCCTTACGTTCGATCCCGTAGCGTAGACCTTACAAGTCGACCTTCAAAGTCTCGTTACAAGTCTCGTTACGGTAGTGGTTCCAATAAGCACTGTCTCTAGGATCCCTTGATTGCATAACGCTCCTTTTACGGGACGCTCTTTAAGAGCTGGAAAGCTGTCGATCGGCGTAGAAGGCCTAGGAGGATGCCAAACTCGAGCCCATAGAATTTGTCAAGGCTCCGTCACAGACAACTTGTTTAAACTGTCGTCATTTGCTTGTTAGATCTCAACTGCCTGGTGTCATTTGAGGCAGTGTGCTTGACTACACCCCCTGACGACAGCTAACGAGAAGCCATTCTTCTCAAATAATAAGACTTCCTTCTTTCTTTCGCAAAGAAGGGGTAAGAATTGGTCTTTATTTTAATACAAACCTACCTTCGCTCTCGATTCTATTACTATTCTTTAACCAGTACTATTGTGAAGATCTGTCGAGCCAGCAATCATAACATTAAAGGTGAGGAGACTACGGTTGTAATCTAACTTTCAATCTTTTTTAAGGAATTTGTATTTATTTATTTCGTAAATTCGTTGAATTATATTGAACATTAAGACAAGGTCATTCTTGCAAGGACTCGACAGGCGGGAAAGAAGGCAATTTAAGGAGACTTGTATTAACAAAATACACAGACACGCACACGATCTAACATAGCATTACGACATCTCGGCTCGGTGAAAGACACAGCCCTATCTGGACCCCTTCAGCTTGCTCCACAGCCCAGTCGACCTCTTCTCCTGTGCAGGTGGCGCCGGTGCCGGCATGATCTGCACCGCGCGCGACGGCCGTGTTGCCAGCAAGGCCCACTGCCGCAGGCACCACAGCGCCACGAGGGCGTCGCGGTGCTGCCGCGTCAGCGCCGTCGTGATCACCAGCCGCGGCAGCGCACCGTCACCGTCACCGTCACCGTCGCCGCCGCCGCCGCCGTACTCGAGCGCCACGCTCGCGGGGTCTTTGGGGTCGGTGGCCGCATGCTTGGCGTCGTGGCCCTTGTAGTACTTGTTGTCCTTGTCGTAGCGGAACCGGCCGTCGCGGGCGTCTTGCGCGACGTAGGCCTCGACCCATTTGGCGCGGCACGCCGCGGCGCCCTGTCCCTTGGTCCGCCGCGCCTCCCACAAGGCCACGCCGCCGGGCGTCGTGTACGGCGACGGCGGCCGGATGGCGGCCGACGTCGCGCCGTCGTTGTCGATGTCGTAGTCGATGTCGTCGTAGCGGAACGGTAGGGCCGTCCAGGTGTCGGCGGCAGCCAGCGCCGCGAGCGAGGGCGCCGACCACGACGGCATCACGGCCAACGCCGACGGCGCCGCACCGGCGACGAAGCCCAGGAGGCCCAGCCGGCGCGTGGGGCCGGCCGTCGGCTGCAGACAACAGTAGTCGGCGGCGGCGCCAAACACGTCGAGCGGCGGGCCGCCGAGCTGCGCGCCGTGGCGCAGATTGTAAATGTGGCGCGGCTTGCGCTGCGCCGGGTCGGACGCCTTGGGCTCCATGCGGGAAAACGCATTGTGCGTGGGCGGCGGCAGGGCCAGCGAGAACGACGGGCCGGGACGCTGCGGCACGGCGGCCGTGAGCGGCGCCCCGAGCGTGTAGACGGGCGTGCGCTGTGGGTCGGTAGCACTGTACATGACGGCGCCGTCCAGCACAAAAACAGCGGGCGGCAAGACGTCGTCGGGAGCAAAACGGTGGCTGGTCCCGTCGCCGACGTCGAGCATAGATGGAAGAGATGCCGGGGGTGCCGTCTTCCCCGTGGCCGTCCTTGGTGGACTGCTGGCCGGCTCATAGGCTGGTAGACGTGATGGTCCTGCTACTGCGTCTGGTTCTGAACGCGGTTCTGGCCGCTCCGAGTACTGCGGCAGAGTCTCCTCCTCTTCCTCAGGCGGGCGTGCATATGCACTTTCCGCTGGAGGAGCGCCCATGGCTGCTGACAGTGGTCGCGTGTAGGTGTCAGTCGACAATGTGAGGCACGAAAAGGCAAAGATCGTCGCGATGTCGGCAGACGAAACTTTGTGTCGATCGATCGTATGCTCCCGATCTAGCTATGTGTGCGCTCTGTGTGGGCGGGTTCAAGTCGCGATTGTAATTGAAAATGCGACACTTGAATGGCTCGTGTGATTCTGTCCATGTGCGATGGTGGTGCCCAACTGACTGACTGGTCGGCTAAGGCCGACGTCACGACGTCACAATTCAATTTCACGCTTTTCCGCAGAAGACACTCGGCCGAGCCAAGCGAAAGTTGGGGTGGCTTGCTCCATTGTGGCATTGTCCCGCTCCAACCATTCAGTTAGAATACATTCTGCGTAAGTTTGCCTTCAAAATTGTAAAGACGTTGACAAGATGTGACAAAATGCGAAATACTTTACGTTGAAGTGGATGAAAATGTCACAAACCAAATTTCTCCAAGTGGAAAAGACCATGGATGCAAGGACGCCAACTTCGATGACGATCTCCCGAGCTCTAGGGTATCTTCCTAATAGCGATCCCCAAGGGAAGGGACAAGAAGGTTTGAGATCGTGACCGAGACGCTCCGTATCGACCATCCCATAATGCGATCATTTGAGACGCCCATAGGCCTGGACGTTTTATTGTCTTCTGTTGTCCTGGCGCTCCCACTCTTATTTGGACGCCCTTCATGGCGAGAGTCGGTGACACAAACAATACACATCGTGTTGAACAGATAGAAATAGAACAATTGCATATTATTATGTGAGAATATATTAATATATACACTAAACAGTTCAACCACAGACATGGATGAAGCCTTTGTAGGGACAGTGACGCCCAGTCGATGTTTGCACGGGTGTGGCGACAGGAGGGCGAGCTGGATATGGGTACTCGATTGAGTTGGGAGTGAGAGTAGACGGTTTATGAATTGCACACGAATTGTGACAAAATCGTAAATCGTAAATATTAATGAAATGCATTTTCCAAAACTATAAAAACATGATGCTATTGGAACACTGTAAGATGAGTTTGCGTATGCAAGGTATTATGTAAATGATAAATGGCGACCTAAACCATTCTGTCACGTAGTTTCGTTTCTCTTTCTTCTTTTATCTTTTATAGCTCATTGAGAGAAAAAGGAGAGCATCCGAGAATGCTTGCTCGCCGCGCTCGCAACCACAGCGCGCACTTCATCTACTCAATTAGTGGTTCCCAGGACGCCCTCGTTCGGGTTGCCTCTGGCGCTGTTGACGTGCTCGGTCTCGGCCTCCAGGTCGGTACCGGCGGCCTTGCGGATCTTGGCAATCTCCTTGGCCGGCGGCGCCACCCACTTGGCGCTCTTGCGGGGGTTGACGCGCTCCAGGTACATGGTGTCAATCTCCTCGAGGGTGCGGCCCTGGGACTCCATGACGAAGAAGTAGACAATGAGGCCGCCGATGATGTTGGTGCCGGCAAAGACGTAGCCGTAGCGGAAGTCGATGGCGCCGGTGATGAAGGGCGTGAAGAAGGCGAGCAAGAAGTTCCAGAGCCAGTTGGAGGCGGTCGACATGGCCATGCCCTGGGCGCGGTAGCGCGAGGGGAAGAGCTCGGCCATGAGGGTCCAGATCATGGGGCCCCAGGTGGTGGCGAAGCCCAGGATGAAGAAGCAGGCAAAGACGATGAGGGCGACGCCGGCCGGGCGCGTCTGCTGGGGCGCGTCGCGGTTGAGCGCAAAGTGGCCGACGGACGCAAAGATGAGGAAGCAGATGAACATCCAGATGCTGCCGGTAATGAGCGAGCGGCGACGGCCAAAGTGCTCGACGAGGTACAGGCCGATAAAGGTGACGAGGAAGTTGATAGTGTTGAGGATGATCTGCGTAATGTAGGAGTCGATGTTGACGGACTGGAAAATGGTCGTGCCGTAGTAGAAGAAGTAGTTGGCACCCGTCAGCTGCTGGAACATCTGCAGGCTGACGCCCAGCAGGATGCGGTAGGCCATGCGGGGGGCGCGCCACATCTTGACAAACTCCTGGACGGCGTTGCCGTTCTTGATGGCCTCCTCGGCGCGCAGCTTGGTCTCAATCTCCTCAATCTGCGTCACGATGGACCAGTGGTTGGGCGGGGCGCCGTAGACGCTGCACAGGGTGTCGCGGGCGCGGTCGTAGTGGCCGCGGGAGTAGTCGTACCGGGGGGTCTCGGGGAAGAGCAGGATGCCGAGGCCGAGGACCAGGGCAAAGAGGAAGCCGATGCCGATGACGATGCGCCACGAGGCGGTGCTGTTGGCCAGGTGGGAGACGGTGCCGTAGTTGAAGGTGGCGGCCAAAAAGATGCCAAATGTGATGAACAGCTGGTAGGTGCAGACCATGGCGCCGCGAATCCATGGCGGCGCGGTCTCGGCCTGGTACATGGGCACGAGCAGCGACAGGGCGCCGACGCCCAGACCCGTGACCCAGCGGCCCATCATGACCTGGATCCACGACTGGCTGGCGGAGATCTGGATGATGAAGCCCACGCTGGTCATGAGGCTCCAGAAGGAGATGCTGTACTTGCGGCCGACGCGGTCGGCAATGGGGGCGGCCAGCAGGGCACCAATGAGGGTGCCGATGGACAGCATGCCGACAATCAGGCCGGAGCGCACGTTGCTAAAGTAGGGCTTGCCGGCGGCGTCGACCTGGCCGAAGCGCTGCAGGTAGTCGGGCATCTCGAGGAAGCCAGAGATCTGGCCGGTGTCGTAGCCAAAGAGCAGACCGCCCATGGACACGAAGAGGGCCAGCAGGAGAGAGCGGCCGGTGATGCGCCGGAGGGGCGAGTAGTCGAGGGCGTCGGAGGGCGGCTGGTTGCGGTCCCATTTTTCCGAGTTGGGGTTGTGGTTGTCAAACGGGACGGTCAAGGAGACCCAATTGGACAACATGATGGCGGTTCTGCGGTTCTGCGCAGTCGGTGTCAAAGTAGAGGTGGTGGTTAGAGTTGGTGATAGATGTTGAAAAGGGGGGGGAAAGTAAATAAAAGAAATAGAAGCCGGATGGGAAGGTGCGATGGCAAAGCCAACAAATTGCTCCGTGCTAATCCAGGAAAGAGCTATTCAAAAACACAGAAAACAGAAAAAAAGGAAAGACCCACGAGGACCGGCGCTGAGTCTATATATACGAGGTGAATGGGAAAGAAGGTGAACGGGAAGGAGCGACTGCCGAAAAAGGAAACGACGAGCAGGAATCAAGAAAACGGGCGACTTCACGACTAGTGTACCGTCTCCACCTACGTCAGAATGCCTTTGCGTAGATGCGCACTGCCGGCGCGGTCGACGGTAGTCCGGCTTTGGGACTTAGTCAGGGTGTTTTGTGGGGAACGCTTGCTGGCGTGCACGCCGGGCCTTGTGCAATACAGCGCAAACGGCTTCCTCGGCCTCGCCAGGTCGCGTAGGGGCGTGACCAGTGATTTGGTGCATTTTGGTGGGTTTTGGTCATTTTGGTGGGTTTTAGGCCTGCTTTCGTCGCCTCAGGGAAGGCGCCGGCAGTGTGAATCGGACCGCCTATGGGTCAGGTGCCGGGTCTAGCTTCTCAGGTTTCTTGGTTTCTTTCAGGGCTTCGGGGTGTCCTGGCCTGGAGGCGTCCTACAGACTTCGCTGCTCGAGCTGGTCCCTATTTTCTTTCTTTTCTTTTCTTCTGTCTGATTTTCTTGTTTTTGGCAGGCGGTGCAGTTGACGTAATTGGTCTATTTCGCCGAGTTCATTTCGTTCATCCAGTTCATCTGTTATCTGTTCATCCAGTTGACAATGTACAAAGTACTGCTTTGCCTCCTTGACCACCTTGCCTCTGCGTGTTGGGCCCCGCGTCTGGGGCGGCGACCGACAGCAGGAGTACTCCGTAACACGACACATGGGACATGTCAGGGCGGAGGGTGGAGGGCGACGGGCAGATGGCGGAGGTACATGGAGAAAGAAACACGGCCAGCATACGGGACGACAGAGCAAGATACGAATGCGTGGAGAACCAAGGAGGCTCGGAGGCAAATGGAGAAGATGGAGGCCCGTGGATGGAGGCGATTGGAGACGATTGGAGATTAATTGGGGACAATTGGAGATGGACGGAGATGGATGGACAGAGTGGGAGAGTGGGCACAGAAGATGGGCAAAAAAGATGGACCAAAATGGACCAAAATGGACCAAAATGGGACCAGACGACGCGAGACGCTCCGCAGCAGAAGCAGAAACGGACCGAATCTGGAGATGCTGCAGGTGATGGAGAGGAGAGATGGTGAGATGAACAAGGCCCGCGACATCAAGACGAGACGAGAGCAGGAGAAAAAGAAAAAAAGAAAACGGGCACGGAAGGGAAAACGTATGATGCACGTCGGGCGGCGGGCATGGCCGAGGCGAACGGGACAAGGAAGAAGTCGACAAAACAAACTCGCCAGATTCCAAATGGACCAGGGCAAGGAGAACACAGAAAACACGACAGCTGCGGCTGTGCCTTGGCAAGTCACAGTCGAGGTGCGCAATGCATCTCTTGATTTTCTATTTTGCTGTTTTACGCCCCTCGCGCCTCCTGCCCGTCGTCGACGTCGTCGACGTCGTCGACGTGTGGTCTCCATAGTCGTACGAAGTACAGAATATGTCGTCAACATTCTTGACGGCAACGCCGTTGTGCCTTCTTTGGCCTTTTTGCCCCTGCGCCCACGACGGGGCCTTGCGTCGTATATTACACGCAACTAGCCAATGGCGGCTTTTGTTGAGATCCACTCCCGCGCAAAACCAACAACACGAACAAAACCAACGACGTCAATCTGACCAAGCATCCACTTTTGGTGGGGCTTAAAACGAATAAAAAAGAAAAGGTTGGACGCCAGACACCGTAAAACAGCACAGCCAAGAGAACAGGGCAACCACACCATCACTTTCACGAGTGGATGATACCTCACGTGTATTCGTATCCTGTCTTTCTTCCCATGTCCTTCCACCGTTCGTTTTCCTCACCAACCGTTGTAGTCTGGGGTCATCTGGGGCATTAGTCCTTGAACACATCACTGGCCTTCAAGATGTATCTGTCAAAATTAAGTACGGGCGTGTATGTCTCTCGTTAACCCATTTTTCGTTTAATAAAATTAACGGTTGCGTTTATAACGGCTCGTACGAGCCGCCTTTTTCGTCTTTTCATCTAATTTCAATGATTAATAGCGCCTTTTTGGCTCGCATTTCTCGCTGGTCCCGTCCAAGCCCTCTTGCCTCAAGTTCGCCCTTGGCTTGGTCAATGGTTGTAGAACTGAACTGCTAAGCCGGAGCAGTGTGTGTCGAGCGATGCAGGAAGGATGTTCAGAGCGAAGAGCGAAGAGCGACGAGCGAGCATCTCCAGGCCTGCCTCGGGGCGGCAAATGCCCGAGTACAGCCGGTTTCTTTGTTATGGCCCCCCCGAATAGTCATCACAGCCGCCGCTGGGACAAAATGCCGCTGTTCCTTTCCGGGACAGCAAGATATACGGGTCCAGGGCACGGGATGAGCAGACTGCACGACATACGAACGACTGAATACTCTGTATTTTAGGGTTTGTTGTCGTTCGCTGACACTGTACTCACGCACGAACACGACCCAGCACTCCCCAGTTTCGGTGCCGAAAGCGTATGAACAAGCCCTGGAATGTGTCTTGTCTTGGATTTGACAGTCTGCAAATCCCACCACAAACCTCTGCGACCGCAATCATCGACTGAGACAGTCTTTGAATTATTTTGGGTGGCTCCCGAGGCGGAAGTAGAGATTGTGCTCCCAAAAGTCCCAAAAGTCCCAAAAGGCCCAGAAATCCCAGAAATCCCAAAATGGACCGATCGCCACCATCATACTGCGATCGGCGCACCGAGAGGTCCACCGTTACGCCGGTGGGTCTAGCCGGATTCGGTGAACAACTTGTAAGTGCGGCGCCGAGGGCCACTGGCGGAAGCAGTGAGCAGCACAGATGCGTCGACCTGAGAAACACAGTAAAATTACGCAAAACCAAATGAGAAGCCACAATCACGACGCACTATACAGAGTACTACAAACAAAACAATAGTATTGTTTGAGCGCCTAGAATGGCATTGTACTGTCGTTCCTATTTTCCTTTTTCTTCTTGGTTACAAAATAAACTCATTCATTTAATGAATCTGACCTTCAAGAACAGCATTCGGGCCGTATGTGTATCCAGTTTATCCTTCCCCGTTACTCCCTTTTACCATGTCGTTGTCGTCTGGGTCGTCTGGGGTATTTTGAGAATGGTATGAACCGCTCCCCTTATTATGCCGACTGACTCCAAGGTCTACGATGTATGCACATGTCACATCCCCTCGCAGGATGTACCTCTGACCAATTGATACTTGTGCTCGTATCCCGACAGGAGCGTCGTCTCCTTCCGGTTTGGAACAATACCGCCGACTCGGTGCGTATGTACTATACTAGTACAGAGCCAGTGTCTGGAATGACGATGTGCGGGCGGGTCGCATGAGAATGGCGATTAAGACATTTTATGGCCAAAGGTTACGAAGCTTTCTGAATTCTCATTCTCGCGCCGTCGCTCTACTGCTCAACACTCTCCTTCCGCTTCGTTCGTGCCTCGGCCCGCCGCCGCCTGTCCGACCCCGTGCCGCGCCGTCGCCAGCACCAAAGTTGGGGGGCGAGTAGTCGAGTCGGCGGTGGCACAACGACGGCGTCGACCCGATCGACCGGATGGATCGACCGGGCGGACCGACTCCAGCGCGTGCATCGGCACGGCTTCCACGGCACTGTCCCCATGATGGCGGTGGAGGTTGCAGTGCAGTGATTGTAATGATGTGACGGTTCATACTGTGGCGTTGCAAATAAACCCCTCCTGGGGAGCAATGGAGGTCGAATACACCGCCAAAGCCAACCATGGTAACGACTGCCATATGACGCCTCAGACCCTACCGGCTCCAACACGGTGCAAGAGCCACAGCAGCCGTTGTGCGGCACCAAAAGATCCCACGATTGGTCCAGCCCAGCTGTTGCGTTCGGGACGATTCGTCGGAAGATGTTAGTGGAGACGGGCAGCTTCGTTAGCGTCTATTCGGTCTGCAGGTCCCCTAAACAGCGGCCGCGAGACTTATCGAGATCAGGCCCACTTTCAGTCATTGCATCGCTGCCCTTCTCTACAAGTACCGCCAACGGCTCACTACAAATGGAACCTGTCGACACGTTGACCCTCGTCAGGGATAGCCAAACGTGTGTTAGCCAGAGCCGCAGTGATGTGATCGTGTGCCAGTCCGTCTTGTTGTCGGGTATCCCGCCGCGAGTGTCCACTGTATTTCCAGGTCCCTTCCTGTCACTAAGGCACTGTAATGCCGCTACAGTGCTAAGCCAGAAATGGTAACTAACATGGCCAGCGCGAGGGAAGATGAAGATGATAAATGAAATAAATCATTTGTTTACAATACTCTCGCAACTCCTCCATGCAGCGTAGTTGTGTTCAGTGGTCTGTGATGGCATGTATGCAGAGCAGAGCTTAGCAGGTTGGGGGCCGTGGCCTGGAAAGTTGGGCGGCAACGGGAACCAATCCGAAGGACAGTAAAGAGAAAAGAGAAAAGAGAAAAGAGAAAAGAGAAAAGAGACGAGAGAACGTCACCCTGAGACTGCCGTCCCAATGTCTCTGTGAATTCAAACTGAACAGCCACCAACACGTTCACCCTCCTCCTCCGTTCCATTCAGACAATGTGGAGGAGCCGGCTGCCCAGTCGGTCCTTGCGCCTGTCTCTGTCTCTGTCCTGCCGCGCAATGTCGTCCTCCTCCTCACCGCCACGGCCACCGGCCACCACCCAGGCAACGAAAGGGTGCCGGCCGCGCGTGTTTCCCACCAGCGGCTTCGAGCTCATTGATCCTGGCCAGCTGGTGGAAGAGGAGAGGCTGCCGACGTACGACCGCGCCGCGTACTATCCGATGCACCTGGGCGACATTGTCGGCGGCCACTTTCAGGTCGTCGCCAAGCTCGGCTACGGCACGACGTCGACCGTCTGGCTGGCCCGCGATCTCAAGTAGGTTGTCCACGATGCGTTGCGGCTGCACAGCTGCACAGCTGCACATGTGTACAGTTGTACAGCTGCACAGCCGTGTACTAACGGCCGCAGCAAAGAACGGGTGTTCAAAGCCCTCAAGGTCCACACCCACACGGCGCCCTTTCACCACGAGCTCTCCATCTACGAACATCTCCAGAAACCCATCGAGCAGGAGATGGAGGAAGACCACCCGCACCCCGGGCGCGACCATGTCCGCCAGCTGGATGAAATGTTCTTTGTCGACGGCCCGCACGGCCGACACGCTGTGTTTGTCATGGCGCCGCTGGGCATGAGCATGGCGACCATGCAGGCGATGCACCGAGCGCACGTGTTCCCGCCGGCCATGGTCGCCAAGGCCATCAGCCAGACGCTGCTCGGCCTGGCGCTGCTGCACGGCGGCGATATTGTCCACACGGATCTCCACGCCGACAACGTCCTGGTCGCCATGACGGACGACTCGATTTTGTCGACGATGGAAGACAGCGAGGCCGCCAACAAGCCGTCGGCGCGGAAAGTCGTCGACCGCGACACGACCATCTACACCTCGCGCTACGTCCTGGGCGGCGCCGGGCCGCTCACCATCAGCGACCTCGGCCAGGCCAGCATCGGCCGCGAGCTCGCGGGCCACGCCATGCCGACACAGTACCGCGCGCCCGAGGTCATTCTCGACATGACATGGGGCATGTCCGTCGACATTTGGAGCACGGGGCTGCTGGTGAGTCATGTACTGAAGAACATGGAAATCATAAAATACACAGACACTGACATCCGCAGGCCTGGGCTCTGCTCGAGCCAGACAATCGTTTTGACGTCTACGACAAGGACTCGCCGGAGCGCAACAATGCACACCACCTGGCCGCCCTGACGGCCCTGCTGGGCCCGCCGCCCAAAGCGTTCGTGGAGCGCAGCAGCGCGTGCGCCCAATACTGGGACGCAGACGGCCACTGGCACGGCCCTGTGCCTCTTCCGCCCGCCAAGCCGCTGGCCGACCGCGTGACGGCCGATGTGGGCGATGCCAAGCAAAAGGCCCTGTTTGTCGACTTTCTCGAGTGTTTCCTGCAGTGGCTGCCGGACGAGCGGCTCAAGGCGGCGCAAATCTACTTTCATCCATGGTTGCGGGGCTTCGATGAGGTATGAGGTGTGAGGTGTGAGGTAGGATACCGCATAACAGTTGCCGTGTACCACGCTAGACATACTCCACTTAACGCTCGTCTTGTACGTACGGCCATAGATACAGGACAATACGGGATCCCGTCCGCTCTCCCCTAGTCAAACCTGTAATCGGCGGATTAGTAGTTGGGTCGGTGACGACCAGCGAATACCCGCTGCTGTACGTTTTTTTTTGTGATGCGTAGTGCTCATGTTTTGATGCGTACATGACTTGCTGTCGTGTATGCTTCTTCGACGGGCTTACAAGTTCTTGCTCTCGATAATCGTGGTCAAGGACGCGCCCAGATCGGCAAACCCCTGTATCGTGCCGAGTTGGGCGATGAGGTACGCCACGTCGCGAGACATGCTAAACACGAAGCGTTAGCGGAGTTGCCACATGCACGGCATACAGTGATCACTGATATTCATCCGTTCTTACCTTGCTTTGCCGGCGTCCGTCTTGGGGTCCGCCGCCTGGAACGCCTCGCTCAGCTGCTCCTTGTAGCCGGCAACGACCGGCACCATGACCAGCTCGACCTCGCGTGCCGGCCAGTACTTGTCCAGAACCGTGTAGAGCTTGTTCATGTCCCGGACCAGGTCGGCCATATACGCCCGCACGTCCTGAGTGCTGCTCGCCTCTGCATCCCAGTCGGTCTGGCGCGCGTTGGTAGGCAGCACCAGCGCACGGGACGCCATGATGTCGGCCAGTTTTTGGCGGATGGCGTCCTGGTGCTCCTCAAAGGCCCGCTGCACCTTGTCGAACTCGCCCGCTGAGCCACCGTCGGTCGGGGCGGGGATGGGACGATGGCGCCGGACACACGCGCGCAGGTACGGAAGCAACGCAGCGACAAAGGCCATGGCGCGCGACACAAGGGCCAGGTGGGACGTCTTGATGTTGCGGAGACCCACCGTGCGCAATGCGCCGGCGCCCAGGACCAGCTGACGGCCCCGGGCGTCAAACATCCGAAGGTACGCAGCGAGCGACAGTGAAACATCTGGCGTCCTCGTCGATGAAAGGTTACACAGGAGGCGAAGATAGCGCGACACACCTGCAAGGCAGACGAGAGCCGAGCGCGGCACGAAGAACGTGTCGTTTCCCACGACCATAGGTCCTCGGGCCGCCGCATCTCCCGCATCGCCAGCAGCATCCGTATCACCCACTGTGCTTCCGTCGGGCGTCCCGTTCTGGACGGGCGGCACGGCCCATGGAGCCGGGTCAGACGCGCTGGAGGCGAGAATCTGCTGCAGCATCGCCCGGTCCTTGGCCGTGCCGTCCTGGACTTGCCAACGGTCAGCGTCCATGGCCTGGGTGAGGGCCTGTATTTCTCGGTCGTGGTGGGCAGCGACAAAGTCGTGGATGTGGCTGTCGAGACTGGCCTGGAGTGATGATGCTCCGGCCCGTCCCGCGACGGCCTCGCATGCGTCGCCAAAGAGCCGCGTGAGCGCAACGTAACGGAGGAAGTCGTCCAGCGGCAAGCGCGTGGACTGCTCCGACCGGACGCGGAGGATCTTGCTGATGCTTTCGTGGCTGGCGTCCACCGCGTCTCCCAAGAGGCCAGGGAGATTCAACGCCATGTGCATCTCCTGTTGCCTCTCCGATCGCACGTCGTTTGCTTCTCCAGCATCGGCGGCCTCCTGGGCCTCCTGCATCGTGTAGGCGACATCAAGAAGGATACCGGCTTGTGTTTGGAGCCGCCGGAGCGTCTCTGTGACGCCGATGAAGATGGACGCCAAGAGCCTCTCGGCTTCGACGGCGTCCAGAGCGCGGATGCTTCGCGCGAGCATCGTCGACTTCTCCTCGTTTGTGCGTGACCGGGCCGTGCCGGCCGTGGACGTGGGAGCAGCAGAGTCGGCATCGTCGGCCGAGCGCGGAAGTGGTCTGCGTAGCACGTCTCGGATCTCTCGAAGCACCTGCTCACGATACGACCGAATGGCCGACGCCAAGGCTTTTGATCGATACAGGCCTCGAATAGCAGGGGACAGTGCCTCCCGCAGCTCGTTGGTCATGTGCGTCGAAGCAGGGGCGTCCGCGAGCGCCTGTGATTGGCGTCCTTTGGCTCTTTCACGTTGCCATGCCGCTCCCCACCGCACGAGGACGCTGTCGGTCGATACAGATTGGACGTGCTGCCGGAGGTCGCCAACAAGCGTCTCCACGGCCCGTTTCTCAAACGCCTTGCCGATGCGAGACCGGAGGACAGACAGGTCACGCAGTGGCCCTTGCAAGGCATCGATCCCGCTCAGGTCGCGGCGCGGTACGGCGTCTAGTGCATCACTGCCCTCGTCACCACCACCACCAATCAGTCGCTCGGTAGCATCGATGGCGTCCAGGGCTGCTTCCACATGCCCCTGCTCGACCAAGGCCTCGATGTGGCCCACGCCGTCCACAATGCGCTGCAGCTGCCGGACCGCGTCGCTCATCACGCGCAGGTTGCAGAGCATGCGCCGTCGCCGGACAAGGTCCAGGTACGCGGCGACCGTATCCGTCTCGAGCACGGCGACGCTCTCGCGCAGCAGCTTGATTTTCTGGAGCGAGTCGTTGACGTCTGCGGAGAGATGGCGCAGCGACACGAGCGCCGAGAAAAAGGCAGCCGCGGACTGGGCGATGGCGTCCACCAGATAGACCTCCACCGTGTCGAGATACCAAGACAGCTTTTCCTGGAGAATGGCATTCGTCGCGAGCGACTTGAGCGCCGTAGTGGTGGGCGCTGTTCGCGTTCCTGCTCGCGGTCCCGCTCCGGTCATTGCACTGCGTGCCGTTCCGGCAATGTATGACTGCTCGCTAACCACATCAAAGGTCCTCGGGTTTTGGAGGTGGAAGTCCTCGTCAAAGTACACCGCTGGGATGGTGGACAGGGCCGGTGGGCGGCCGTGCTGGTTTGCACTTGATCCTTGCAGATATGCTGCCGGGCGCTCGGTCGTGTCTTCCGTCCGCTGCAGCTTGCCAAAGACGGCGCCCACGCGCTGGTTGTACGCGTCAAACGCAGCATCGTCCACCGTCTCGATGGTCGTCAGAGCCACAGGCGGTATGTCGTGTGTGGTCGGCGCAGCATTCTGGGGTCGAAGCCCGGCACGGAGCACCGGCGGCTGCAAGAGTGTGAAGATGGCTGTAGCGGGAGATCGACGTTAGCAAAGAGCAGTATGGAGCAATACGACGCACGCTAGTCGGGACAAGAACGCAGAGCTAAGACACCAAGGATGTTTGCTAGTTACCATTTTGGCTCTGTTCAAATACGGCGCCCGTGGCCGGCATCGTGGCGATCATCGTGTCAGGTGTCGGAGCATGCGGCGGATGGAGGGCGATGTGCTGGGACGAAGGTCTGTTTTGACGTGCTTTGGTGAATTGATCACGTCCAGAGAGGAGAAAGGGAAGGGCAGACATGGATGCCTAGGTCACGTGGTACGAGCTGTTGGAACAAGAAAAGGCGATTGAAAATGGACTGACAAACAAACGTCGATCACAGTGGCACATAACATACAGAACAGTCCTAACAGTCATAATTCATTAGTTAAATACGGTGTACTCAATACTTCAAGTACAGAGGGTATAAAACTGAAGAAAGACATAAAAAACCAAAAGGTCAGGGAAGATCAGCAAAAGCAAAAGCAAGAAAACACAAGCAGGACAAAGTAAAAAGTAAAAGCAATCGCTGCCTCGCTGCCCAGATGGCAGTGCCGTTTATTCTTCCAGCGGCGCATTTTCCTTCGTCCCGACAGTGCTGCTCTTTGCCCGTTTGGCCGGCTGGGACCTGGCCAGGTCTGTCGATTTCCGTCGCTTGAGAAGGGGGCTGCTCCCAGGCGCAGCCGTCTGCTTCCGCTCCGGCGTTTGCGTTTGCGTCTCGCCAGGCCTCCACACAGGCTTGACGTAGGCGTAGTCCAGGTCAAAGGCCATGACCCGCTGCAGCTCCTCGTTCCACGCCATGTTGGTGTAGTTGACATCGTCGTGCACGACGTCGTACGGCTCCAGGTCCTCCAGCGTGCGCATCATTGCGTCGTGGTGGCGACGGCACAGCGCATACTCGTCTGCCGTCCATTCCGTCCGGCCCATGTTGCCCATCTTGCGGCGGTAGTGCCACAGCGATTCGCCCGCAAAGGACAACACCATCATGTGCGAAATGTGCGCGCCGCACTCGGTCCAGTACTCGTCGACAAGCTCAATGATGCCGAGGTTGACCGGCACCAGGCGGCCCTGGCAGGCCTCGAGGTGGCCGTACATTGCGGCCTCGGAGGCGAGTTGTTTCTGATGCGTCCGCTGCACGCCCTTGGCAACAAAGCAGTAGCCGTAGGCACTGAGCGCAATCTTGAACAGGGCGCCAATGGCACCGTACATGCCAAACTTCTCCAAGCTCTGGCAGTCGTTGTCCATATCGTCGGCCAGTTGTTGCTGCAAGAGCGTGCGGAACTCCTCCACAGAGATGGGATGCCGTCCGTCGCCCTCGCCGTCGTTGTCATTGTCGTCGTTAGCATTGTCGGCTGCACCGTTCCATTGGTGTAGACGATAGTTGGGACACCTTTTGTCCTTGACACCGCCTGCCTTCAGGCCGAGAAGGCAAGCTTGTGTGCAGTATGGGAGGGTAGGCGAGAGTGGCGCATTCACCGGACGCGACCACACCGACGACGACGACGCCGGCTGCTGTCGTGAGCCGTGTGGTGCCGACGAGCCTCGTGTTGACTGACCGGACGACGATTGCATTGTGCTTGTTGAGCCAGCGCTGGTCGCTGTGAAAGCCGCAGATGCTTGCGTGGCAGTCCCTGGCCCCGACGACGGCCCAGCGCCCCCATCACCCTCGTCGTCCTCATCTCGCCTGCGAGCGAGGCTCTGCTTGTGAGGGTCCCCGCAGCTGTCCACGGTTTCCGTTGTGTTGCGAGCCAGCAAGACTACCTGTCTAGGATTGGTTAGAGACGGTGATGCATCGGGCGGTTGTGCCGACGTGCCACCGCCGTAGAGGGTCGGCCACCTCGGTTGCTCTTTTTGTAGCGTCTTCTTCCACCGTTGCGTCATGTACTGTCCAGTCATCGACATGAGCACGAACGCGACAACGAGGGCGACGGCCGAGTGTTTCAGGTCGTCGCGATCGGCCGAGCGCACCGTCCGCTTCGGCTCTTCCATGTGGTAGTAGAGCGTGTCAGGCTGCGCCGGGTCGAGGTACAAAAAGATCAGGGCGTCACCTGTGGTCGCGTAGCTGTACTGCAGTCCGTAGTCCACCATGTAGTGGAACGTCTGCACAAACACCTTTGCAATGTCACGCTTCGCCAGAGCATCGCCGTCCTTTTCGCCTTTGTCGCCTTTGTCGCCTTTGTCGCCTTTGTCGCCTTTGTCGCCTTTGTCGGTATTGTCGCCATCGCCAGCTCGATCGATGCTCTTGGACAGCCACAGCACCCGTAGTGTGTCGTCCATCAACGACGCGGCCGTCTCGGGCTCGAGGCACTTGCGCAACAGCGCCCGGTCAATCTTGTGGGCTGCTTTGTACTCGATAACAAACAGGGGGCGCGCCGTGCCGTCGGTGCCGTGCCGAAAACACCATTGGTCGGGGAAGACCTTGGTCCGCTCGGGCGATCGGCGCTTGTGCCGATGCCCAGACGTCTCCTGCTCTTCAGCCTCGGCCGCCGCGCGTTCGACGGCAGCGTCCATGTCGCGCTTGGCGACCCCGAGCGCGGCAATGTACGCAGGCCGGTCTTCCTTGATCTTGAGTGGCTTTCTGTGGCGGTGACCACCCGCTGCAGCGCCGCGAGCTCGGCTCCGGTTCCGGTTTCGCGTTCGGCCCCGTCCCCGTCCCCGGACCGGGCTCTCGTCCTCTGCAGGGCGGCGAGGAGAGGGGCTCTCGGTTTGGTCCAGCTCGGCCTCGCTTTCTGCCTCGTCGGATTCGTTCGCGACAACGCCATGTGGATAGTTGTTGAACGAGACGCTGGCCGGTACATCGGCAGTGGGGATCGCCGCCGCGGCGTCGCCGTTGTGGACACGCTCGAGAAACGGCGGCAAAACGTCGAGCGCGCAGCCCTCGACCGCCAGGCACTCAAATGTCTTCAGGTCTTCCTCGCTGGCCAGCTTCTTGTCGCGCAGCTTGCTCGCCAGGTAGTCCAGGCCGGCGGGCGACGGAAACAAGGACGGCTGGTGCTCAAAGGCCTGTTCAAGCACCGCAAAGCTGGCACTGTGCCGGGCACCAAACTCTGTCCACGGCTTGAGGTAGCGGGGATACAGCTTGCCGTCCACACGCGTCAAGCCGCCGGTGGTCGAGCGCAGGCTGTTTCGCTCCACATTAAGATGTAAAAAGATGTCATGATGGCAAATGTTGAGGAATTCGAGGAACGTCGTCTTTGTCAGCTGCTGCTGCGCCTGCTGGAGACGCTGCTCCGCATCTCTGCGTGCGCGTTCTGCTTCTTCATACAACGCTCGGTAGTCAATCTGGTCGGCCATTTGGTCGTTTTGTTGGTGGATCGTCTTTATTTGAATGGTGGATTCGAGGTTGCCACAAGCTGCGTGAATAGCTTCGAGCCAGGCGCGCGCCAACTCCCACAACATAAGAGCGGTGGGCCAATCAAAAGCCAAGAAAAGAGGGGACTGTTTACTCCGCAACCAACCCAACACCGATCACCTGATACGTCATGTGATTTTCCCTTGACCGCATCAAAACGAAGCTGAAGGGAGACTGACTTTACAATATCAATCCATGTGCTTGTCCCCTAGCGATGCGTTTGGACGAAGATTCCCTTTCAGGCGAGACTTTTCAAACTGGATAGAGGACCATGAGGAGACGGTGAGCCGTCCGGTGTTAACTGATCCTCAGGAACCATCTTCTTTCAAAACGGTCAGCTATGTTTCCTTCCCTTGTGTTTTTCCTGCTGTCTTGTTTCCTCGTTCTTTTCTGCGTTTACTGTTTTTTAATACAGTTAATATACTCACTTATGCAGGCCATATATTCGTATCACAAGATTACCCCGTGACCGTTCACCACCTTCCTAGGTATAGATGTGAACCACGAATAAACACACACATACATAAAAGAAAACAGGAACAGAAAGAACAGAAGAAGAAAAAAAGTCTTCAACCTCTTTTCCTATTATCTGTGCACAATATTCAACGAGAGTAGAATTGGTCAGCTGCTGATTGGACACTGAAAGCCAGCCTCCCTCACTTTGGCTTTGTCGGATGCACCTTGATGGTCGGTCTCCAGGAACAGCCAACACACGATTCGTCCGCTTCGAACCAGTCAACACGCTAAACTCTACCCTACAGGACTTACAGGGACCTGGATGGGAGAAACGATCATATAAATGTGGTCGACGAAGCATATAGGTACAAATTCTTATTCACTCTCAACGAAAATGACGTCGAACTACACACAGCATCGAGCAACCTTGATGGCCAGACGTGAATTTTGCCGTCGATGGCACAACATTGGTGCGCACCAATGGAACAATGCAGTTCAGTATACATGGAGGAGAGAAAGACGAGAAAAAGTGCGAGTACGGGAAGGCCTATTTATAAAAAGGGGAGGGCACAGAAAATCATGGACGGCCATCCTCCTTCTTTTGATTTTCCCGTGTGAATGTGACTGAACAGCTTGTGCTCCTTCTGTCGTTTGGTTTTCCCACGTTACTCTCGGTGGACAGTTTCCTTTTCATCCATATTTTATTCACACACAGCAAGCCATCGCACCATTATACCACTCAAGATGGTCAGAACATCTAGCAAGAGGCTCGGGTCGGCCTCCAAGAACAAGAAGAAGGAAAAGGCTGCGGCCGCCCTCCAGCCCAAGGCCCCCCTGCCCGTCACGCTGTTGTCCGGCTTCCTCGGCAGCGGCAAGACGACGCTGCTCCAGCACGTCCTCAAGACCAACCACGGCCTCAAGATCGCCGTCATTGTCAACGACATTGGTGCCGTCAATGTCGACGCGTCCCTGATCAAGAGCAGCACCATCACGCAGTCTAAAGAAAAGGTCATTGCCCTGCAGAACGGTTGCATTTGCTGTACGCTGCGCGGCGATCTGCTCGAAGAGCTCGTGCGCCTGTCGGCCCTGCAGCAGTTTGACTATGTCCTAGTGGAGAGCAGCGGCATCAGCGAGCCCGAGCAGGTGGCCGAGACGTTTGACGCGCGGCTGGCCGACGCGATGGCCCTGGCGGCCGACGGGCCGGACGCGCTGGACGCGGGCGTGCGCAAGGCGCTGCGCGCCATCCGGCGGGCGGGCGGCCTCGACAAGTTTGCCAAGCTCGACACGACCGTCACCGTCATCGACGCGTTCACGCTCTTCCACGACTTTGACACGGACGACATGCTGTCGAGCCGGCGCGACGACGTCGATGCCGCGGACGAGCGCACCGTCTCGGACCTGATGGTCGACCAGATCGAGTTTGCCGACGTCATCGTGCTCAACAAGGTCGGCCTGGTCGACGCGCCGACCCTGGCACGCATACGGGCGCTCCTCCAGCGCCTCAACCACCGGGCCCGGATCCTCGAGACCAACTACGGCCGCATCGACGACCTGACGTCGATCCTGAACACGGGCCTCTTCAGCCTCGAGCAGGCCCAGACCGGCTACGGCTGGCTCCAGGACCTGCACGCCATGACGGTGCGCCAGGTCAACGGCAAGAACGTCGTGACGCCCAAGCCCGAGACGGAGGAGTACGGCGTGCAAAACTTTGTCTACACGCGCCGGCGGCCGTTCCATCCGCGCCGGCTGTACACGCTGCTCTACGACAAGTTTATCTTGCAGATGGAGCACCCGGACGACGAAGACGACGACGATGACGACGACGAGGGCGGCGCGGCGGGCGACGCCTGCGAGATGGACGTGGATGGCCTGGGCAGCGAGGGCGACAGCGAGGATAGCATGCTCCGGGATGCTCCAGACAAGGAGGAGGGCGACAACAACGGCGTCGGCGGCGACGACGACGACGGCGACGAATGGGGCGGCATCGACGACGCTCCCCCGGCAAACAGCGTCATCCTCGCCAACAAGCGCGCCTCGCCGCTCTTCCGCCGCCTCTTCCGCTCCAAGGGCGAGTTCTTCCTGGCCACCCGGCCCCAGCAGGCCGGCGAGTGGTCCCAGGCCGGCGCCATGCTGACGCTGCGCGGCGGTCGGCCCTGGTTCGTGACGCTCCCGCCGGAGGACTACATGACCGGCGATGCCGACGTCGACCGCCTCGTGCAGTTTGACCTCAAGTCCGGCGGCGAGTGGGGCGACCGCCGGCAGGAGTTGGTCTTCATCGGCGAGTCGCTGGACGTGGCCGGCCTCGAGGCGGCGCTGGATGCGTGCCTGCTGGACGACGAGGAGTTTGCCCAGTGGGAGGCGCTGATGCGCAAGGCTGCCTTGGACGAGGATACGGACAGCAATGACGCCGGGGCGGACGGCGAGGACGCCAAGGACAACGGCAAGCGGACCAGCAGAGAGAGGCTGGAAGCCGCCCTCCAGGACCTGTTTGAGGACGGCTTCCCGGACTGGCCACCGCCGGATGAGGTTCTTACGATGGACCACGAGGGCCACAACCACAAATAAGGTGGACGACGAGGGCACAGAACATAACAGGGAAATATGACCGGGAGTTCGTTTTAAAAGTATCACGTCGCTTAGCATCAAAAGTAAACTTGCATATTTATTTCAATAAATAAGAAATAATATATTTATTTTCCGTGTGTCTCTTTACGGCACCATGTTGACTTATCAGATATGCTTTCTGTGCTTTAGTGTTGTTTTATTTTTAGTTTCACTGTTACAAATGGAAAAGAATGTCACACACGATAAGTGTTGATTTTTTTGAGTTTTTTAAAAAAAAATTCAAAATAAAGTACCGGAACTTTTGTTTACTGAGGGAATAAACTTCTAGGAAAATTAAAAAATAAACACGATATTAAATACGCCCAATATACATTCTACACTGCCACCGATTATGTCTTTAATCGAGCTCTGTCGGCCTTGTACTTACCTACCCTCAAATACACTTCACCCCAGTCCTGGGCACAAGTTGTACATGAGTTTTTGGTGATACAATGTTGTTCCAGTACATTACACAACAAAACTTTGACTTCGTTCCGCCCCTCCCGCAAAAACATGCGTTTCTATTGCCAAGCTTGCATCTGGTCGCGTGGCATTCCGTATTTTCCCCGTGTACGAAGCCAAGGAGGAAAGTCATGTGCCACGCCCCCAAAGTGGCATGATGGTCGCAGAAAGATGCCAAGAACCATAGCCTCGTCGTGGCGGATCGTCCAAGGGTCTCCGAGAGGCTGTCTGGAGTGTCGGCCGGGCATGGCGAATTCTCGGCATCTTGGCTACACGTGAACAAAACGACGAGTTGCAGCATCAACATCCAGAGGCCATTCAGTCGTCCAGCGCCACCCGTCGTTCCAACGTCGTGGCTGTCAAGCCATGCCTTTGCGTCGACTCGTTGTGGAGTTGTGTATCCGTCAGATTGGACCGAGATTGGCGGCACGCTCAACATGCATCCGTAAATAGAAAAAAAAACCCCCAAAAAAATCCGCCATGCAACATGCAACATGGGGCGTTCCCTGATTTCGTGATCTCCAGACTTTGGCGGCTGTTTCTCGCAGCCTCAACGCATCTCACTCGCATCGACTTGCCGTTTTGTTCCCTTTCAAGCCGCACTTCGTACAGAAAATCAACAAGCGTCACACATCGCCTCGAATGGCACCCAAGACGTCGCCCAGCAGCCGCCAGCATGCTGCCAAGCCCATTACGGCGCTAGTTCCTGGGGAAACCCTCGTTGGATGCTGCACAGTTGCATCATTGATTTTGGGATGAGTTTTGCAGGGTTTTGCAGTGCGGAGGTTTCCACCAACACAGAGACGCGTAAGGACCCCTGTTGGTGCTCAGACGCCGTTCTTAGTGCCGCCTCTGTCACCAACAGAACAAAGGCTGGGCCGCTGTCATGCCACTATTGTGGCGTCCAATCGCTGGCCAACTTAACGCTGTAGTTCCTCCTCGTTCCCTGCGGGGTGTGTTTGACAGCTGAAGCGAGGGGCGAACATTACCGGCAGAGGGGAGCAAGTCCACTGCAGTCGCCCAATAGAGTATCGTTTCAGGGCCTGAACAGGAATCGCTTCAGCGACCCAGAGGTCAGGTGGGCGAGCTGTCAAAATCTAGGCCCTGGGCAGGGTCGCGAACGAAGGCCCTAAAGAGACCCCCAAAACCTCCAGAAAGTATCGCCAGGCGTGTCCTAGGCCTACAAATGCTTGTGCTGATGGAATAAGGGCCATTCTCTGTACAGCAGTTATGCGACAGAGAAAGAAAGCTCCAATGCCAATTATCAAAGACAAAGACGGACAATGTCCCATATCGACATGTCAAGCCACGTTCATGTGATGAGAAAGACAAAAACCAACCAAAAAAAAAGGCATGCATGCGTCATACCATTCTGCCAGCCAACCATTTTGCTCGTTTTTAGTGGCCGCCTGCAATCTTACTTTTTTCATCTACTGTGAATGACCTCCTGCCCGGCTCACGGCATGAGCCCCCTGTCCCTGCCGCGCAAAAACTCCACCCCTCCTTCCTCGCACTGACGAAACTTGGTGACGTAAATGGGTCCCGCTCCATACGACGTTAACTGTGGCAGGGAAGGCACGTCGTCGAATAGAGACTGTTACAACCTACCAAACAAAGATGATAGAATGAAAATTCTTACTGTCACGACGATTGGAGGATAGACTGAGCTCTCGACGCGAAAAAGTAAGACTGCACGAAAAATGCGCCGAACAGCAAGCGCACGCGCCACAGTGCAGGAAGAGACTGCACAAAAAAAGAAAAGAAAAAGAAAAAAAGAAAAAGAAAATCCTTGACAAAATTTTGTAAGCGGCTACGACATCATTCGGCGCAAGGTACAACTAGGCAGGCGTTCCTGCCACTGAGTTGTTTGTATTTTCCATTTCATGCCGTTGCAGAGGCACGCATCTACTGTTACAAATCTGGCCGACTTTGTTTCATGCACCAGTCGAGTGCCGGTCAATATGAAGGTGCGTCGTATTGGTGCGGCCGTCTGACTCTCCCGGCCGTCTTTATGCGCTTTGCCCGTCTCGCCCAATTCGTCCAATTCGTCGGGGTCCCACCCACCAATGCAAAAACGGCAGAGTAAATGTCCCGGCCGACACCGCGCAGCCATTTCTGGCGACGGGCAGCGCACGCCAGGCAACCACTGCTCCCCCGCTTGTGTGTTTGGTTTTGCATCGAAAAGTCTCGAATCTCGAGCTGGGTCTAGACTCCGCACTGAGACATGCCCTTGACATTTGTGACTCTTGACACGTGGCCATCACAGACGCATGCAGATGCGAGTACCTTCCTTCCCAATACTGTATCTCAAAGGGAAAAAATGTCCCTCTCGACGCTTTGCCATGTCATGCCCATTGCGCCTTCCTTTGTGCAGTCACAGATATGTGGTGCTCTTGTCAAATTGCACAGTCACGGAAGGAGCTCCCGGGCGTAAACCAACCTTTCGGGCACCTCATGGAACTGCTGCGCCCCAGCAGTGTTAAGGTTTTGGTGATTGTACAAACTGTAGTCTCTGGACCACCTATAGCAATCTATCAACTTACGGAGCATTTTTGGAATCGACTTTACGGTTTGGTAGCTGGGGCTTGGCCGCTTTGTGCCTGTCGTTCACATTCTCACAAAACACACTAAATCTCGCCTGTCTCCCTGTGACTGACTCCCGGTACCACAGCTGGGGCCCACGCTTTCCCCTTTTGGGAATCTCAGATCAGTCATCGCCCCTCAAACAGTCAACAACGATTCCAATGGCGTCCCTCCCTGGCTCCTTCCACTCCAGTGAACGATATTCCGTACACCCCTGTGCCTGCCAGTCAAAGCCCAAAGCCCGTCCGCCTTCGCTTCGCTCGCGGATCTTCGTCGTGCGTTTTTTCTGCAGGAAAGTGGTGCCTGAAGGGCAGAGTATTACTTCCTGATTTCTTACACTGGCTGCCTGGCTGCAACACGACGCTGGTTGTTTGTTGATCGTCGCTTCGTTTTTATCACTGCGCTCAGTCACTACGGGTCTAATATCTTTGACTCCTCCTTTATTACTTTATTGATCGGCCATTCTGCTCTTTCTTCGACTGTAATCTGACCCGGTCGTCTCCTTCCCTGGGAAGCAAACAAAATTAAAGAAGAAGCCTTCCGCTCTTTCCCTTTGACGGCGGGGTGCCATTGACTTGTCAACACTGCCACTTGCGCCTTCCCGTCGCACGTTCTTTTCTCACTGCAGTCTACACACTGCGCCTGCTCACTTTAGCTTCACGGTCGCACTTTCCATTTCTATAAAGAAACCCTTCTCTTTCGTTCCTCGCCTCTTGGAGATTACAACATACAGTCTTTTTCGTTCTCGAGCTTCCTCTTCTCAAACGTCTCATCCCATCGACCTAGTTCACTTAGTCGCCGAACCCTCGTCATTGGCTCAACGGAGTCCGTTCTCTTTGATCAGTCTCCGTTCAGACTGCGCTTGCATGCTTTCGCTACACTGCGACCGCGGCCCTTTTCACAATTCACGACCTTTTTCACAGTCTTCGACCGACCGCCTTGTTTCGAAACCCCTCGACCTCCGTAACGTCTTGTCTTGCGAGGCACAAGCCACAGCCACACCAACGACGGCACTCGACACGCCGCGCGGACGTTAACGCCCGACAACCCTTGGTGCCCCTTGGTGCCCCTTTGTTGCCCGTCATCTGACATCAGCGCCCTGGTACCGCATAAGGCCGTCGCCACACCCCCAGCCGCTATTAGCTATTATTGCTCTATTGCTCTGTTGCTCTCCTGATCTCCACCTGACGGACCCCATCTCCGCATACTGCATACTGCGTACGCCGACCTCGATCTGATCAAAGCCTCCCGACCTCTTCACTTCCGCCTTTTTGTCTCGGCGTGCGGCATCGTACATATACCTGTCGACGTCCAGTTTGCAAATCTTCACACGATTCACACGATTTTGCCGCTCCTTGCGCGTCGATTGCCTGAGCCCTCTTTCTGGCCTTGTCCTCCATTTGTCGATACTCGCTGCATCTGGATCGTCGCAACCGCAGCCGCATTGCCCACCCAATAGCGACCCCTGTTATGATTCACATTGATACACTTGTACTTCCGTAAGTGGTTATTTTCTTCTCAGGTTTCTGCATTGTCTGATTGTGTTCGCATTTGCGGCATCGGGCATCTGGGGCATCATCCTGTTCCTTTCTTCCCCTCCTTACATGTGGGCCTATCATGGATCATCCTTCAATTGCCCTCACGCGTCGTCTCTGGCTGGCACCCACATGTCCCTTTGCCTTCCTTCGTTTTAAGTGATCGACCCAAGGAAATACAATGACAATCAAGGACCACGGATTTGCTGCAGTGTCCACAGAGCACGGGAGTACTTGCATCGAGATCTGGCTCCCTCACTCCCACTCTTTACCCTGTTTTCCTGTGATTTTTGATCCTTGTTATTTTTGGAGTTCTTCACAACTCTTTCATCAGCCTTCTCACATTTGTTCCTTTAACCTTCCTTCCTCCACCTCACCCCCAGAGCCGTTGTCGACGACTGCTTCACCAGTTTCGGCCATTCGACGTCTTTCACATTCCACTGGTTTGCAACGTCAGCAATCTACCCGGGGCAGCAGCGCACATTCCAGCCGACTCCTGATTATTTCCCCTTTCACCGTCCTTGTTATTTTTATTTTTTTTTTTTTTTTTTTTTTTTTTTTTTGTGCCGCATGCAGACTGCAGATACGTTTCCCCCCTCTTTGACCGTGCCCTCGAGCGTTGGGCGTCATCAAGAACCCCTGTCAGTTGCCCCCAGCCAAGTGGTGTTGCCGAGCGGAACCCGATCGCTGCATTCAATTGCCCCTCTTAGTTTGGAGCGATGTCATCGACCACAAGACGTGCTGAAGAGGGCCCGGGCGTGACCGCCACAGGCCCACAAGACAATTGTTTGTTTCCCTGTTTCCCTGCCCTGTTTCTGCGCTGGGAGCTGCAAACCACAGGATCCATTGTAGTCAATTCATGACGACATAAATCCAATTGCATGGCGCTTCCTATTTTTATTTCAGCCACGTTTTTCCAATTCCTATTTTATTTACCCATTTCTTTCCCGATTTTGGTCCTTTGGTCTTTTTAGTTTTTATTTTGTGTTATGATTCATTATCATCGTACTTCTCGCTCTTTCGCGCCTGCTCGCGTTGTTTGTTCCGCACAAAACATAAATACACCACCCAGTTGCGGCTTAGAGCGGCCCGTTACTGACCCAAAATGCCGCCACCTACAGCAGATTTCCGACATAATCCCGCCAGTGCGAGCACTGCAGCCACTGCGAATCCCGTCCGCACAACCAGCAATTTACGGCGCGTGCAATCCAGGGCTGTCCATGGTACGGTCCTCTACACACCGAGAAGTGGCATAGAACGCCGACCACGTCCACCAGGCCCGACCTTTCCGACGCCTCTCATCCGGGCTCGGCCGCGCCGTCCCCACACAATCCACATTGTCTCGTATCCTGCCGGCTACGTCCCGTCTGAATTGCGAGGTGTTTTGGAACCCGGCCACGTTAAGAAGGGCAACACCTCCCGTCCGTCACTCGGTCGCACCAAGACGCTGCAACACAGAGCTTCTGGCCAAGCCAATTCAGCCAAGCGACAATTTGAAAAAATCATTGCCGCGTTTTCGACACTGCCAGCACCTGCAGCTGCCCTAGCAAATCCTTTGCCTTTGGGGCAAATCCAGTCCACCTCGGAGCAAAATCAACTTCCACCGCCGACCGAGGTATCAATCGCACTGGCCCGGACCAACTCCAGCTCTGGATCGTCCCGGCCCAATAGCTTTCTGAACCTCAGCGGACGCTTGTCGTTGACGCAAACACGCTCTCTCGACAGCACCCAGCCGCCGCTTACCGCACCAGTTCCTGCTATCGACCTTCGCTCACCCGTGAACCGTGCCTCAACGATTCCGCAATCATTACACCAGGGCGAAAGCACCAATCTCAACATGTTATCCGCACAATCCAATAGCAACCGCAACAGCTTAATATCTGTTCGGTCGGTCAAAAACATTATATCGTCATCCGTCGCCGAGGTCAATGAAAAGCCCATTGCTTCAGCCGGCGGCATGTCCTTTGACATTGCCCTGACCGAGCCACATCTGTTCCTCTACGGGTTCGACCACGACACCCGCACCGAGCGCCGCCCAGTTCAGAACACCCCCGCCATCCTGCGCGGCACGTTGCGGCTCAAAGTCACAAAAAATGTCAAAATACGAGCCATCACCGTCAAGCTGCAGGCCCGGGGCCGCACGAAGTGGCCCGAGGGCCTACCGTTCGACAGAGAGGTGCGACATGAGGACATCTCGCTGCGCAACAGCAACCAGACCTTCTTCAACGCTATGCACGGCTCGTGGTCCACCCCGTACGGCAACAACTGCAACATCATCAAGACGCAGAAAGAGTTGCCGTCGGACAGCTCGCTCGCGGTCACGTTCGACAAGTTTGGCTCCAGCAGCAACGAGTCTCAATTGGCGCCCCCCGGCATGTCGGTCCGCGACATCAAGCGGCTGTCGCTGCAGCAAGTGCAAGCGCGCAGCTTCGGCAAAGAGGACTCGCCGATTGTCCAAGCCACTCAAGCCAAAGGCTACAAAGTCTTCGAGCCGGGATGCTATGAGTACACTTTCGACTTCCCCATTGACCACCACCAGCTCGAGTCCATCAACCTCCCTTTTGCCAGCGTGAATTGGTGGCTCGAGGGCTCCATCGAGCGCGCCGGTGCGTTCAAGCCCAACCTGCACGGCGTCAAGGACGTCAGCATCATTCGTGTGCCCGACCAGCTGTCACTCGAGACCGTCGAGCCCATCTCCATCTCGCGCAGCTGGGAGGACCAGCTGTTCTACGACATTGTCATCTCGGGCAAATCGTTCCCCATTGGCAGCAAGATCCCCATCGCCTTCAAGCTGACGCCACTGGCCAAGGTGCAGCTGCACAAGATCAAGGTGTTTATCACCGAAAGTGCAGAGTACTGGAGCAGCAACCGCCGCGTCACCCGGAAAGACCCCGGCCGCAAGATCCTCCTGTTTGAGAAGGTGGCCGGCAAGCCCCTCGACGAACAGTACGCGTCAAGCGACATCAACTTCACTGCGGGCGGCGAGCTGACGCCCGAAGAACGTGCCGACGCCCGCAACTCTGCCATACGCCGGCGCGAGCTGGAGGCTCGCCGCCTCCAGCAGCCCGCCGAACCCGTCCCGGAAACGGGCGAGAACCTGCTGGGCGATTTGGATCTGGGCCTCGAAGCCTACTGGGGCTCGACGGAGCTCGAGATGAACGTGCAGGTCCCGACCTGCGAGCAAATGGCCCGCGATCCCGCTCTCCGCCTGCACCCTGACGTAAGCTGGCGCAACGCCCACGTCTACCACTGGATCAAGATTGTCCTGCGCATCTCCAAGCTCGACCCAGAGGACCCGGCTGGCGTCCGCCGCCGCCACTTTGAGATCAGCATCGATTCGCCATTCAGCATCCTCAACTGCCGCGCCACGCAGACCAACACGTCTCTGCCCCGCTACACGGGCATGGATATGAGCCTAGCCGATTCTTGCGTCGAGTCGGCATGCGGTTGCAGCGACGCCATGAACAAGTGCCGCCCATCGGCACCGAGTCCAAGCGCATCGAGCCGCACCGGTTCGTTTCCTTTCGGCTCGGAGCTTAACGTGGGGATGATGCCCGCACCGCCCCAGGCGGCACACCTGCATTCCGGCACGCACCAACCAGGAGCGTCGGGTGACAGCATGTCGGTGTACACGCCGCCGACGAGCAACCGAGGCAGCCAGATGTCGCTGGCCTCGGCAACGCGGGATTCCATGATGGCGCACGCGGCGGAGATTGGCGCAGCATCCCGCGCCTCCCAAGCGGTGCACACTGCGCAGACGGAGCAGGAGGCGTTCGAGAACCCCCGTCCCATCCACCTGTTGCGGGTGCCGTCGTACGCACCACCTGCCTTTGACGCCGACTCCTCGCCACCGCTGGCGGCCGACATCATGACGCCACCGCCCAACTACGACTTGATTGTGGGCACGCCCAGCGTCGATGGGCTGGCGGATTACTTTTCGCGCCTGGCCAACTACGACGACGACCAGCAGGGCTCGGGATCGGATGGCACCGTGACGGACACGGACACGATCAACATTGGGCTGGACGACGACGACTCGGACAGCAGCGAGGGCGACAATGTGCCGGCGCGCATCAGCTCGCGGGGCGGCCGCGTGAACGTACCACACCCCAACACGCCGGGCGGCCTGCAGCGCGCTCCGAGCCGCAGCATGGACATCCAGCGGCCGATGGTGCCGTTCAACTTGCACATGGCGAACCACGCCGTCCGCCACGCCGCCCAGTAGAGCTCGGGCGGCGGCGAAGAGGGCAGGCGACAGGGGGCGGCGGCGTTAGAGATGGACGAAAAGCACCTGAGCAACCTAGCGCGGCGATCTGCATGGCATACGTTGTGTGCGGCGTTTTGCGTTCTGCGTTGCCTTTGATGAGCGTTTGGACAGAGCAGCCCATATGGGATTGGCTGAATCAGTACGCGTCCTTTTCGTTTCATGACTTGTTGGGTCATGGCGTTTTTATGTTTTATGTTTTACTTGCTTTTTTATTACGGCGCATCTTGGAAGGAAATATTATGGGAAAATCAGGACATTTGCACCAGGGCAGCTTGGTACTGAGATTGCTACATCATACCACATACTAGCGAGGAGTTATGATAAGGAGTTTTATGGTAATAAAAAAAATGTACTTGCATTTTTATTTTCACTGCAACTTGCTTGGTCACTAAGTACTTGCACATGTCGTGTACCGCAGCTACAGATCTGCCCGGGCCGGCTCGCCTGCCCAGATGCGGCGTATGACCTCCCGGATGGCCTCCCGCTCCAGCGGCCGTGGGCTCCAGTACGGCTGGGCCAGGGCAATGTCGGCGGCCTTGTCAATGTCCTCCTCGCGGAAGCCGTAGTCGCGCAGGGCCAGCTTGACGGGCAGCTTGGCCAGCAGCGCGTTGAGGCCGGCCACGGCGTCGCCGTGGCTCTCGGGCAGCAGGCCGGCCAGCGTGGCCATGACGCCGCCGATGCGGGGCGCCACATACGACAGGCTGTGCGGCAGCACGGCGGTGTGGGTCTCGCCGTGGGGCAGGTTGAAGGAGCCGCCGAGGACGTGGCACAGCTTGTGGTGGATGGACATGCTGACGTTGCCGAGGCACATGCCGCACAGCCAGGCGCCGTAGAGGGCGTCCTCTTCGGCCTTTTGGCGGGCGGCCGTCTTTTCTCCGGGGGTGGCATCGTCGTCCTCGGCACCGTCCTCGGCCAGCTGCGGGAGGGCGACGGCCAGCGAGCGGATCGCCTCGGCGGCCATGGCCGCGACAACGGGGCTCGCGTTCTGCGTGTACAGGGCCTCGACGGCGTGCGCCAGCGCGTTGATGCCGCTGGTGGCGCGCATGGTGCGGGGCAGCGTGCCGGTGAGGTCGACGTCGTAGAGGACGGTGCGGGGCAGGATGCGGGGGTCGCTGCGGGTGGATTTGCGGCCGTCGGCGGTCTCGCCGAGGATGGGGGTCATTTCGCTGCCGGCGTAGGAGGTGGGGATGCAGAGGTGGGCGCGGCCGGTGCGGATGGCCATGGCCTTGCCGAGGCCAATGGTGCTGCCGCCGCCCATGGAGACGAGGACGACGTTGTTGTTGTTGTTGTTGTTGTTGTCGTCTCCCGCGACGGCCGCCGCCAGCGCCGCCAGCGCTTTCTCGGTGATGCCCGCCGGCGTGTGCATGGCCGCCTCCGTAAACACACCGGCCACGCCCACGTCGCGCCCCGCCAGCAGCGCCTTGATTCGGTCGAGCTGGTCGGCCTGCTGGGGCGTCGACAGCAAAAAGGCCCTGGCCCCCTTGCCGCCGAGCAGGGCGGCCTCTTCGGGCAGCTTGGCCAGAGTGCCGCGGCCAAAGACGACACGCGGGACGTTGAAGTGTTGGAAGGACATGGTCGGCGGAGGTTGCTGTGGGAGGCTGGAATGTGTGATACAGGCGTTTATTAGAAGGACAAAAGGACAACGACAGGACAAAAGACATACGAAACAAAAAGACACCGTCCGGCGGGATATTCCCCACGTTTCGGTTCGGCAGCAAGAGCTACATCCGGAGACGGGTGACAAAGCGCTGACAGCGAACGTACAAGCACTACGGGAGCAGTTGGTGCACTGGGTTTAGTGAGTGTAGTGGGTTTTGGTTCTTCGGGTAAGGGAGTCCCCACTTTTCTTGTCGGTTCCCGGGACGGGTACGGAGAGAATACGGGCGACGACAAGATCAGGGCATTGTCGCCGTGCTTGCAAAGGGACGAGAATGCCCTCTTTTCCCTCTCAATTTAGTCAATGACTCGATTATGATGCCGTGTTGTTCTGCAGATGTTGTGGCTGGTATTCAGATATCGTCTTGATCGGGCCGGTCCTTCCGAAAGAGGAAATTCGTCAACACGCATTAATACCAAGAAAGCGTGAAAGTCAAACCACCAAACGAATTGATACAGATGGCGCCTTGATAGGGAGATAACGTAAGGGAAGCTGTGTTCTTTATTCATTAATTTGAGCGAACAAAATAGAAAGCCGCGTGGCGTTGGATGAAACAGTTGGCGACGCCGAGTTTCGTAATCGTGACAGAACGTTGGACTGGGAGGGCTTCCTTGCTTTCATGATGTCTTTCTCACGATATGATCAAACAAAGCGGTCGATTTTCGTGGATGGTCTTCTCAAAGAGGGAAGACCAAGCCGACGTTGTTTTGTTGGTGTCTGGCTTACTTAAGGTACCAAATGGAGGTATCTTTTAATGAACGTATTTTGACAAAGAGTTGCTCAAGACTATGTAGACAGGTTGCTTGGCATCGTCCAGACCAGGCACAGGAATATCCAGCAATTTGATGCATCGGTGAGCTATATCAGCTCTCTCCTCTGGTTTTGTGTCAAAGAAAGAATCGGACAAGACTTCGAGACTCTCGTGTAAGTGAGCTTGATCCACCCGTAACGAAGCACGGTTAATGGAATAAAAGACAAGACTCGTTAAATGCAGCAAAATGTACTAAAGCGATTTCACTTTTAGAGGGCGGGATCGACGATGATGAAGAAGAGAACGATGGGGAAGGAACGCAAAAGCGACGCTGGGACACGGAAAAGCGGCTGTCAGCCATGCTGCACGTCCCGCTGGCTGCTCAGAACTCTCCACCCACAGCCTAACCCAACACAGCACCGACCGACTGGAGCGAATGGAGACGACGTCGCAGTGTGGTCTTGGCAGCGAAACGAGTCGTGAGCATTTGGGTGCGAGGGCGCTCACTTGAAATGAGACAGCTGCGCGGCCGTCATCTGCCAAGCCCGTTGATGGCCCACGTTCTTGGACAACAGCTCGACCGACAGCCAAGACGGCACACCAAGGCCGACAGACAGCCACGAACGCCATGTACGCCACCGCACGACGCTGCACGCGTACGCGCGCACAGCCGTTGTGCCGCTCAGAAAAAAGCTTGTGGACGCCTCCCGCAACGATGGCGTTTTTGGATCTTGGTTTGTGGGCGATGAGGATGAAGGGGGAAAGGAGACGAAACGAGAAAGTAAAGAAACGAATGGCAATAAAGAATAGAACGAAACAAAACAAAACAACGAAACAATATCATCGCCATCTCAACCTTATTTCCTTTATTTTCTACAAACAATCAGTGAGTTGTTTTTTGTCGATCTTGCCTCCTGTCGTTGGTTTCGTCGTTAGTAGAGGACGGGGCCGTAGCCTAAATTACGCGTTCAGAGTGCAGGATTGACTGGGGCAAGAAGGCGGACGGGACGAAAACGTGGTCTTGCATTCTTGCCTGTGGGTAGTCTCATCCTTATTTACGTTTGCTCGTCGTCGTGCTGTTTATGCAATCTAATTTCCTTTGTCTGGAAATACTTTGCATACAAGTGTATGTGGTCCATCGTCTCTAGTACATCAACTTGTAGGACCTTTCAACAATTCCGTTATTCTGTCGAGTAGAGGGACAAAGGTTCTGTCCGCGAGGCACGTCTGTTCCAACACTCGGTATGAATGTCATCCAGAGTGTGCCGTCTAGGTCGTCCAGAACAGAGCTATTTCTGCCAGCAGCAAAGCAACAATCGACAAACCATAGTCCTGCCGTCCTGCCATCCTGCCATCCTGCCATCATTACATTAAGCTTATTCCCCATTTTCCCTATTTTGTACCTCCAATGTCTCCATGTACACTTCTCATCTCATGTTACTTCGACTCTGTCTTGCCCAATGGGGCATCTGGGAAAGGGTTATCCCTGTCGATGTCGAGCCAGGGCACCCCACGTGCGCCACCAACAGATATTGGGCTGCTGCAATTGGTCAGCAGTAGGCCAACAGTGTCGACATCGCGAATTGGGGCCCCACTCCACGTGTAAGTGATCGTCCGTGTTGATTGGGAATTGGTGGCGTGGATGGGGCATTTTGCAGGCAGACGACGCTTCCTACGCTGTCGCTTCTCGCATTTCGCAGTTGGGTCCTCCAGCCTGCTTCGTACGGCTTAGGTCAGGCACACTGCCATTGATGACCGACTTGACCGACGACCACAAACGGGCAGGTGCAAAGTGGAACTGGAAGGAAAGAACAGACGGAAAGAACGATGAGGAAGGACGGCAGGGGAAGAAAGAGTGCCCACGACCCGCCAATCAGACGACGACAAAAACAAACGACAATCGACAACCAAACAATCGGCAAACGGCAAACGACATACAACAATACGGCGTACGACACCATGTACGGTCCACGCCAGAGAACCAGGAACCGGGGTGTTTATTTCTGGGACTGGGTAGTGGTTGTCCGACGGCTGCTCGATGCAGCTGTCGATGTCGACGATTTCCCTCCATCCACTCTACTCCGACCCACCGAATGACAACGCTGCCCACGTTTTTTGCGTCTGTTCGATGCAGTCGACTTTCCCAGCGACCAGGGTCGACGGTGCCCTCGGTGTTGTAAACGTGGACGTCTTGACGATTGCGGGCGGGGCCCCTGTCACTGCATGGCCGTACATTCATAAACTGGTGATCGCCAGTTGATTGTCGCGCTGTCCCTGTGTCTTCTTCCCTTTTTCCCTTTTTCCCTTTGCCCCTTGTTTCTTCCCGTTTTTCAACCTCGCCGATCACAGGGCTCCAGCACTCGTCCTGCGTACGTGTTGTGCTTCGTTCCCGTCCGTCACTCGTTTGCCCAGCATGAAGTCCTCTGCGCAGTTCTCGGCTCTGGCCGGCGCCGTTCTCCTGGCCGCCACCGGCAGCCATGCCGCCCCCACGATCGACACCACCTACCCCTACACGGGCCCCGACGTGCCCGTCGGCGACTGGGTCGACAACACGCCCAGCGGCAACGGCCGCGGCTTCCCGCGCCTGGTGGAGGCGCCCGCCGTGACGCCTGCTTCCAAGAACCCGACCAACAACGTCAACGTCATCTCGCTGGCGTACGTCCCCGGCGGCATCAACATCCACTACCAGACGCCCTTTGGCCTGGGCGAGGCGCCGTCGGTCGCCTGGGGCACGAGCGCGGCCGCGCTGACCAACACGGCCACGGGCGCGTCGCACAGCTACGAGCGCACGCCGCCGTGCTCGCTGGTGGCCGCCGTGACGCAGTGCTCGCAGTTCTTCCACGAGGTGCAGCTGACGGGCCTCAAGCCGGACACGACGTACTACTACCAGATCCCCGCGGCCAACGGCACGACCGCGTCCGAGGTGCTGCACTTCACGACGGCGCGCGCCGCCGGCGACGCCAAGCCCTTTACCGTGGCCGTGCTCAACGACATGGGCTACACCAACGCGCAGGGCACCTTCTCGCAGCTGCGCGCCCTGACCGACGACGGCACGCTGGCCTTTGCCTGGCACGGCGGCGACATCAGCTACGCCGACGACTGGTACTCGGGCATCCTGCCGTGCGAGGACTCGTGGCCCGTCTGCTACAACGGCTCCGACACGCGCCTCCCCCCCGGCGAGATCCCCGGCGACGCCTACGCCAAGGCGCCCCTCCCGGACGGCGAGGTGCCCAACCAGGGCGGCCCCCAGGGCGGCGACATGAGCGTGCTCTACGAGAGCAACTAGGATCTGTGGCAGCAGTGGCTGCAGGGCGTCGCCGGCAAGGTGCCCTACATGGTGATGCCGGGCAACCACGAGGCCGCCTGCGCCGAGTTCGACGGCCCCAACAACGAGCTGACGGCCTATCTCGTCAACGACAAGGCCAACTCGACCGCCAGCAAGTCGGGGCTCAACTACTTCTCCTGCCCGCCGACGCAGCGCAACTTCACTGCCTACCAGCACCGCTTCCGCATGCCCGGCGCCGAGTCCGGCGGCGTCGGCAACATGTGGTACTCGTTCGACTACGGCCTGGCGCACTTTGTGTCGCTCAACGGCGAGACCGACTACGCCAACAGCCCCGAGTGGCCCTTCATCCGCGACACCAAGGGCGCTGCCGGCGAGCCCGCCGAGAGCGTGACGTTCATCACGGACTCGGGCCCCTTTGGCTTCATCGAGAACAACGCCTACCAGACCACCTCGGCCTACGAGCAGTACCAGTGGCTCGTCAACGACCTCAAGAGCGTCGACCGCACCAAGACGCCCTGGGTCTTTGTCATGTCCCACCGCCCCATGTACTCGAGCGGCTCCTCGGCCTACCAGAAGAACATCCGCGACGCCTTTGAGGCCGTGCTGCTCGAGTACGGCGTCGACGCCTACTTTGCCGGCCACATCCACTGGTACGAGCGTCTCGTCCCGCTCGCCGCCAACGGCGTCATCGACACCGACGCCATCATCGACAAGAACACCTACTACGCCAACAACGGCAAGTCCATCACCCACATCACCAACGGCATGGCCGGCAACATCGAGTCCCACTCCACCCTCACGTCCTCCGAGACCGTCGAGGACATCACCGCCGTCCTCGACACCACCCACTACGGCTTCAGCCGCCTCGACATCCACAACGCCTCCGTCGTCACCCTCAACTTTGTGCTCGGCAACGGCAACGGCTTCGGCGACTCCCTGACGCTCATCAAGAAGGAGGCGACGCCGCCGCCGTCTTCGTCGTCCGCGTCGTCCTCGGCCCCTGCGTCGTCTGCATCGTCTGTGTCGTCCGCTTCGTCTGCTTCCTCTGCTTCTGCGTCTGCGTCTGTCTCCTCTGCGTCTGTCTCCTCTGCCTCCTCCTCCGAGGACTGCAGCGCGTCGTCCGAGGCGGGCGCCTCGTCGTCGCAGTCGTCGTCGGCTAGCCAGAGTGCGTCGGCCTCGGCGTCGTCCTCTGCGCCTGCTTCTGTGTCGGCCTCGCTCAGCGGCTCTGCCTCGTCTTCTGCCTCCAAGAGCGCGTCTGCCTCCGAATCCGCCTCGGTCGTCGTGCCGCCCGTCTCGGTCTCGTCCGCCTCGTCCGCCTCGTCTGCCTCCGAGTCTGCTGCGTCCTCGTCGATTGCCGACTGTGAATCGTCGTCGATTTCCGCCTCGGCCTCTGCCTCTGGCTCTGCTTCGGCGTCTGCTTCTGCTTCTGTTTCTGCCTCGGAGTCTGGGTCCTCGTCGATTGCCGACTGTGAGTCGTCGTCCGGGTCCGCCTCGGCCTCTGCGTCTGCATCTGCTTCCGCCTCTGCCTCTGTCCCTGCGTCGGTCTCGGCGTCTTCGTCCGAGTCCATCGTCCCCTCTTCCATTGCCGACTGCGAGTCGACTTCGGTGAGTGGCTCCGCTTCTGCTTCGGTCTCGGCTTCGGTCTCGGCTTCCGCGTCGGCCTCGGAGTCTGGTGTCTCGTCCTCGATTGCAGACTGTGAGACTTCGAGTGGATCTGCCTCTGCTTCCGCTTCCGCTTCCGCTTCGGCCTCTGCCTCCTCGGAGTCGATTGTTCCCTCGTCCATTGCCGATTGTGAAACGTCGTCCACATCTGGCAGTGTCTCTGCTTCGGCCACCGGCTCGGCCTCTGCCAGCGGTTCGGCCATTGCCACTGGCTCGGCGTCAGCCTCAAAGTCCGCGTCGGCCTCTGCCTCGCCCTCTGGCTCTGCTTCCGCCTCCACATCTGGCGGAGCCTCCGCTTCGGCGTCCAGGTCCGCCGTCTCGTCCAACCCGGCTTCCGCCTCTGCCTCCGCCTCCAAGTCTGGCGGCGCTGGTGGTGTCGGTGGTGTCACCACCACCACCGAGGTCGTTACCGCCTACACCACCTACTGCCCCGGCGCCACTACCTTCACCCAGGGCTCGCACACCTACACCGTCTCCAGCGCCACCACCCTCACCATTACTGACTGCCCTTGCACCCTGACCCACACCATCTCTTCCGCCACGCCCTCCGCTAGCTCTACGGTTGTTGGCGGTGGCTCGGGTGGCAGTGGCAGTGGCTCGGGTAACAACAACGGCAATGGCAACGGTAACGGTAACGGTAACGGTAACGGCAACGGCAATGGCAATGGTAGTGGCAACAACAACGGCAACGGCAACGGCTCTGGCTCGGGCGCTGCCGCCGGTACTACCCCCGCTGGCACTACTCCTGCTGGCACTGCCCCTGCCGGCACTACTCCTGCCGCCGGTAGCCCTACCGGGTCTGCCGCCGCCTCCACGTCGTCGACGTCGACTGTTGTCACAGCCGGCGCCTTCCAGACCCAGGCTTCGACTCTGTTCGCCTCCGTCAGCGCCCTTCTTGTCGCTGTCCGCCTGCTGCTGTAAATGGTAGTTGACGTCGACGAGCGTGTCTGTGCTCAGTGACTGTACTACAATATTTTTCTGTCCATGGTTCTTTTTGTCATGCATTAATTTACTCTGTCTTGTGTCATTCATTTTCCATCTTTATACATTTTCTTTTCGTTGCCGTGGGCCCCTCTTTTCCATCTATTTTACCTCTTAATTCAAGACAGTCATTCTATAACAGGCTGCCAGAGGTCCTTCTCAACTGCATAATTTCTTAATTAATACAAAAATCATAAAATATAAAATATAAAAAGCGAAAAACACGGCAATGCAAGACAAAATTGACATTCAAATAAATCCACAAGGTCCAAACGTGACTACATGACGTTCAAAAGATGGCAAAGAACAACTATTTAGAGATCCAATTTGGGTTCAATCTATACCCTCTCAAGAAAATAAAAAAATAAATCAGCATCAATATTGAAACTGCGCCACCAGCGGTCATTTTGTTGCATTTTTGAATTCACATCCTGTCGCTTTACAACAAAATACTTTCACGTGACATCCTCTGATGGTAGCATCTAGAATCGCAAACGACACCATCATCGCCAGCAGCCCGCTAACTGCTAGGCGACAGTAGGCGGCGCGGCACGCGTAGTGACAGTGCCGCCTAAAACGTGCCACCTTGAAGCTGACTAATTTTGGCGCCGCGAACAACGTCAATCGCTCCTGCCTCAAGACACTGCTCAAAGTCCTTTGTCATGTCCGTCTTCCTTCCTTTTGCACTTCCATCTTCAGTTCCTCACTTTCTCACGACATTCCCCTTTCCTCTCCTTTTCGTTCCTCACTTTCCTCTACCCCCAACGCACAATGGACGTCCAACTTTTGGTCTACGACCTGTCCCAGGGCCTCGCGCGCCAGATGTCCATGAGCTTCCTGGGCTTCCAGCTCGACGCCATCTACCACACGTCCATCGAGCTCAACGGCCGCGAATACGTCTACGACGGCGGCATCCTCGCCATTCAGCCCTACTCGTCGCATCTCGGCCACCCGTTTGAAAAGGTGCCGCTCGGCACCACGACGCGCACCGTGGCCGCCATCGAGGCACACCTTGACACGCTGCGGCCGCGCTTCACAGCCGCCGCCTACGACCTGTTCCGGCACAACTGCAACACGTTCACGGACGCGTTTGCGCATTTTCTCGTCGGCCACGGCATCCCGGCGCACATTACAGGGATGCCGGACGCCGTGCTGGCGACGCCCATGGGCCGGATGCTGCTGCCGCAGCTGATGCAGAGCGGCGTCACAAGAGGGCGTGGGAACGGCGGTGGCGGCGGCGGCGGATCGCTGCTCGGCCTCCAAGAGACAGCACAACCGGCGGCACCAGCAGCAGCACCAGCAGCTCCACGTTCCACGGTTCCAACACACCGACACCACCGCTTGACGCTGCCCTCGTTTGCCAATGTCGATGCCGCACGGCCTGTCCTCTTCTCCAAAGTGCCGCCGCTCGACAAGCTGCTCAGTAAGCTCGGCGATGAGGTGGCACAGCAGCCCGCCGTGCGCGACCTACGCATCTTTCTCGAGGGCAAGGCGGCGGCCAACACCAAGTCGGTGAGCACGCCGGACCTGGCAGCGCTCGGCCGCTTTGTGCGCGAGTCCGCCACGGCTCTACCACGGGCCACCCTTTTTGCCGCTGTCGACCTCTTCCGAAGCAGCCTCGCCGACCCACGCGTGAGCGCCTTTTTCGCCGACGACGAGGCCGACCACGGCACGGTGAAGAGCGTTGTGAGGATTGTCAACAGCGAGGATGCTCCTTATGCTCTGCGTCTAGTGACGTTGCAAATGGCCTGCAATCTGTTTGGCGCACCCGCCCCCGCGGCCAGCTCGCTGCTGGCCGACGCTGCCCTGCGCGCGGCCCTCGTCCAGCTCGTCGCTGCCAGCTTCTTGGACGACGCGCACGCCAGCGCACGGTCCGCGGCGGCGTCCCTTCTCTTCAACATGGCCATCACGTCGAGGCGGTCGCTGTCACAGTCGCAGCCAAAGTCACCAGGCCTGGCTGTCGACGACCAAGTCGAACTCGCCGCGTCCGTTGTCGAGGCGATCGGCCAGGAAGAGGCATCTGCTGGCGCCCTGCAAGGCATGTTGGCCGCGCTGGGCCACCTGGTCTACGGTGCGCCGCTGGACGGCGAGCTGGCGGACCTGCTGCGGGTGCTGGACGCGGCGGGTGTCGTGGCCGCCAAGGCCAAGGCGTTTCCAGACGAGCCGCTGGTGGCCGAAGTTGGCACAGAACTGCTCGGCAAGGGTTTTGTGATGGCATGACGCCGACAAAGGGCACAGAATGAACAAGTCAAGTCGAGTTGGATAGACGGATAGACCTGCAATGCGTTTACAAGATAGGATACTCTAGACTACGAATGTTACGAATGATGACTTTGAACGGAAGGACGATACGGAACGCCCGGATTTGAAGTAAATTAAATATTCTTGCTGAATGTAGATGGTATCAAAATCAGAAAACTACCCCTGCTCATTTCCCGTCGTCCGCCGTGGCAACTTTCTTGTAGGCCACTCTCCGCCGGACAATATAACTGTTACTTTGGTTAATACGAGGACGATGCGAGTTAAAATGAGGGACGAGATAAGGGACAAAACTTACACAATCAATGCAATGCCGCCAATAAGCAACGGTACACCGGCGCCGACTGCGGCACCGATGATAATGTGCTCCGTTTTTGATGACACGTGCACGCCGGCAATGGTGACGCCGGTCGACGTCGGGTCCGAGCCCGACGTCGAAGAAGAGGAGGGAGCCCCAGAGGACGTTTTGGGCGGCGGCGGCACAAACGACACCGGCGTGCCCGACACCGTCAGCGCCATGGGCTGTGCGTTGTTGCCGAATGCGGCCACCCGGGTGATGGGCGCAGTGTTGGTCGGCTCCGGGAACGTGACGTCTTCTGCAGAGGCGGCGTCCACAGTGAGCGTGGTCGTGCTGGTGGCTGTCGTGACGGCGGTGGTCTGCAGCGAGTTGGGACAGCTCACCAGCCCCGGGGACAAGCAGGCGACGGCCGTGTGGACAAAGGTGGTGCTGATCACAGTCGTCACACTGGTGGCCGTGTTGACGGCCGCCGTCGTCGAGACCGCCCGTGCTGCCACCTTGGACGTCGTTGCCGCCCCCACCCCCACGGCCGCCGGCGTGGCGGTCGCCGTCGACGTCGCCGGAGCCACATGACTGCTGAACGCCACGCATTGCGTCACGGTGGTATAGAACACCGGCAGCATCGTGGCCGGGTTGACGCCCCACGACAGGAAATCGCCAATCACGAGCGACGCGCCGGCCTTGGCGCCAATGTCAAAGTTGAAGATGCCCTCGATAATCACGTCGCTGTTGGCACAGGCGGCCTCGTCGCTTGACGCCTTGGCCACCTCCGCAACTGCGCCTGCACCGGCCTCCACAGCCGCAAGCGCCTTGGTCGGCGGCGTCGTCCCGTGCCCCTTGGCGCTGCCCCCATCGGTGATGCCCGGGCCGGCCGCCACGATCAGCGTCAGGTTGGCGACGTCCGCATAGACAATCGTCTCGATGCCGGCACTGTACTTTGCGTCGTCAAAGCCGGGCACTTGCAACGCGTCCGACGACACGATAATGCCGGCGTGCACGCCGACGCGCAGGAGCGCATTGAGCGTGACGCCGGCGCTGCGCAGCGTCACGGGCAAAAACTCAAACTTGCCGCCGTGGCACACAATCTCGGACACGTTGTGGCCAAACAGGTCTACCTGGAGGCTCAGGCCCTCGTCCATGCGCAGGTGGAACCCGCCCTCCAAGTCGACGACGCCCGAGGCGCTCAGTATCAGGTCCACCGTCAGGACGACGCCCAGCTCCAAGTCGTCGCCCTTGCGGACGCCAAAGTCCGACTCCGACGTGAACAGGTTGACCGTGTAGCTGGTGGCGGCCGAGACGACCAGGTCTAGCTGCACAAACAGGTCGATCTTGTCGAGCGTCAGGAGGAACTGGTACTCGGGCAGCGGCGCGAGATCCTTGAGGTCGAAATCGATGTCGGGCCGGGTGAAGTTGTGGAAAATGTCTTCGATCGGCTCGTGGTGCACAATCTCGTGCACCACGGTCTTGGTCGAGTTCTTCACATACTGAAAGATGTCGTCAAAGAACGTCTCCGTAATGTTGACGATGTCGTGGACAAACTCGTGGGCCACCGACGACAGATTTTGCGGCGCCGCCGAGTGATTGGCCTGTATGACGATGAGCTCCGTGTGGAGCTGCGCCGTCAAGTAGCAGTCCACGCATGTCGCGGCGACGCCGATCAACACGTCGCTGACTGGGTATTTTCTGCATGTGTTAGTGACCACACGAAAATACATCAACAAAAAACAGGAACGGAGACGAGGCACGCTCGACCTCAGCGCACATACCCAGCAAAGAGTGTAGCTCCCTTGAAACTCTTGTGGATGGCAGTGCTGTTCTTTGCCGAACTACGCGTCACCAACGCGTTCGAGTCCGCGGCCTGGAGAGCGACACCGGCCGAGACGACGGGGGCGAGCCAACCGGCCAAGAGAAGTGCTGGTGTTGAGAGGCGCATCGTGGCTTTTGTCGACAAGTCAAACTTGAGAATGAGAAACGAGGAGAACAGGTACGCCAGCCAACACGATGTCTCGTACGGCTCTTTCGTATCATGAAAAACGTGTAGGAAACCATTGCCATATTTATGAAGGCCGCGCACAACCGCAATCGCCCCCAACCAGTCCCAGCAGCCTCAAGACCTCAAGAACCGCATCCTGTCGCCCGTCTGAAAAGGGAAAGTCGAGAGCGAACTGCATAAACCCGGGCTCGGACCCGGCCTCAACTGTGGCTGGGGGACGAGAAGAGGATGCAGAAGCTGGTCCATTGTGTGTTGGCCGTCTCTCAGATTTTGGCTTGTTGTTGTCTTGGCTTTCTCTCTCGTATCTTCGCATTCGACGTTGACGTCGCAGCAAAGCCGAAATCAACACCGGAAAGCGGAAGGAGACCCGCCTGGCACCCTTGGAGGACAGCTCCACATGCGCCACGCGAAGGAGCAAGAGCTGTGAAGAAAACGACAAGGCGGTCTCCTTCAGGATTCAGGATCGCCATCGCTGTCGATCCTGGTGGCCAGCGAACCCTGAAAACCCCAGGATGGCCAGACGCGACCGTGAGCATTCTCTTCCTCTTGGTTCCTTTGCCTGGTTATCGTCATCTTATTTCTTCTTTTTTTTCCCACGTTTTTTATTCTTCTCCGCTTCACTTACTGGCATTCCTTCGCTTTCGGCGTGTGCAGTGTGTTCATTGCCTTGTTTGTTTCTCGCTTGCCCCTTTTCTTTTGTCAGCGACGATCTGTCAAAGGATTGCGATAACTGCTAATTGCAACATCGATTCAGGAGTGCTCACCACCAACCGCTCCGTTTCAGCCACAGCCCCCAGTGCTGCAGTCGACATGGGACGTCAGGCCCAATTGACACAAATAAATATCTGCAGTAGTCAAAGTGGGGGCATTCTTGGCTTGGTCCTGTGTGACAAAAATAATGTGATAATGTGGAGAGGTGTGCACGAAGCGATGAGAAGAAAAAAAAGACAAAGAAAAAAAAAGACGGGGAGGGGGAGACAAGAAAAGTAAAGAGATACAACAGAGCGATGCATTGCGTGCGTAGAAAAGTATCCAATGTGCAAATTGAAACTAAGCCGTGAAAAAGACCTGAAAAAAGACGAGCAAATTATGGGAAAATGACACAAATGACACAAAAGCGTGGTTTGCAAAATAAGCATAAGCTTAAGCCAAGACCGATCCTTTGGGCTTTGGGATTGCAAGCTCAATCCCATTCTCACAGCCTCACACTCGCAGGCATGCACCCTGCCCCACACCAAAATAGCAGCACTCTGTTCCATCCAAACAGCCCCCACAAAAGGAGCGACACCATGTCCGACCTCAGGTCCTTCCCATCTTACGCCGTATCTCGCATTCCTTGGCTCGTTCGAAGGCCATGCGATTTATGCCCCAACAGAGATTCCACGTTGTGCGGCCAGCGGTGTCTTGGGCACGGAATTTGCCGACTTGCTGGCAGAGGCTGTTGCTGCCACCGTCGGCTTCTCGTCAGCGGCCGTCGCCTCCTCCGCACCGAACTGGTCGCGGCCGGTGGCAAAGACCTTGTCAAAGTCGTACTCGAACCAGCGGATCTGCGGGTCGAGGCCGGCAAACTTCCAGACGCCGTCGACCTTGCGGTACCAGTGGGTGTTGGCCGAGTGGGCGTGGCCCTTGACGGCGACGGTGGCGAGGGAGGCGTCGGTGTACACTTGGTGGGGGACGCGGAGCTGGTGGTAGCCAATGACCTCGGTGTCGGAGACGCGCTCCCAGCGGGAGGCGCCAAAGAAGTGCTGGGTGCGCAGGAGGGGGTTGCCCAGCACGTTGGGGTCGGAGATCATGGCAATGAATTCCTCGGCGGGCATGGCCTCCCAGAGTTTGTTGAGGAACGAGCGGTAATCGATCTGCGACAAGCGGGGAGCGACAAACGAGGAAGCGAGCGTTAGCGAGTGAACGAGTGAGGGAGACGACGAAGCGCGCCAAATGAAGCGAGCGCAGCGAGGACAGTAAAAAGCGAGCGCAGAGAGGACAGAAAAAAAGTCATACCCGGAGAGTCGGTGCAATGCAGCGGCGGAGACGGTCCCAGTCTTTGGAGTCGTAGCTGTCGGCCCACTCGTAGGCAGCAGACAAGAGACCGAGGTAGTCTGTTGATCAGTATGTTTCTTACTTGACGCTACAAGAGAGATCGGTGGCGGCCTACCCTCGAACGAAATGTCGGTGCTGGGCGCCGGCTTGGGCGCGGCCGTCAAGGGGGACGTGACGGAGCTAAAGGTGATACCCATGTTGAGTCGTTGGTACTGCGGATGCAGGGGGTGGATTGGTGTCACGATGTGTCAATGTGTCGATGTGTCGATGTATCAACGTATCGATGTATCGAGTTGTCGATGCGTCGATGCTGATCACGTCAAAGAATGATGTACGTCAGACATTCAATACATCCATCACCAGGAACGAGGACTTTCTCTTTCCTCAAACGGGAGGCCGTGACAAGGCTTTATATCCGCTGGCACTCGCCCGTCCCGTTCCACACAGACACTGCAGCCGTGCCTCCGGCGGCCTTTCCCATGGAGGAGCCCGAGAGTCTGGTCACACCTCAATTAAAGACCAAAGACGGCCAGACTGCGAGGCGAGGGGAGGCAAGACCAGGCGAGAGACGGGACGCTGAGTGATGGACGGCCTGCGCTGCAGTACACCAGCAAACAGCCGCCAGACAAGGCGTCGTGCTGAGACATAAAAGTGCTTGCCTGTGACTGCTGTGGCTGCTGTGACTTGACTGCTCGAGCACGAAAGGCCCCGTTGTTACAGCTAGAATGGCTTCATTCATGCTGGTCCGGGCGCCATGAGAGCGTCCCGCACTCGAGGACGAAAGATTGGAGGCTCTCCTGTTCACCAGACCCAGTCCGGATGCTGTACACTTTGTACTTTCAGCCCACTGGCCGATGCTTCTGGGCCCCATTGGCCCGGCTAAACGTCTGCGCGGGAGAGAAACGAAAAACGTGTCGCCAAGCGAGAGCGTGGGAGTGCCTCGTGGGAGCGCATGCCATCTGTCGTCGTGGACATGTCTCGCCACCGGAGTCCGGAGAGCGCAGTGGGGATGTGCGGGACAGAGAAAGAGGGGAGTGTGAGACTGGGCGTTCTTTGTGAGGTACGTCGGTTCCAGGCGGCTATTTGGCTGAATGCGATCGTACAGCAGATACCAACCAGGCAATGCAGTGACTGTCCTTGGGACAGCGCACAGGCTCAGGCTCCGGAATCAATCTGAAAGGTTAGTCTGCTGGTAGACAACGACGGAATAGCAAAAGGTACATTGTAAGCTGCCGTAGCTCGTAGCTTTCCAGGAAACAGAAATTAAATCGTCGAGATTCGAGATAAGACGGTGTGTTCTCAGTCGTTCGACGACTGGTCTGTTTTAGAGTCGGACCCACTCCTCTTGACTGTGGAGATGGTCGGATTGTTGGATTGTTGGAGTTCAATCAGTTCCATTGTGGGCGAGGCTGAAAAGGAACGGAAGCACAGGTCGATTTGTTGATGCAGAGCGGCCAAGCCAAAGAATGAAGCTCAAGCTCGCCCAGCATGCTTAAGTGGAGTCCACCTTACGTCTCCACTTTCAGGTCTGTTCTCTGTCAACAATAGCCCAAGCAGAAGGAACGCTGGGCGACTGGGCGGTCAGCAGCGGCAGTAAACGGGGGCAAAGTCAACGCGCACCATTTTTTGCACACTCGCACGGACCATGCTCATTTCCCATTCGCTCCTTCCCCCAAAATGGCCCAACAGGCTCCACTTGCCACTCGGTGCCTGGACTATTTAAGACGCGGCAGCCACCTTCTCCTTTCTAAATTTTTTCTTTTCTCTTCTTTTTTTTCTTCATACTTACCTTGTTCGATGTGTCGGGTGATCAAGAAGACCTGGCCATAGGGTGGGAAGCCTGCATTGCACACCGTGGCGCTACCCGTCTTGGTTTGTCCTTCGGGGCCGACCCGGGCGTAATTTTTGCTTTATCCCTCTTTTTTTCATTGTATACGCTGCTTGATGCAGAGTTGCGAGGAAGAATGTGACGAGGGAAGACGTGGCGATAACAGCAGCGACAGAACGTCAAAAGACTTAAAGTGTAATGTATACAAGCTATCGTAACTCTGAATCACGTCCTTCCGCTACGGAATTCAATCGCTGTCGCTGTCAATTATAATGGCCGTCTCCTGATTGCCACCAGTGGCTGTCTTCCGCTTTACGCTTCTCAAACTTTTGAAGCTTCCGTCGCGCAACGCGAGCTCCCACCATGCCAGCATTACTCGTTTGAGCTGGAGCCTTTTCCGACGTGTTCCGTTCTCTTCGAGCGCTTCGTCGACCACACGTTTTGGCCGTTGCGGTCTGCACGTCTTCGTCCACGTCGTCCTCGTCTTCATTCTCCTCATTCTCCTCAATTTCCTCACTGTCGTCGCTCTCGCCCTCCTCGCTGTATTGACTCCTGCTAACCTCGTCGTCCACGCTCCCTTCACTGCTGTCGATTGGACCATTTCGCGACCTGCCCGCCCATTCTCGCTCAATGGCATTGACTCGCCCGACTGTTTGCGCACGTGCTTCCGCGCGTCGGCGTCGCTGCAGCTTGCCGTCGCGCTTTCTTCCTCTTCCGCTTCGTTTCCGTCTCTCTTGTCTGCCCCCGGTCGCCCCCGCCTCCCGCAACATCGTCTCGTAGTCTGTCCACCGGTGCCGGATGTGCGCCCGCACCGCCAGTCGCACCCGCGCCGCCTCGTCCCGTGTGCTTGTCCGCGCGACGCGTCCGGCGTGCTTCGTCATGGCATGCTGCACAATCTCGTCGGCCGTGGTCCCCGGAGGCAGCGCCGGGTAGGCTGCCAGCAGGGCCGCCCGAAACGTCGCGGCCAGGGCAGCATCGCGCTTGGCCGTGGCGACCTGGCGAGCGGCCCGCGTGGCCTTCTCGGCAGCGCGGACGGCGTCGACCACGCCCGTGGGACAGCGAATGCCCAGCACGTTCTTGTCGCGCGCGACCACATACACCGTCTTGGCGGCAGCATGCGTCTGGCGGCGGCAGTTGGCCGTCACATACACATTGCCCTTAGGCACAAAGGTGTAGCCGTGCGGCATGGGCGTCCGCGGGTGGACGACCACCTCGTTGTCTTGCATCGCAGTAGAGGGAGGGAGGAGAGAGCCGTCGTTTGGCGTCAGTAGGGTTCAACGCATGGATGCTGTCGTTCAAGCTTCACCCCGGCGTCAACTTCAGCACAGAGAGGAGGGAGATGGTTCGTGGCAGTCGTCATTGTCGCAAATGCAGTACATGGAGGTCTCGTAGCATTCTCTTTGGTGGACTTCGTATTGTGTCCTTGCCGGAACCGGCGTTGTGTATTTCGTAGTTGACCGTCTTTGTTGGTGGCTGGGACTTGGGTTGGTAGGCTGCACAAATCGACGAATCGTGCTTTAGCGCTTGCAGGCGCCATACGGCTACTTGTACCACAGTGACAACACGTACCAATGCGTTCCATTTCTGCATTTTGGTTGAGTTTTTATTTTCGCATGTTATTTCTAATTATTCGTTCCTTAACATATTGCCCTCTTGTATTTAGATGTTTATTTTTTTTTTTTTTTTTTTTTTTTTTTTTTTCGTACTTTAAATTTCATAGCCCACAAATAAAAGGATGCTTAACCAAAAGAATTACACCAAAATGCGAGACATATTGGTAGTGAAATATATATTGAATGTATTGCAATAGTTTCCATTACCATAGGCCTACTCATTGTCATAGGCTCACTCATGTTAGGATGGTGACATGCAGAGAGACCAGCCAAGACTGCATTCATGTTGATTCTTGGTGACATATCACAAGACCCGTGAAAACGTATATGCTCTTGCATGGCCGGGCATTTATTGTCTAATGGAATTAGACACATCTGTACGACAATGGTCATGCTTGTAGCACCGTTACACCTCATCCGAAAGTCTAAAACACGTCGTGCATCTCCAGACAACTGCCCTCCCCCTGGCTTCGACCTCATCTTGTCTTACCGATTTACCACGCAGTCACTGTGTCGAGCTGGCTGACGTGTTCGTCACTACGTTGTTCACTGCTCTCTGCTACAGACGACTTCTCTGGTAGCCGTATAAATCGAGGCCCTCTCTTGTCTTCCTCCAAAATCGCGTTTTCTTAGCTACTCTGAAGAAGTCCATGACTGTCCACCCATCCCTCTGCCCGAATCTCCATAAACGAACTTTGGCAAAAGGAACCAACACATAGTTACCACCATGTCCGTGATTTTCATGAGAATCGCCGCTGCCATCGGCGTCCTACTTCACGTCACTCTGTCCACGGCAGAGTTCACCTCTTTGTGCTCAGACGTGTATCTCGACAAGAACGACGCCAATATTCTGGTGACTCGGTGTACCATGAACGGAGAACCTAGTGATTCGCACTACGTCTGGAGCGAGTTTGACCTCAACAAGATCCTGGGCTACCAGGCACCATACATAATTTATCAAAAGAAGTATGTTGCCACGCCCCTGCACTGCGCAAGACAGCTTATGAAGAGACCACTAACGGACAGTGGCAACTTCTCCGTGAGCAACCATCCTTGCGGCAATTGCTCCCTCGCGGGCAGCACGTTGTCCTGTGACTGTCCCGCGGGAGCGGCAGGTCTTGGTTTAGGTATGTTGGCTAGACCTTGCTTTCGTTCCTTCTTCCTCCCCTTCATCCCGGACAACTGCCTCTAACCTGGCTAGATGCTTTTCTCTACGATGTGGCGGGTGTACTCTGTTATGGTGATCGATTCGGGCCCATCTGCGGGAAGAACATCAAGTGTTCGTGTTAAGCGTTTGAATTAACGCCATATTCCGTCCTCTTACTTACAGCAAGACGGGAATGCAGCTATGTGATTCCGTTCGTTCCAAGGCGTGGAGACCCCAATAGCTCTGTAGCTTGTTTTACACTGCATCTTCGCTTACGTTGCTGTCTTATGTCCTCACTTGACTTGTTACTTTATGTTTTAATTTTTTAAGATGTAATGTTTGGTAACATATGTTATAAGGCAATGATTTCGTAGAGAATGTTAGAAACGAACAGGAAGAAGGTCGCAGTCGCTGCACAGCAGACAAGAACAACTACCATCAACGACGTAAATTAAGAGTAAGACTCAGCTGAACCACCAAACTGGTTCAAGGCATGCGAGCCAGACCTGACATCCTTCCGATGCAACGCTGCGCAGCATTGGCCACCACAACACGGGACAAACTAAGTCATCCGCCAGTAGCAGCCAGGCTGGTTCTCTGCCGTGCTTCCTATTGAAGACATAAGATGTTCTATGGCATTTGATAGCGGGCTGTTGAATCGTGGCATGCCAGAATTGGGGAACTTTACTTTCGTTTGGATCTTATGCAGTGGGAATGCCCTATAAGATCTTGTTCGATGTAGTGCTCGTTGGGACCTTCCCAACACAGAAAGCAGAAGAGCAAAAACAGGGACTGCCCCTGTCGCGTTAGCGAAGCGCGGTATCTTAGATGGAGCCCGCGAACTGGCTACAGTGTCAAGAGAGGGGAAACAACGGTTGTCGGCACTCGCTGGAGAATCACCCGCTGTAAGTCTCAAGACACGTGTCGCGGGCACGCTCGGCGCTGTGCGGTCCCTATGTCGCGTCATTTTGCGAGAAACCTCCCGACTTGGGCCGTTCTTTCCCCTCGTGGATCGCTTTGACCCTTTCCGCTCCTTCTGTTTTCCTATTCGTTGTCTCTTTCATGTTCTTGTCTACTCGACGATTGCTCCTTCTTTCGTCGAATTAATTGCCTTCGGTTTTGGGCATCACCTTCCCAAGATTTCGTTTTCCCTTATAGGTCTTCAGCCCAGATACAATTGCGGCGTAAGTCCCCAGTAAAGTAGTGGTTCGTTGGACCTGCCGCGGCCTGGCTCATCCCCTCCTTCCACAAGCGGCGCTCCGCACGAGCACACGCTGCACCGAGGCGCACTTATAGGCCCCGCCGCCAATTTCGGCGCAGGGCTCGTTACTCTCTTTTTGTTTTTATTCTTTGCCACACCGACTGAGCTTGACGTGCACGGTGCGCTCGGGATCACAAGGCGACTTCCATACCCAAAGACCTCGAAATCCCCTCTGTTGTTTGTGTGCAAGAGTACGACGCACAGTTACGTCAATTGACAGCCAATTGCTGCTTGTTGACAGTCTTTCGAATCTGTCCAAGCAATGCATCGCATCGCGAATGAGACGGCCGCAATCGACATACAAATCAGCCAGCCAACACTTACCGGCCGGCTGCCATGGCTGCGAGGGGAAAGCCGCTCGGCCTGCGCGCCGACATGGTGATTGAAGAGGCTGCCAACGAGACGAGTCGAAACAACAGCCGGCGCAACAGCATTGCTAGCAGCAGTAGTTCCGACAGTTCCGACAGATCCGACAATAGCAACGCCGGCGGCAATGGCAATCGCGAGCCGGTCTACGAGCCGCTGGCTGCAGCGTCTGGTGCCCGGGCACGTACCGGCACAGGACCCAGTGGCCGTGCTGGCGGCGATGCTAGCTCCGCCGACACCGAAGATGCTGCCCCGAACACGGTAAAACGCATGCCCACAGCAGCCACGGCAGCCTCGGCAGCTACGGCTGCTACGGCCGCGACCGCGCCGGACGAGCTGGCGCCCAATACCGAAGAAGAGGAGGCGGCCATGGCGCCGCCGAAAAAGTCCATTTTGGAACGACTGGGCCTCGATACGACGACGCTGGTGCTGATGTTCAAGTGGGTTTCCCGTCGTTGATGTGCTTCTTTGCTATGGACAGTTACTGACTCTCGACAGAGGCTCTCTGCCCCCGGTCATCGGCATCGCCATGTTCCAGTCCACCGCCTTCGCCGACACCTACAGCACCCTTGGGTATCTTGTGCCCATTGTCAGCGTCATGACCGTCGCCGTCATGCCGCGTGGCAAGTTCCTCCAGACCCTGACGCTGAACCTCCTGTCCGTCAGCCTCGGCGCCGCCCTGGCCCTGCTCGTCCTCTACTCGGGCATCCAGGCCCGCGCCCACACCTCGGGTCCCTTGACGCCCGAAGAACTCGCCGCCTACCAGGCCACCGGCCGGCCGCCCTACAACTCGAGCCAGTCGGCCGTCTGCGCCATCTGGCTCGTCTTTGCCATCTGGCTCATCAACATGATCCGCGCCAAGCTGCCCTCCATGAACCTGCCGTCCATTGTCTTTTCGATTCTCATCAACGTCTGCTGCACCACGGGCCCGTTGCTCATCAACATGACGCAGGCCATGGCCCTCGTGAAACAGATTTACACGGCCATGCTGACGGCCATGGCGCTGTCGGCCGGCGTGTCCCTCTTCGTCTTCCCCATCTCGAGCCGCAAGATCTTGATGGCCCAGACCGCCGGTGCGATTGGGCTGCTGCGCAAGGCCGTGGTCCTGCAGGGCGCCTACCTGCGCGGCCTCGAGCGCGAGGACATGTATGCGCTCGTCACCGTCGAGACCGCCGTGGGCGAACTGGGCCCGGCCAAGGAGAACGAGCAGAAGCAAGAGAAGCTGCGCCGCAAGTGGCTGCACCACGCGACCAAGCCCGCCCACGTGCCGCCGCCCCTGACAAAGGAGGAACAGGCCGCCCAGGCGCTGCGCGCCACCATCACGGCCATGCGCGAGCTCGCGGGCAAGATGCAGCTGGAGGTGCGCTTCGCCAAGCGGGACGCCGCCTTTGGCAAGCTGACGGCACACGACCTGGGCGAGATTGTCAAGTTGATGCGCAGCATCTCCATCCCCGTCACCGGCATGAGCACGATTATGGACATCTTTCGGCGCACGGCCGAGCACCGCGGGTGGAACGCGGCAGACGAAGACATGAACTCGGACGACGCGCTGGCCAAGGCGAAGGAGCGGCGCGTCTGGAACGAGGTCATGAAGCAGTTGCACGAGCCCTTTGCCCTGCTGGCGGAGGCCATTGACGAGGGACTAGAGCATGCGGGACTCCAACTGGGTCTGCTGCCCAAGACCAAGGAGCAAAAGGCCGTGGACAGGGAGGCGTGCAAGCGGCGGAAGGCCGAGAAAGCACGCAAGGCAGCAGACAAGGCCAATGGGGTCAAGGGTGGCGATGCGGCTGTGTCGCCCTCTGGTTCCAACGAATCGAGCGTCAAAGGCAGCGACAGCCCCAAGGACGACGCGGCTCCCGAGGCTCCTATTTCTGCGCCTGCACCTGTCCCTGAACCTGCGCCTGTGCCTGGGCCAGGTCCGACTCCTCCTCCTGCTGCCGACGCTGACGCCGACGTCGAAGCCGCCACTGCGGGCGTGGTCAAGCCCGGCGACGAGGGGTTTGCCGACATTATCAGCCACAAGATCAAAAACTTTTACAAAATGCGCAGCGAGATCTTGCGCATCTGGGCCAAGGAGCGCGGCCTCATGGACGGCACCGTGCCGCCGCTCGCCAAGGACGGGTCCGGCGGCATCGACCCCGTGTTTGTTGCGCAGGAGCAGCGCCAGTCGCAGCTGTACGTCCTCCTGTACATGGAGCAGCTGATGATTGCGACGGGCGAGGCTGTGCAGGACTTTGTGGACTATGCCGACAAAAAGGTGGCCGACGGCACCATGGACAAGACGCGGTTCCTGTTCCCGACACTGCGGCGCATCCGCAAGTGGGCGATCAGCGTGTTCAACGACAAGGACACGGCGAGCGAGGAGACGTCGGAGGACGTGCTCAAGCCGAACTTCAACGTCGTCTTTATGGGCGACGGCTTCAACACGAAAAAGGACCCGGAGCACCTGCCGCCGGCCAACGCGTGGCAGCACTTTGGCAACGGCCTGCGGCTGGTGTCGCGGTTCCTGGGGTCGGCGGAGTCGGCGTTTGGGCTGCGGGTGGCATGCGCGACGATGACCGTGGCGATTGTGTGCTACCTGCGGGTGTCGCAGCACTTCTTCCAGGAGCAGCGGCTGGTGTGGGCCATGATCATCATTGCGATTGGCATGTCGCAGACGTCGGGCCAGTCCATCTTTGGCTTTTTCTGTCGCGTGGGCGGCAGCGCGCTGGCGATGGTGTTTTCGTTTGTCATCTGGTACATTGTCGACCAGCGCACGCCGGGCATCATTGTGTTTCTGTGGCTGTTTATTTTCTGCGAGTACTACTTCTTCCTAAAGTACCCGCGCTTCATCGCGGCCAGCATGATCACCATCATCACGCAGGTGCTGATCATCGGGTACGAGCTGCAGGTGCGCAAGATTGGGCTGGCCAAGGCGGAGTCGACGGGCCAGCGGTTCTACCCGGTGTACGAGCTGGCGCCGTACCGGCTGGGCACGGTGGCGGGCGGCAGCCTTGTGGCCTTCTTCTGGACCATCTTCCCGAAGCCGACGACGGACCGGGCGTGGCTGCGGCGGGACCTGAGCGCGACGCTCTACCTGCTGGCCAACTACTTTAGCGTCATCAACGAGACGCTCAAGTCGACGATGCACGAGACGGGCGGCAACCCGGACGTGCCCGGCACGCCGGCGCACCGGCTGCTCAAGGTCCGCCAGAAGCTGTTCAGCAAGCTCATGCTGCTGCTGCCGTCGCTGCAGCAGCACTCGTCGTGGCAGAAGTGGGAGCCGTCGATTGGCGGCGCCTTCCCGCGGGCCGCCTACGAAGACATCATCCTGCGGTCCGGCCGCATCCTCAACTACCTGACGCTCATCTCGTACACGGTCACCTGGCGGCCGCGCCACGTGCCTGGGCTGGTCGACGACGCATGGCTCACGGCGCTGTCGGAGCTGATCCGGAGCATCGGCCCGACGCACTACACGATCCTGTCGACGCTGGCGCTGCTGTCCAACGCGCTGCTGTCGGGCCAGTCGCTGCCGCCGTACATTCCGCTGCCACGGCCGTACGAGCTGACGCGGCGCCTGCTGACGCTGAAAAAATCGACGCCGGCGAGCGGCGGAAGCGACGGGCCCCAGAGGCGTGCCAGCTCGGCGAGCCGCGCAACGGCGACGGGGACCTCGGCGAGCGGGGGCGCGCCCGGCAGCGGCAAGCAGCCGCCTGTGCGGCGACGGAACAGCGTCTGGGGCAAACAGAGCTGGCGGCCCGAGGCAGGAAGCTCGGCGGTCGTCGACAGTGGCGGCGGCGGCATGTACGAGCGGCAGACGGAGGACGAGGCGGTCGAGACCGAACTGCCCCGCCGGCACCGGCGCAGCACGGCGGCCAGCAGCCGCGACCGGCCGGCGCTGTGGCGCGAGGTGACGGACAATGCCGTCAGCACGGTGACGGGGATGCCGGAGCTGACGCGGATGACGACGGGCGCGGCGGCGCACCTGGGCCGTGTGCTGGACGCGCGCAACATGGACGAGCACGGCTACACGGAGTTTGCGGTGCTGCAGGTGTGCAGCACGCTGGTGTGCGACGACCTGGAGGGCATGATCCAGGCGGTGAGCGGGCTGGTGGGGGTGGTGGACTTTAGCTTCCGGATGGACGCGAGCCACGAGAGCCTGGACGAGGCGGCGGCGGACGAGGAGGCGGCCGGCGAGAAGGGCAAGGGGAAGACGGAGTAGGGGAAGGTTATTTGGTCTAGGACATGGGATATACATTGGTTACGATAATGAGTAGGATACTGGAGCTGGGGGACATTGAATAGCCTTGCCAGAGATGATAAATTGATACCAATTTGCTTTGCAAAAGTCATGACAGGATCACGACCAGTAAGTGGATACATGTGCAGTTTATTATTTTGATTTGTGCTAGGATAGCAACTAGTCATGTGGCAAATTGAACTTGTAGCTTTTGCTTTTCCATTTTCCATATCAAATTCCGCTTACGGAGACAGGTGCTTGGATCGTGTGGCGCAGAAGGACCAACCCGCCTTACGCCTTCGCAGGAACATCCGCTACACGCCGGTTGCCGTAGCCGCGAAACTCCTTCTTCTTGCCCACTGTCGTGATCTCGGCCACGTCCTCGTCGCTGAGCACAAGGCCGGGTACGGTGGAGGCGATGCTCGTCAGCCGGTCGGCGTTGGTGCTCGTCGTGATGGGCACGAGGCCCAGCTGGATGGTCCAGCGCAGCGCAATCTCCGTCGTGGTGACGCCGTACTTGGCGGCCAGCGCCGGGTAGACGGCGTCGAGCGGGCCCGGCGCGCCCTTGGTCAGCGGCACCAGCGGGCCGTACGCCGTCACCGTGATGCCGTGCTGGCGGCTAAAGGCCACGAGGTCGGGCCGCTGCAAGTACGGGTGGTGCTCGATCTGGTTGACGGCGGGCACGACCTTGGCGGTGGCCAGGAGCGCCTCGAGGTGCTCCTGCAGATAGTTGCTGACGCCAATCGACCGGACTTTGCCGGCGGCCTGCGCGGCCTCCAGCTCGGCCCAGCGCGTCTGGTGGTCCGCGGGCGTCTGGGCGAAGCGCGGGTTGTGGATCAGGTAGAGGTCGACGTAGTCCAGGCCGAGCTTGGCCAGCGAGCGGTCCAGCGTCACCGCGAGGGGCTCGTCGTCGTGCACGAGCGTCTTGGTCGTGACGAAAATGGCGTCGCGCGGCACGCCGCTGGCGCGGATGGCGGCCCCGAGCTCTTCCTCGTTCTGGTAGGCTGTGCGCAGGCGGTCAGTCCTCTTCGTGTTTTCTTTTTATGTAGATGGTGGGTCTCTCATCGCTTCGTTTACCTTCAGCGCCGTCTAGGTGGTAGAATCCAGCCTCAATGGCAGTCTTTGTGTAGCGAACAATCGCCTCGCTCTCGTTGTTGCGCCCCGACAGCTTCGTACCGACGCCGAATCCGACCTGGGTGCGTTTGATTAGCGCGCGCGACCACAAACACGAACAACGAGGGAGCACGCACAAGAGGAATTTCATGGCCATCGTTCAATTTGACGGACGGGAAAGGCGACGGCGCCATGTTTGCCAGTATTCCCAGGAATTCGCTTTATACCGTTCGCTTGACTGGTGATACCAAAGGACGTAGTAAGAGATGGACCAAAATGGAATATGCCATGAGCAGAGACGTACAAGCAGCTGGGGGAGGACCGGCAAGCTGCTTTTATCCATACGCGATTCGTCGCAGACGGGCGGTGGTTGTGGAATGGCGAGCGAATGACGACACCTTCCACCGACCTTGCACCGACCATACAGCTTCGCTCGCACCCAGCTCGCAATCGCAGTGGCGTGTGCTCTGTTCGGTTCGGCCCTGCATTAGTGGGCCGAACTCGGCGCCGTTCAATCGCTCATCGTTCGCATTGATTGGACCGTCATCACAGCCAATGGTGTTGTTTCGGAGACGGCACAACCAAGCCTCAAAATGCATCACAAATGGACAACCCTCCCGGACTCCCGTACTTCGCGCCTGCGGACAAGCTACCAGAGCCGCTGCCTTCGCACGAGGCCATCGTAGCCGCCGAGGTCTGCTACGCGGACACGGTATGCAGCCGCGTCGTCCGCGTCGGGACGCATTACGTTGTCAAGTATGGTCCCGACGTCAGCCTGATCGAAGGGCAGACCCTTCGTTTTGTTGAGCCGCTGCGCCCTCCGCCGTTTCGGTTCCAAAGGTGTATGCGGTGTACACGGCCCAGCAAAATGAACCACATCGTTATGGAATACGTGGAGGGCGAAACGCTGGCATCTGTCTGGACCTCTCTTTCGCCGGAGACGAAGACGTCGATTGGCCAACAGCTTCGCGCAGCTATGGATTTCTGTATAACAACGGGCCGCCCGAGAAGGCCGCCTTCTATCGGCACACATTGTCCCTGGTCTTCCACGGCCACCGGCCCGTGTTTTCGCACAACGACCTGCAAACAATGAACCTCATCTTGCGGCCGGACGGTACCCTCACCATCATCGACTAGGAGGCGGCAGGCTGGTATCCGGAGTATTAGGAGTACGCCATGGCCCATGTCTTTTGCGGCGGCTGGACGACGGATTTCCATCGTTGCCTAGCACAAGCCTTGGATCCCTATCCGAACGAGTTTCCTTGGATTGCGATGCTTTGGCAGGAATTGTGGAACTGGCATTGCATTACAAAGGCACTTTGATAGGGGGATTCTTTGACCTGGTTTGGTCCTATACGTTATGATGGGCTCTACGGAGATTGTGCACTGTTGCCGCACGTGCGCCAATATCCGCAGTCAATGCAGCGGGCACTGCCCTCTTTTTCTCTTCCTTTGTAGGGGACCGTCTTGGTCAGGCTTTTGGTCACTGTTTTTTAATCGACGCAACGAATCTAAGAATGGCAAGTGTGGAAATCAACACACCCGTTCCACCCGCTACGACTCTCTCACTTAAGACGTACACAACGTATCAATCATCCGCCATATTTTGGTATGGCTGGTTTCCGTTATGGATCAGGGTGGATGGCTTCATCTAGCGGTTGCTGCCTTTTACTGTGTGGCTCGTTTTTGTTCTCCTCCCTTTTTTTTAGTCTTGCTTTGCTCTCAGACATCGCGATTTTGTTCGAGTTTACGAAAACAAAATTGGATTCCTGGCAGGTGCACACCTGCCTTGGTATGTGTATATATTTCCTGAGAGTCGTCAAGCTGCTTTCTCATTCCAGACAATATCCCATTGACTATGTTTTGTTTTTCTTCCCTCCATTCTCTTGTGTCGATTCGTTCATTTTAGACGTATGGAATCAAACCTGGGAAGGTGGTACGCACAGCAGGCAATTTAGTTAATAGGATGACATATTTAATCCCAGTATTTCTCATTTTCGTTTAAAGAAACGGCAGAGGCTTTTTGGATTTGCTACCGGCAGAAACCTTTGAGCCAGTTCCACAGCCACTGTCGAGCAGTTACCTAAGACAACGTTTCATGGGGATCGCTAGGGTCGCCTTTATCGTGTTGGTCCTGTCGGCCAAACGTATTTCTATATCTTCAGATCATTTCATCTTCATATCAGCATTGCATTACATGTTTTGTGTTTCTATAAGCCGTCTTTAGTATCCAAATGTCCTAGCAATAGAGTCCCACGTGTCCACGCAGCTTGGTTCATCTAGAAATAGAGGTATATAAACATCCAGCCATTCGCCGTGGACATTGGCCGTATATGACGCTTTGTAAAACTCCCAGTAGTCCGGATACCAGCCCGACTGCCGCCAATCTATAATGGCAGTGATTTTGCAAGACGACTCGTTCGACTCGTGAAACGTTGCTGACTCTGCCCGGGGAGTTTATGAATCGAGATTGTAGGCGGACGCCCGATCGATGTGAAGGGAGGTCGATCTGTCGACATAATAATTTGACGCTGCAAATAGGCACTTGAAGTTAAGATTTGAGAAAGCGACGATGCAGCATTTTATGACCGTATCTGTAGGAACTGAGGAAGACATGATTCTGTGAGTCCTAATAGGCATACTGGGTGTCAAAAGGACCTCATATTCAGGGGTGAGAATGTACATGGCCCATAGACCCCCTATGGCCATAATCTGACAATTGACGATGGTTCATTATTTATCACGAAGGCTCATTGTACGGATCAGACAACGGCGGTTAGGTGTTTTTGTCACTAAATATCACAAGCTGTGTCATAGGACCCTATTTTGTCTCGACACACTGACTAAATACAATGTGAAATTCTCTTGGCAGGGCTGCGTCTGGCCCTCTATCTCGTTACGAACCTATTCTAGATGCAACATGTTTTGTTTCTCAGTGACGTTGGGCATCAATTCTATGTACGGGGCACACCCAGGACGCTCCTCACAGGTGCAGAGGACGCCACACCCGGCCATACGTCGGCACTCCATGACAATGAATGCAACCCCGTGGAGGACAAAGCCATTGTCTTTTTTGATTTTTGTTCTTTGTCATAGAAACCCAGTATCGTTCTCGGACAGCTATTGTCTCGGCCAGGACAGCATTCTGGGTCGAGGTCCATATCGTCGCAGCCATCACGGTTGCCGAAGCTGCGCCCATGGCCGCAGTCCATGGCAATGCAGCAGGCACTGCCCTTCCTTTTTTTTTTTTTTTTTTTTTTTTTTTTTTTTTAGGGGCCTCCTTCTAATTTACGCATCGCGGCGGCGCAACGGCACGATCCAGCAACGGGCGTAATAAAATGCGACCTTGCTGCACGTCGTCACAGCCCCCAACGTTGATCTGCCAATGGTGAGCGGCTATTCCGTCACTGTGATTTGCGGCCATACACTCCTCCAGTCACCAGACGTTTCGCAAATAACGACCCGCATGCACCCGGCATTTTTACCGTCGACGAACCGCCGTGGTGCTTTCGAAAACAAGGGTATCTTTCCCGTCGTTGCAGATTGTCTCTCTGCATGGCATATACGACATTGCGGTGCTCTGCGCTGTACATCGACGAGTATCATTGGGCACGGGGGTTTGCTCATAGGTATGGTGTCAGAAACACCAAAAAACGACGTTTAACGTGCTGCACTTTCTCTCTCTCCCTTGTCCCTTGTCCAGTCCAGTTCTATTTTTCATGAAGCGAGACGCACGCACTCTGCTCGGGATGGCCGCATTCCCAGCAAGGCTTGGTATCATGCACGAACGCAATACCAGGTCATCACAGATGGACACGGGGCAGAGGCAACGAGAGGGTCTCAAGTACGTGAGCACGGAATTCCCTGTATTTGACCCGCAGTTCCTCCCAGTCTGTCCGTTGCTTTGTTCTTGTCTAGATGTCAGTCATGGCCATTCTTACACCACTCACGAGCCTTTCTCTGCTTACTGCAATTTTTCTTGCCTCATTTACCATCTCTTATACATTTATATAACGTGTTGTTCAAGACGCCGCCCCCTCATAGTACGTTGTTTCATTCTATCAGAGACGACCAAGCGAAAACCAACGTTCCACGAGATTTCCACACCATGGATCCCCTCTCAGCCATTGCATCCACCATATCCATCATACAGAGCATCGCTGCAACCTACAACACAATCAAAAAACTCCAAGGACTCCCAAAGGCGTTCAACGCCGTCCAAGAGAGCCTTCCCATTGTCCAAGTCGCTTTGGTCAAGGCCCATGGCTTTTTCGAACATTCAATCGACAACAGCGCGAAGGAGGGCGCCCAGCCGATTTTGTCCCGCTGCCAAAAGAACGCCGCAACACTGAACGATGTCTTTTTGAAACTGGCCGCGTACGAGACCAGGTCGGACGACAAAACGTGGGACACGCTGCTCAAAAAGTGGCACACCCTGGCGCTGCCGCTGCGAACGGGACAGAAGGTGGAGACGTTGATGAAGGGCATATTGGAGGACTTGGACTTGTTGATTCGACCCATTGCCTTTGACGACAGGGCCTTCCAAGCCCAGTGGCACGCCGCCATCACGCAGCTGGCCGACGTGGAGCCGTCCATTCCGGACGCGGAGTCACTCGGCGGGACGCAACACATTGCCAGCGGCGGCACTGGCTACCAATACAACAACCAGGGCGGACAGCAGAACAACAATACGGGGGCGGGGCGCATGTATAATGCGGAGAGGATGTACTTCGGTAAGGATGACTAGGGATTCCACGCTATATATATAACACCTATATATGAATCAAGTAGAGTTCTCAACTCACACTTTTTTCTTTTTTGTGTAGGTTCACCCCACACGGACGATGAGACAAGGAAGAAAAAACTCGAGATCCTCAAAACTCTCCACACCACGCCGTACAAGGAACGAAAGGATCGAAATCCCTGTCGTGTTCCAGGGACACTGGAGTGGTTTGTCCAGCACGAGAGCTTTCGGCAATGGAACGATGCATCGGCATCAACGATGCTATGGGTGTCGGCCGATCCGGGTGCGGGAAAGTCTGTGCTGGCGAGACATCTCGTGGACAACGAGCTGATGCGACAACGACATCCCAACGGTGACGTCGTGCCTCCAAATGGGCCCACAACGGTCTGCTACTTTTTCTTCAAGGACGACTTTACGGACCAGAGGTCGGCCAAAGAGGCCGTCAGCTGCATCATTCATCAGCTGCTGACGGAGCGAAAAGACCTGTTCACCGACACAATTCTAGACCGTTTTGAGACGGGCGGCGGGTACGACCGACAATCCTTTCACGACTTGTGGGACATCTTGATCACGACGCTGTTGCAAGCGTCCAGCGGCCAGCGGGAACGGGACCCGGCCAACAACGCCCACACCACACACCCACCTCTCCATGTGCTGTGTGTATTGGATGCATTCGACGAATGCAACCTCACTGACCAGAGGACGCTTGCCAAGGCGCTGGGTGACTTTTACGCGGGGCCTTTGTCGCACAACAGCAACGTTGTCCTCAAGTTCTTGGTCACCAGCCGACCGTACAGAAACATTGAGCAGGAGTTTCGATACAACAGCAAGCCGAACTTGTCTTTTGTGCGTTTGAGTGGAGAGAGCCCCGACGAGGTGGCCAAGATCCAGAACGAGATTGGCATTTACATTCAAGCCAAATTGGACGACATTGCGCACGAGCACGATCTCAGCGCGGCCGAAAAAAAGCACCTCCACGACAAGGTGCTGCAGATCCCCCACCGCACCTATCTCTGGGTCTACCTCACCCTGGACTTGATTCAGCGGGAATTCGACGAAGACATGGACCTAGACATGGCCTTGTGCCATCTCCCCACCGACGTCGACGACGCCTACGAGAAGATTCTCGCCAGGATCAAGCCAAAAGACGTTGCCAAGGCGAGACGACTGCTGCACATTGTCGTCGCAGCCGTTCGTCCGTTGACACTGGACGAGGTAAACTTTGCTCTCGCCCTGGAACAGCGAGACAGGTCCTACGACGATGTCAGGATGGTGCCCCCCGACCGGTTTCCCAAGTACATTCGGAACCTCTGTGGGCTGTTTGTGACGGTCGTCGACGGCAGGGTGTATCTTCTGCACCAGACCGCCAAGACGTTCCTTGTCGGGAGCGACGCAGCCGCGGCCCCCCAGCCGATACCCTTCCACGCGCAGAACAGCGCCCCCCGGTGGCAAGCGTCCTTCGTACCGAGCGCGTCTCACCGCATCCTGGCCACAATCTGCGTCTGGCACCTGCATTTTGAGACGTTTGTCGAGGACACGCCGGGTGGCGACGAGCTGCTGTCGGTGTCGGACTACGACGACTACACGGACAACTACGTCTTTTTGGAGTATTCGGCGTGCAACTGGCCGGACCACGTGCGCCAATCCGATGCGCGCGGCGACGACCCAGACGTGCTGTCCTTGCTGTGTCTCTGTGGTCCGAGCCCGCAGCGCACCGTCACCTGGCTGGACATTTACTCCACGTACGAGCAGAATTATGTCATCCTGGACGCCGACCGGGTCCTGGTGGCCGCGGCCTTTTGCGGCCTGGATGCCGTCGTGCGGGCCCTCCTGGCCTGTCCAGGCATTGACGTCAGCGCGACGGACGAGATGTACGGTCGCTCGGCCCTGCACTGGGCGGCGAACAACGGCTTCGACGACGTGGTGGAGCAGCTGCTTCTTTGTCCCGATCACAGGCCCGCGGCACCCACGGCATCCCGCGGCGTTCTGCTCGACGCACGAGATTTGCAAAAGTCAACGCCCCTGGCGATTGCCACCGAGAACGGCTGCGAGGCCATTGTGCGCCAGCTTCTCCAGGCCGGCGCGGATGCCAATGCGGTCGACGCCAGTGGTCGGTCGGCGCTCATGTATGCCGCCGCGGATGGGCAGCTGCGCATTGCACAGATGCTTCTCGAGGCGGGAGCCGATGTCGACGCGGCCACCATGTACGGCGACACGGCTTTGACACTGGCCGTCCAGAAGGGTCACGTGGCCATGGTACAACAGCTTGCCCAGATCACTGTGGGCAACGGCATCCACGGAGCGGATGCCGTCCATGCTCTGGGGCATGGCAAAACGCCCGTTGCATATCGGCTTGACGAACCGGGCACGGCTCACCACCTCGAAAGCCGACCCATCCCCGACGATTTGATTCTTGACGAGGACTTGTGGAACCCAGACGCATCCTGGGACGACAAGCCCGTACAATTCTCCATCAATCTACCTTATCGGCCTCGCTGACGGACGGCGACTTCAACATGTTATGATGTCTTTTTCTTCTCGTACTTTTTGCGTACATAGTGTTACGTCTTGACGTTCATTAGTTCTATGAATATAAGTGTCGCTGAGCGGCACGTACCCAGACTCCGATGCAATCCCTTGGATAGAATGGAAGATAGGTCGTCTGTTCATGCGTGCGCTGGATGCCCTAAAGCGTAGCGGCAGTACGGAGGGTTCGATGCATCAGACGTCCAAGGGGCTCTATTGAGACGAATTTGTTACCAAGGACGGCCGGCTCCAGACTCGTCAGCTAGTTTAGCTCTTAGATTCTGTTTTTCTTCGTCCCGTGCACTGGTGCTCCATCTTTCCGTGCCAACAAGAACTGAATTCTCAAAGTCAATAAACTTGGGCCCCTGAGACGTCATAATAATATTGTATCTGACAAGATCGCCATGAATAAGGTAATGATGGAGCTGGTCGAGCGCTTTCCCACAATCCTCGAGATCGCCAAGTCCTGGGAAGCGCCCCTCGGCCCTTTCTGTTAAAAAGCCGACAACGCGATCCTGGCTTGTCTCATAAACGTATCCAACAAGCTTTGGAGCCAGAGAGCATGCTGCCAGGCGATGATACGCTTGGATTTCCTGAATCACCCACTGTATCTCGCCTGGAAACCGTGCGATCTTGAGAAAATACGTCTGTGCGTTATTCGACACCTCCGAGGTGCGCGACTTGCATTCCCGAACAAGAGACAAGCTGGCCATGTCGTAGAGTTGGTATTGCCCGAGCAGAAACCCCTTCGGAATGGCCGGGGGAGAGGACCTGTCCGTTTCGCATCGCATCTCTCCCGCCTCCATGTTGATATGAAGGGTCGTCCAGGAGTCATCCCACTCCTTGAGTTTGCTGAGCTTTGCAATCACCGCCGGGCCATAGTTGCGATCGTTGTCAGAGAGGAAGCCAGCACCAATGACGGTGACGTAGACGACTCTCCCATCGGATCGCTGTATCCGTAGAGGGCGTCTTCATCCCCCGAATCGACGGACAACATCTCATCCATTGTAGAGCTATCTCTGTCAGTAAGGTGAACAGGACCATAGTGATGCACGGAAATAACATACAGGCCAAACTATCAAGTGTCGACAAAGAGAGCGAAAGAGGCGATGGAATTATGGAATCTGGTCACAACACGCTGTGTTGGGCGCCACCTCCCCACCACCACGAGATGTCACGTGCCGGGCTCCAGAGACACGTCCGCCGTTTATCAAGTTTCTATGTACATTCTTGCATTCGTCTCGTTAATACAACTACACAAGCCTTTTCACATCATCAAACGACCATGTTTGCCTGTACGCGATGGATTTTCACGAGTGTGGACCAATCAGAAGTCGTAGTGAAAGTATGGAAGCTATTGTTAAAAGATAGATGCCGGCCATAACATATTGAAGATGTCCTGTGCTTCAGTTTTGTTTTCTTTTTGTTTTCTGTTTTCAGCTTTCTGAATTCTACCTAGAACAATGACTCGACAGAGACAGGGGGCTCGGAGTCTCTTTGCACGCGATTTTGCAAATACTCCGAACTCTCTGACGTCTGACCTTTCATTCTCACTCGTCCGGGTAAGGGTTCCCGAAGCGCCAGGCGTTCCTTTTGTGTTTGTTTAGCAAGCCAAGTGGGCCAATCGCAAGCTTAAGTCGGCGCTTCTTCACCTCGTCTACTCTGCCATGTCTCCGCCTCACATTAACAAATGTCCATCTCCGATTTCTCCAAGCTTGGTCGCTCTCGAGCTTCCTCCCTACAAACTCCACGTCGACGATGTTTGACGTCTAATGTGCTTACGTTTGCACGGAAGTACCGTTCCCCCTTATGTCTCGTCCATTTTGTTCTTGTTCTTTCTTGTTCACATGTCGTGTATATCGATATCCGCTAGTGGCCTTCTTCATTTTCAAGCATCATATGAAATGGACATTCAGGCGACTTTTGTATGAAATATATCTGTTCAAATACGCTGCACTTAACGACACACGCTATTGATGGAAACGATAAAAGAAGTTACTGTTAAAGATGAAGAATGAGGAGTACTTGTTACCCATGTCACATGAAGTAGTGGTTAAAGTCACCCGGTCCAGGCGTTAGGTCATTCACACATTTTTTCCCCATTTTCCTCCTGGCATCCGATACAACGACACTCCGATACTCCAATACTTGTAGACGAATGATGACAAGGAAGGAAGCCTTTATGAGGGGAAGCTTGCTTGAAACGGCGACAAAAGTGTAAAAACTCCAGCCAGGAACACCACAGCCAGGCGAGCTCCAGGAAATGCGACTCCATAAAATTCATAGCACCCGCTCGCCTGAATTTCCGTATGCTCGAGCAATTCGCATAAAATAACAAAGGGTAGCGGCCCCGTCTTCATTTGGCGGTCTCACATGCTTAGTCTGTTCCTCTTTCGCCGTCGTCGTTGGGATCTAGAAATAGAAGGCTGAATCAACAGCTATAAATATGACCACAATCAAACAACTAACCCTCGTTCACATTTACAGCGATCACATTGTCTTGATTTTGTAAGTGGAGCAAAATCATGGAGATCGCGGACGTGGCCAAGATTGTGGAGAAGCTTCCCCGAGATAGACGAGGCAGACTGTGGATTTCTACCCCGTATTTGTATCTGGGGAATAGGAATAGTATATGGAAACACTAAAGCGAGTATCCACACGTCCCATCATTGCCCTCGGTGCATGAATTAACTGTCACGGCATCCGTGTCATCGCAACCTTGATCATCCGTTGCCATATGGCCCTAGTTAGCCTTGGACCAGAATGTGTCTCGTCTCCCTTCGTCAGCCCGGTTCCAATGCAAGGAATTCAGCATCTGCCACGCGTTTTCAGGAATCATTTACCCCCACATAGACATGTTGATAAATAATTTTCCGCGTAGGCCGTAATGAGCAACTGAGCTGGAGGGATAAAGAAGTAATTCTTTTGACGACACGCGACGTAGTAAACAGCACAGTACTCTAACGGTAAAGGTCCACGACGGTAGAACGGTTCCAGATTTCCATTGGCACCGACCTTACCATACCTCTAGCCTATTTCTCTCCACGCTCGTTCCTCGCACAAGGATCATGTCATTGTCGGTGCTAGACCATACCCCAGACCCCATCTTTGTTTTCCCGGAACGGCTCTCTTCCCGTATTGTCCTCTTATTCATCATATTTTATATTTAAATCCCCACCGGATCGCCTTTGTTTAACCCAGGTCCTAGCATCTAATTTCTAAGGAGGGTCTATTTTTCCCGGCTGGCTCCCTTTCGTTGGCTTTTTACTCCAAACATTAAGAGCATACTCGTTCCCAATTCTTAATTTCTTTTTGTTGCTTTCCTTTATCTTATCAACACATTTACTCCAACACTCTGATCCACCCACCTCCCCCCATCTGCCTCCATGATGGAGGAAAAATCGCAGGTCGAAATGGTCGAGCGGGTAGACCACAGCAGTGGCCCCGATGTCGAGAATGGCTCTGCTCCCGTCGACGCCCCGTCCGCTGCCGGCGTACCCAACGAAGCCCGTGACGAAGATGTTGTCACTCTCAAGACGTGGATTGTCGTTACAGTAGGTGGTTTTGCCTCGTGGAACACGCATCGTGTCGGTTGGCGGCATCCACACTAACAAATAGGTCCTCTCCTGCTCCTACGGTCTATCCTTTTGGATGGTCACGTCGCTCAGCGCGGCGCAGACGTTCATCGCGACGCAGCTCGGCAACCCAGCCAACGCCGCCTGGTGGACCACCGTCTACACCATGTGCACGGCCATCTCGTTTATGCTCTTTGGCGGCAACTCGGATCTGTTTGGTCGGCGCTGGTTCATCATCAGCGGCAACGTGTCCGTGTTCATCGGGTACATTGTGATTGGCGCCGCCAAGAACACCGAGGCCATCATTGCCGGCTCGGCGCTCATCGGTGTCGGCGCCGGTCTGTGCCAACTCGCGGCCTTTGCACTGCCCGAGCTGCTGCCCAACCGCATCCGCCACATTGGCATCCTGATTGCCGACTCCAGCACCTGGGTCGCTGTGCTGTTCGGCCCCATTGTCGGCCGCTATTCCATCACGGAGGGCCCCGAACGCTGGCGCTGGATGTTCTACACGCCCGCCATTTTGGTCGGCATCTCGTTTGCGCTGCTCATCTGGCTCTACCACCCGCCGAAGCACCCCCGCGGCATTCCCTGGAACGAGGCCGTCTGGCAGCTCGACTACCTCGGCGCGGCGCTGTTCACCGTCGGCGCCACGCTGGTGCTCACGGGCGTCATCTACACGACCATCATCCCGGCCTCCGACCCCATCGTCATCGGCCTGCTGGTGAGCGGCTTCGGCGTCACCGTCGTCTTTGGCCTCTGGGAGCACTTTGGCCACCTCCAGCAGCCGCTGGCGCCGCCCTGGGTGTTTGCGCAGGACAAGGGCCGCGAGTTTTTCTTTCCGTTCATCAGCGGCATGATTGTCAACATGTTCTTCTACTCGGTCAACATTGTCTACCCGACCATGATCAACGTCTTTTGGACCGACGCCAGCTCGTCCGTCTCGTACCAGTGCCAGCTGACGCTGCCCCAGGCCCTTGGCCTCATCACGGGCTCCATGGTGCTCTGGTTCTTTGGCATCCAGATTGGCCACTGGAAGATCCAGTACACCGCCGTCTTTGCTGTCATGACGCTGTTTGGCGCCCTGCTTGCCCTCGCCACGCCCGACAACATGGCCATGATCATGGTCTTCACCTTTCTCGCCCAGGGCGCGTACGGCTGGGCCCAGACGCTGTCCATCACCTGGATCCAGTTCGGCGTCCCCCAGACTGAGCTCGGCATCTCGGGCGCGCTGGCCGGTGTGGCCCGCTGGACCGGTGGCGCATTGTCCTCGTCCATTTACCTGGCCATTCTGTCCAACGTCCAGGGCAAGCAGGCCAAGACGCTGATCCCCGCGGCCGCCATGGCTGCGGGCGCCGACTCGAGCATGGCCACCCAGCTCATCACGGCCGTTGGCGCCGGCACCGCCGCCGGGATCCCCGGCATCACGGCCGAGATTTTGGCGGCCGTCGGCGCCGCCTTCCAGCAGACGTATGTGGTGGGCCTGCGCACGGTATGCCTTGTTTCGATTGCGTTCGGAGCCATTGGCACCATCTGCTGCGCGCTGTCCAACGACATTGGCCCCAAGATGAACAACAAGAGTGAGTCCTCGTCTACTTCGAATTCGGCGTTGCTGGGCGAGTTTGTGCTAACTCCTTGCAGTCGAGGTCTTTTTGGAAAACGATGTCCAGAAGGACAAGAACCGCTTCCATTAATTTATTGGCGCTGTGTCGCTCATTGTCGCTTGGGGATATACTCGAGGGCCGGAGTGCGAAGCGGATTGTGTTTCGCATCTCTTGTTGATAAGAGTCAAAGGAAAGGCAAAACAGTTTACAGAATTGAAATTTTGAGTTCTTCATGTGCATTTCTCGTTTTTGTCTGTATCACGTGAAGGTATTCGGTTTACCATGCAAATGGAAGTCGCTCAGTCGCCCTTTCCTTTTTGCGTGCACTGTCATACGATCGCACCTGCCATTTCGGTGGCGATGTTTGCAAACGGCGCGATGTCAATTTTCGCGATTCGACCCAAGTGGAAAGGAAAGCGTGGCGCAACGGTACCTTCTGTTTTCAGCAAATGTGTCACTGCTGCAGTGTCCAGGGCTTTGCTCAGCCTCCTTTTCCCCAGGGCGGGGATTTGGCCGCGACCTGCATCCACATCCATTTGACATCTCCTTGCAACATCGAAAGTCAGAAAAGCCAGCATGGCCCTGCTACGCACGAAACACTCAGTAAGCGGCCTGGGGAGGACTGTAAGACCGACGACAATGATCTTTTCCATCGCAACACGGCGATCAGTCGCGACCCGGGTGCAGCTCAAGGCCTCCACCAGTTGGACTACCTATGCGACCGTGGCCGGTGCCGCCAGTATTGCCGCGGCGTGGTGGATTCTGAGCAACAACGAGCCGAGCAAGACGCTCAGCGCACCGGACCTCGATTCCGATCCTGCTCATGTCGGCACGCTGCGAGGACCGTCGCCCGAGGAAGTGACGGGCATCTTGCACCAAGGCGCTTTCACCGTCCGCGTTGGTGCGGCCGTGCCGGGCGTGACACGCTACGACGGCATCCAGCTGGCATCCAACAGCCAAAGCGAGGATTTTTACACACATGGCACATTCTCGCTGCCGCGGTCACAGACAAAGGGCCGCTGGGCGGCATGGGCCGTGTTTGACGGCCACGCGGGCTGGCAGACGGCAGAGCTGCTCAGCCGGGCACTTGTACCGGCCGTGCGCGACAGCCTCAACGACGCAGCAGCCGCTCAATCACGCACGTCCGTCTTTACGAACCAGGTTGTAGTGCAGCAGGCCATCACCAAAGCTTTTGTCGACCTCGACAACCGCATCATCAAGACCGCCGCTGAGATTGCCCAACTGCCCGACGACAGCATCCATGCCAGCCGGTCGCTGCGCTTTGCCGACAAGATCCAGACCCTGATGCCGGCGTGGGCGGGCTCGTGTGCCCTGCTGTCCCTGTACGACCCCGCAACGCGCAACCTACACGTAGCCTGCACCGGCGACTCGCGAGCTGTCCTCGGCCACCTGCAGGCGAGCAAAGACAATGGAAAGGACAGGTGGGAGGCCGTTCCGCTGTCCGTGGACCAAGCCGGCACCAACCCGGACGAGGTCGCGCGTTTGAATGCGGAGCATCCCGGCGAGGAAGACACCCTGGTCAAGGACGGCCGCGTGCTCGGCATCATGGTCTCGCGCGCGTTTGGCGACTGCCGCTGGAAGTGGCCGGTGGCCCTGCAGGCATCGCTGTACCAGCGGTACATGGGCGCTGCGCCGCTGCGGCCGCCCAAGTACCAGGTCAAGACGCCGCCGTACCTGACGGCCGAGCCGGTGGTGACCACGACACGACTCGAGGCGGACGCGCCCTATTTCATGATTCTGGCCTCGGACGGCCTGTGGGACCGACTGTCCAGCCAGCAGGCAGTTGACCTCGTCGCTGCGTGGCTTGCGGGGCCCGGTCCGGCCACAACACCGTCTAAGCGACCGGTGCGGCTCGGCCGGGCGTTTCACGCCAGCTACACGACGACCCGCGATGGCAATGCAGCCGTGCATCTTGTGCGGAATGCGCTCGGCGGCCGCGACGAGGCATCCCTGGCGGCGCGCCTGGCATACGGCCCGCCGTTCTCGCGCGTGGTCCGCGACGACATTACGGTGCAGGTGGTGTTTTTCAACATGGATGGAAAATCGCTCCCGAACGCATGAGGGCACGGTGGCGCTTCAGACCACGAAGGAGAAGGCGGATGACATAGTTGTCGTTTTATTCAGCGCAGCGCGTTCATTTCAGCAATAGCATCACAGAAGACAGCAACATGTTATTTTTCTGGTATTGTTTAAGCTCACGTTCGATTTAGCAACCACGTTCTTATTTGGAAAGATGGCGGCCTAGGTTAACAATCTGATGAGTCGGGATGGAAAGCATTCCGAAAGGAGCGCGACGTCACATGACTGAACAAGATTTTTAAACACCCGCAACAGTTTCTTTTATTCCTCTCCACAGAGGCCACAGACATCACAACCCCTGTATCCCTGGACCATCCACACAAGTCTGAAGCCGAACGTTCATCTAGATGAAGAGGAAACAGCGACGAGATCTGCTCCAACCCACGGCACCCCAAAGGACTCGGGAACGGGGAAATGGTTATTTGTGTGCGAGTCGCCTTTCTCCCGTCGCATGCCCTTCGGTAGAGTAGTGGCCGGCTGTTGCACGACCGGACCGCGACCTTAAAACAAGCAGGGTGATTCATAATGTCGCGAAGGATTCGTTTCTGTATAGGCACTAAAGATTGCGAAACCGGTCGGAGCCTTTTGGAAGTCTGACCTTCATCCAACAAAGTTCTTTTTTATTCATTTCACCTGCCACGCGGACGTAGAGTTAGTTACGATACTTGATCAAAATCAAAGTACGTATATTGTATACTTACTGTTTTCCGTTCTTCTTGGAGTGCTTCTTGTGAGCGCCCGGGATCGTACACACGCTCACCGAAAAGTTCTCCCCTGATTGCGAAACAGCGTGAACGAGGACATCGTCGCCGAACGGCCACTGCAATTCTTAATAAGGGTTTTCCCAAGGACACAGATAGAGCATTCCGACGAAGATAAAAATAAAACAGGGTACGACGAACGTAGACCAAGATACGTACCTCGTCCGTTTCGCGCAGGTCGTCGCGCTGGTCGTACTGCGCAAAGTCGTAGCCCGTGCCTTTGAGGCACTTCTTGGCGGCCGCAAAGGCGTCGGCGCGGTGCACGTAGCAGCCCTCAATGTCGGTCTTCTCAAAGGCGTCGCCGACCCAGGCGTTGTAGTCGATGGCGGTCTGCAGCACGTAGTGCAGATGGCGGGCCAGGTCCTTCTCCCGTTTGCCGTCGTTGTCGGGATGCGCCGACAGCTGGATGGTGCCGTCGGGTCCCGCCAAAAAGCCCTGGTCGTTGGGCGTCGTGTCAAGGCCGACGATGAACTCCTGGCCGGCCGGCGCCTTGGCATAGACGACGACGCCGTCGCCGTGGGCCAAGGGCTGCGTGCCGTCGCGGACGTCGTATTGGACAAAGTCCGAGGGCTCGTAGCCGAGGTCCTGCAAGGCCTTGGAAGCAAACGCCTTGGCGGCCTCGACCGTGGCGTGTGTGCCGAGCACGTAGACGCTACGAGTTGGCGCCGCCGTTTCACCGTCTTTGCCCAGGACTGTCAGGGTCGTATGGTAAAGAAGCTCTGGGATGCCAGACATGATTGTTACTGTTGTGTTCAATAGTTCAACGTTATTGTTCGTCATAAAACGGTTGTCGTAGAATATTGGTCGTAAATCCGTTGATGTATAGTATCATAGACATTGCGTTTAGGGAGTATTGCCTACAAACGTTTCCTTGCGCAAATATATACTTTAGACGACAGAAACGTATCAGCGCATTGATTTCAACGGATATGACAGCCGACTTCCCGTACTATTTTGTTATAGTTGTGTGGTGCCACAAATAAGGAACACATGATGCTGGTGGACTGATCGAGAACTGTCGGCGATGCGTGTTGGTGGCGCAATGTCGAGTTAGGTTGGTGTAGGGGGAACAAGTGTGAATGAGTAATCCGCCTACTAACACAGATATTGCCTGTAAGGTGTCATGGCCTAGACGCATCACCCCACCCTCACCACGCTCGGCCGTTTCCGTCCGTCTCTCTATATAAATCAAAATGAGAACAGACCAACAAGTCTCACCACCGGACACACAACTTGGCAACGAAAATGTCGTCTGCAAACATCATGCCAATGTCTCGGATCGCAATTGTCGGCGTCGGCTAGATCGGTGCCGCAGCTGCGTACGCGCTCATCCTTGGCTCCGTCGCGGGTGAGCTGCTCCTCGTTGACGTCAAAGTGGACCTGCGGGACGGCCAGGTCCGCGATCTCGCTGATGTGATCTACAGCCGCAACAGCCGCACGCGCGTGCGAGCGGCCACGCACAGTGAAGCTGGCCAGTGCGACATTGTGGTCATCACCGTGTGGTCGAAGCATCCCATAGGTAAGGGAGACATCGCATCTGTTTCTGCTGTCCCAAAGGCTCGAGCTGATGTGGCTCATTTGACTGTTTAGGCGAAACCAGCTCTCAACATGTGTACCAAACCGTCGCCATTGTTCGGAGTGCGTGCCCACACCATTCCTCCTTGCTCGTTAAAAATCGGCTAATTGAAGGATAGGTCGCGGCCAATTCAATCGATCTCTACGTATTGGGCGTACATGGCGATGCGCAGGTTGTTGCGTGGTCGACGGCGATCATCGGCGGTGCGCGTATGGACAAATCGCTCCCACCGGACACGTTTGGTCGCGCCGAGCTTGCAAAGGACAACAAAAATCAATCGCAAGCCATCATCCGGGTCAAGGGATCAACGCCCTCTGGGATGGGCTCGATCGTGTCCAGCATCTGCTCTTCCATTGGCAACGACAAACGAAATATTCACCCCATCAGCCATTTCCAGCCGGAGTTTTCCAGCCGGAGTTTGGTTGCTGCTTCAGCCTGCCAGTATTCCTGGGAAGGAAGGGAATCATGGGGACGATTCAAATGCCATTGAATAGCGACGAGCGAAACCACATTGTCGATTCAGCAAAGGCTCTCAAAGGTACAGTTGACAGGTTCAACGTGGATTAGTAAGTATATGAAGGTAGTACTGGCCGCAGCCAAAAGACACAGCCTGCCCATAAACGCGGGCTCATGGCGGGTACGTACTAAATAGGGTAACCTGCCAAGGTGTCAGTGCAGATAAGGCTACGCTTCATTTTAGGTTGCACCCGAGAAAATCCGCATGCGAGTCGAAGGGAGGAGCGGAAATGTGTGATTGTGAGCAAAGGCGACAAACCTTGCTTCGTCACACAAACGAAGCGCCAGCCCTTGTCGTCAACTGAAGTTGAAATCGGAAATATTGTACGATACGACATACAACATGCGCCCTTGTTTGCTTGCCCGTCCCGATCCATCCGGATTCCGCCTCCCTTCACATAAGTGTTGGGGCACCCATGCCAAGACGGCCCTTTGCTCGTTTGAGCGATTCTCGAGTGTCATGCCAAGAGCCAAGACGTCCTCCTGTTGATGGTGGTTGCTGTGGCTGTGCTGTCTTTGTACGTCGCATTTGCATTTGGTATTGTGACAGTACGAATGTACGGGTAGACACGAACGGTGCGCACTCATTTCGCCAACCTCGCTTCTCGTCGATGATTGTCTCTTTCCTCTGCTCTGTTTACATTTTCTTTCCACTCTTGTGTATTGATCTCTCATTCCGAAATGTGCATGTCGCCTTTCGCCCTGCTCGTTACCACTTCTACCCACACAAGAACCTCCGTTCCCACAGCCAACCATGCGCGTGCGACTGTTCTCTGACCCAGCAGGCAAGCTGGTGTCCGTGTTGGCTTGGTCGTCTGTGGCCTACGCCGCGCTGGCGAACGCTGCGGTCAGCACACATGTCGCAAAAGCCGACACGGACATCTCGCCCGGCGTCGTGAACGTGGACTTGGTCTTTCCCCTCAACAACACGTATGCTCCGTTTGACGGTGCGATGCCTATTGTCTTTGCTCTGAGCCGCCCTGACATTGGGTCTGTTCTGCAGCTTCGGCTCAGCTACAGGCTGTTCGACCTGGCCAACGCTGCTTTGGGCCAAGGTCAAGTGGTCAACCTCTCTTCGGACTCTGGCCCCGTCCCGCAAACAAAGAACAATGGCGACGGGGAGTATGCCTTTTTCATCCACTTTAGCGACGACGCCATCGCTGGCCGCATTGGCCAGTTCCTTGTGGAGCTGACGTTGATTTATGTCGTCGACTATCCCGGCGACAAAGACGTGCCCAGCTCCGTCGTTCAAGTCCCCCTCATGTACGACATGATTTTCACGACGCGTACGGGCGCGCCGCCGGCTGTTGTTCCCGGCATGAACGTCAGCGACAGCGGCAGCGGCAGCGGCAGCAACAGTTCGACGCCTTCGTCGTGTGTGCCCCTTGGCGCCGCGTCCTTTTACTATCCAATCAACATCACCGGTTTCATTACGGAAAAGGGCATCAACTACGGAGTGGTCTCCACAGACAAGACGCGCCACCTCCTGCCCCCGTGTGCCGTACGAGTCGACCCCGATACCGCAGCCTCCATTGCAGCCGGCTCAACACAGACCACGGCTACGGCGACCGGCACAGGCGCCACGGGAAGTCCTACCGCCTCTCCCAATGCCGCTCTATCTGGACGGGCTTCTACGTCTACTATTGTTGCCACTGTCTTTGTCCTGGCAGTCTTTCAGTGCTTCCATGTTTTTCATTGGCTTTGAGGGCCTCTTCGTTTTGAGCGTGAACCAGTAGACGGGAAGAATGTATGTGTTGGGAGTGATACGTGACCCAAGATGTGTCTACATGTATTAATAGTCGATGCCATATTTGCCATGGAGTCAAAATGAAAGATTAACAAAAGACGAAAAGTCGCCCTCGGCGGAGATCTGTGTTGCAACAAGTCGCGATTCCTGCGGTGTAATAAGATTGGCAAATTTGAAACCTGAAATTGCCTGCACATTGTTTGTTCTGTCTGGTGAGTGCAACAAAAAGTATGACCACAGCTCTCATAACACCATGATGAAAAGATGCAAGAATTCTCCGGTTAGCTTAAAGCTTCAGCCTTTCATGGCTACATAAAACAAAGAAAACATGGGCCTGACGGGGGGACCAGTACAAACACTCCTAACCATGTATTAACTATATACAATAACATATTTAAAATACCTTGAGATCGATCCATCTCTGCAAACCATGACTTGTTCTTTCATTCTTGTCACATGGGCAGCACCATTTCTGCGCCGTCCCACGCCCACCGGCACAGCCCTCCCTACTCGTAGTGGTTGGCGACCTTGAGGCCCTTGAAGACAAAGTCGGTGCCCGCCCGCTTGTCCAAGACCGTCTTGTGGTGCACGTCCCTGACGCGGGCGCGCACGTACTCGGTGCCGGACACGACGTCGCCGGTGTCGACCTTGTCCTCGTCGGTCAGCAGGCCCAGCCGCTCGAGCAGCGGCGACGGCACGGGCTTCATGGGGGTGTCGTCGCCGGGGCGGCTAAAGTAGAGCAGGCCGAGGCGGGGGATGTTGATCTGGTCCTGCGGCGGGGTGACGACGCGGTGGACGGTGGACTTGATGAAGCCCTTGGTGAGGAAGGTCAGCGTGTCGGCGGCGTTGCAGGTGATGCCGCCGTCGACGGGGCGGACGTACTTCCAGGCGCCCTCGGGGGTGCGGATCTGGAGGCCGGCGACGTGCTGGGAGAAGAGGAGCGTCAGCGAGCCAAAGTCGGTGTGGCCGCCCTTGGAGTAGGCCTGGGCGCGGTCCCACTCGTCCTGGGAGCGGACGTTGTAGATCATGTAGCGCAGGTGGTCGTCGGACAGCTTGTCGTAGTCGTGGGCGTCGGCGAGGTAGTCCTCGTCGGGCAGCTCGAGGACGATGGCGATGAGGACAAAGAGCTTGCGCACGACCTTTTCCCAGACGTCGCGGTGGAACGCGGCAATCTCGGCGTAGTTGTCCTCGACGACGGCGTGGCGGCCGATGTGGTCCCACTGGGGGATGGCCTTGGGGATGTTGAGCTGGGCGTGTTAGCTGCGTGCAGGGGGAGATAGAAAAAAAAGTGAATAACAGAATAGACTGGGCGCACCATCTCAATGTTCTCCTTCACGCCCGTGTCGCCGATCCAGCGCGAGTTCTCGCGGTAGCCAAAGTACTCGCCGTCGGCAAAGTTGCACGGGAACCGGCGCTTCTCCTCGAGCGACTCCTTGAAAAACGTGTTGCCAATGCTGAACTGGCGCAGCACGCGCTCGTCGTCGATGCCCGTGTTCACCACCGACCAGAAGCCCACCTTGCTGATGGCGTCGTACAGGTCGCGGGCCAGCTCTTGCTTGCCGCCGGGCGCGTCGAACCGGCTCAGGTCGATCTTGGGCAGGTCGGCCCAGTCCAGATCTTCCTTGGTCACCGAAGGACGGCTCCACGGCTTGATGAGGACCTTCTTGTCCGGGCCGGCCGCAGCCGCAGCCGCGTCTACCGTCGTGTCGATTGCGCCGGGGGCCATTTGGATATTCGGGGTGAAATAAAACAAAACAGTTTTTTTGTAAAAAAAAAAAATGATTCGTGGTGATGCCAAGTCAGGGTTCTGTCCAGCCTACGTCCACAATCGTTTCTGGTCAAGGGAGGAGAGTACGACTAAATAAGGAACGATGGCGTGCCTCGGAGGGTTCTCGATGTCTTCAGATCGAGGCTGGCAACCGAGAGTACGGGGCGTAAGCTGCATTCATTATTTCACACAACACAACCGGCGCCAACGGCACGGCCTTTGCCGTTTGAAATTGGTCCGGAGAGGGGACAGCAGACTACGACATTTTTGAACGTCTCGACGTCGAGGACTTACACGTCACGGATCCGAGCGGGGATCTCTGAAACTGTCCGGACCGGGTCGACAGGGCCGCCGTGATTGGGGGTGGTTGGGGATGGATGGCCGGGTGGGGCTCCGTTAGCGTCGACGTGCTTGCACCCCCATACAACGCCATATGGGAGGTAGGTGACGTGACAGGGTGGACCAGTGAAAGTTGCGTCAGACATGGCGAAGAAAGGGAAAGAAAGGGAGAAAATATAAGGATGTGTGGGTGAGAAACACTGACGTTGTGTTCCTTAGGACGAGTAAATCGTAAATGTACGAACCATGGCAATGAGTATGTGCACTGGGGAGCTGACGTCGGGTAGGACCACTGGTTGTTATCTGTCACAGAAGCGCCTCATTTGAATTGTATTTCCTGTATTCTGTATTCTGTATTTCGTATTGCTTGCCTGTGTATGTCGTACGTGTTCCCTTGCTGGCCGCGTCTTATCTATCCTGCCATCGACAAAGAAGATTGCGATAGACTGTCACAGATTTCACGGATAGAATCATTTCAGTGTCACAATGTTGTGCCTATGAAGGCATCTTGACAGAGTGCTCTTGATGTTGTCTGTCTACTCAGCTGGCTGGGGGGTATTGGTGTACCCTCGCCATGTTCCACAATACGTCTGGTGTTGTTTCGTACCGGACTTCGGCAAGCTTGATCTCGCTTTCGTGAGCACGAGTCAGGGCTCTTAAAACCCCACTCGCAATGGCTGCTCAATGCTGTCCACTGCAATCTAGTACGACTTGTTGAGTCCTTCCCTCGGATCCTCGTTCTTCCATCCGTTTATTTTCATATCCTGTCGCGAATTCAGCCTGGAAGTGCACGCCCGTGGAAAGTTAGCTTTTACGGGTTCTTGGAGATCGGCAGCTGTTGAGAGGGACCCCGATAATTTCCCTTCTCGGCCTAGGTTCCGTTTGTTAGTCTACAGTGGTGCCTTGGTCCTGCAAAGCCGCACCGCACTCGACGTGTGTGCCATCTAGAGGCTGGATCACGCAAGGCTGAAGTGGCTCCAGTTACTATGCCTTTAAAGGTCCGCTTAACCCTCCGTTTAATGGTCCGCAAAATGGTCCGAAGGGACGATCCAGAAACGTCCGCACCAGAGGAGAATGTCATTGGTCAAAATGACTTCCATCAACACGCACCATACGTCGTACAGGACGAGATAGTCTTGGCAGCCGACGGCAGAGCAAAACGTGGAGGATCCTGTGAACGACAGCCCTACGACAGTCTTATATTGCCAATCAAGTCTCCTTACTTCTGTCCGGCTTCCACGAGACTCTCCAACGTCGCCCTCCACCCTTCTTACCAAAATGGCTGAAGACTTGTCCGAGAAAAAGTTTGCCGGCGTCGTCGGTGAAAGCCCCGTCGTCTTTGCGACCGCGTCGTCGTCGTCCGACAACGAGAACGGCGCTCCGCAACATGCTGCCGTCCCCGACGATGTCGACCCGGCGTTTCACAAAGCCGCCATGTGGAAGGCCGACATCTGGCTCGTCGGCTTCTACTCGCTCGTCTACGTCTTCCGCGTCATCGACTCGGCCAACTACTCCAATGCCGCCATCATCAACCTCGAGGCCGGCACCGGCATCAAGAAGGAGCTCAACCTCGACCCGTCGCAGTGGGCCTGGACGCTGTCCATCTTCTCGTACAGCTACCTCATCTTTGAGCCGTCCAACACGCTGCTGCTCAAAATCTTCCGGCCCTCGCGCTGGATGTTTGTCCTCATCTTCTTCTGGGGCGCCGCGGCGTGCTCGTCGGCGGCCGCGCAGAGCTTTGGAGGCATGATGGGCGCGCGGTTCGCCATTGGCGCCGCCGAGGCCGGCTTCTACCCGGCCGTCCTCTACCACATGGCCTTTTGGTACAAGCCCGCGGAGCTGCCCAACCGCATCGCCTTCTTCTACTCGGTCGGCCAGCTCTCGAGCGCCCTGTCCGGCCTGCTGGCCTACGCCGTCAGCTTCATGGACGGCCTGCAGGGCATCTCCGGCTGGCGCTGGCTGTTCATCATCGAGGGCCTGCCGGCCACTGTCTTGGCCGTGATTGCCCTCATCTGGCTGCCCGATTACCCCGAGTCGGCCTGGCACTTGAACGAAAAGCAGCGCCAGTATCTGAGCGGCCGCCTGGGCGAGCGGGCGCCCACCGGCTGGGGCAAGAACTGGGACTGGAAGGCGCTGAAGCGGCTCTTTTCCGACCCGACCTTTTACACCTTTAGCGTCTACTGGATCGGCCACGGCATTGGCGGATTCGGCATCAGCTATGCGCTGCCGACCGTCATTTACGAGCTGGGTTTTACCACCACCACCAACTCGCAGCTGATGAATATTGTGAGTGGCGTGGCATGACTTTTTTTTTTTTCCTTTTTAAACCCTTTTTTTTTCAATATTATCTTACTAACACTGATCAACAGCCTCCATACGTTGCTACGTTCCTGTTCCTGAACACCCTCGGCTACCTTTTGCAAAAGAAGATTATCCGGCCCTGGACGACAGCCGTGGGAAGTAAGTGACTCCGGCTCCGCATACCTGCAGTTGTCTGTTTGCCTGCTAACCACGTTTAGTCGCCTCCACCATCATCGTTTGCTACATCATCTTGTTCACTGTCCACAACAACGTCGTCAAATACCTCTTCCTGATTGTCGCCGTCTCCTGTGCCGGCTCAGCCTACCCCGTCATCTGGCCCGAGCGCATGCGTGCTCTCGAAGGCACCGTCTCGTCCGGTATCGGCATCGGTTTCACCAACGCCATGGCCCAGTTCAGCGGCATTGCCGGTCCGCGCATCTACAGCACTGTCTTTGGCCCCACCTACCATGTTTCGTACGGTATCTGTCTTATATTTTTGGTTGTCGACATCACGGCCCTCCTGCTATCGTGGTTCTTTGTCCATCGCAAGGACAGGCGGGTTGCTGCTCTGGTAGCGAGTGAGGCCGCGGCGACTCAAACAGTAGCAGTAGTATGATAGTTGGCGCTGGTCGTGGAAATGGAAACTGTGTAGTAAATGATTTAGATCGGAATCTAATTTATTCGGAATTTGCAACTCCGGTCAACCAAGAGACGGCCTCGTCGTGGGAAAAGTGGGTCCTGTGCAACAGTCACGGGTTGACGTCTTGGGTTGTCTTATGTCATCCACACGGTCGCGCCTTCCCTCGGACTGTGTATTGATGGCTCTTGCCTATTTGCCCCTTTTGCGCAGTGAATGGTGCTGCCCACCGAAAAAATCCAGTTGTCAAAATTTCGTCAACTTGGGGAGCTGCAAACCCAACTACAACCATCGCTCTACTCACCGCAACACGGTTGTGACTCTCACACCGGCGCATTTCTCCTCCAAATTTATACAATCTCTACACTGGAATCGAACCTTCCTGCGAAACTGAGCCATGGCATCTAACCTCGCTGGGCCATCGGGTAGCTTTCGAAAGAACAATAGCTCCGACGAATCGGATAAAACGAGAGGATCGGAAAACACAACTGTGGCCGCAGCTGAACATCACAGAACCGACAGGTACGACTTCAAGGAACCTTCTGACGAAGAAGCCTCATTGTACTATTCCTCTTTCCCATCGCAGCCCCGTCTGTTGGGACGCACATCGAGTGCAACGACACCCTGGTTCTACGAGACATGGCCGCCAAGAGACCGTTACTACCCATTCGGGCGGGAGTGCGTTCTTTATTCTGCGACGGTTTCCGGTCCTGTCGGTCCTCACGCTATACACGCATTGTGGGAGTCGACCACGCGGCAGAAAGTCATTGGAGCCCTTTCTCTGATCGACTGGACATCGATTGACGTCCTCCGCATTGGACGTGCGACACTGGCTCAACACGACAGGCCTGTGATCGTGTGGGTCGGCGTCGCATCCCGTGCTGTCGACGGTCAAAATGTGTCCTGGCCACTGGTTTCTCATGTCTTGGGGCAGATTCGCCGCATCCTGGACGACGATGGGTTGTGCTACGTGGAGTGTGAGTTGCGCGTCTCCAATGTCCTGCGTGCTGCCGGTCCGCGTCTCACCGCACCGCCGCTTGGCATAGGTCGCAATGGACACCGACAGTGGGAGGTCGACGTTACACAACACATGGGCACGATGATCGGCCAAAGTATCGAACGGGGTGTCAAGAACAAAGACAACGACAAGCACAAAACGAAAGACAGAAACAATGTTCCCCGGGGCACTCTTGGCCTATATCTTGCTCCAGTGCAATCTTCGCCCACCCCAGCAATGTCGGCCAGCGACGTACCTGACCCGAGTACGACAGACAACACGAGCGAGAATGGGCCCGTTTGGGGTCTGACTTGCCATCACGTGGTCTTTGAAGACGATTCCAAAACTGTCACCGGCACCGCCATGGAGAACAAAGTCGATATTCTTCTGCCGCCTCTTATAGTTTTGGAAGAAGATATACAAACAGCCGAGGAGCGAGTCGAGGACTTGCAAAATAAGATTCTGATGCTCGATCAACCTGTCCAAGGCGGCGGTCAGCCTTCGGTAGAGGACACTGCCGAATCTCTTCAAGTGATCTTGGACCGGCAGGCCTTGGACCGGCAAACAAGCCTCCTGGACAGACTTAGGGCCCTTCAGTCAACGGATACCAATCGTGTAATTGGTCAAGTCCACTACATTCCGCCCGTTCGTGTGAACACCGACCCCACTTTCACTCGCGACTGGGCTCTCATCGCCCTTGACAGGGAGAGATTCCCAGAGTCCTTTTCTTTTCACAACATTGTTGACCTTCAAACGGACCGAGATGGAAACAACACCCGCAGACTTGTGCGTAAGGCGCTAGGCAATACGGAGTTTGTTTTCCCCGGGGATGGAGGATTGCGCCTGCAAGGTATCATTCCATTGCAGGAGATGCGCGGAGGACGGATGTCGCACCGCTTGACCACAACCGCGGAAGATGATGACTGTTTCATTGTTATGAAACGCGGGCATACGACAGGCCTGACTGCCGGCGTAGCCCTTGATATACGATCAATCACCAGATATCTGCCTGAACACGGCCTTCCGAAGGTGGTATCGTATGAATGGACAATTATGCACATCGACTGCAAGTCGACAGAAAGGCACTCTTCCCCCCTTGGCAAGATAAGTATGTTTTCCAGCGGCGGAGATTCTGGTGCCGCCGTATTTGACCTCACGGGCCGGGTTGGCGGGCTCTTGAATGGCGGCGCGGGGAGAAAAGTGGGTTACTTGACGCTGCATGACCTGACATATGCCACGCCGATGGAATATGTCCTCGGCGACATTGAGGCAGAGCTTGGGAATCAAGTTCACATCATCTAGTGGTGCAAATTCTAAGCAGTTGTAATGTATGGTTAGGAAATCTACCAGTTGTGCTTTTGTATCTTGAATTTGAGTGACTTGCGCCGAGTGTATGACATTATTGGATATTTATGAACATATTATGATATCTGCAAAACAGCGCCGTCCTTATGTGTAAAAAGTATATGTAAAGAAAAAAGGACGAGACAAATGTAAAGTAAAGTGGAAAAAAAAGAAACTATCGCAAATAACAGAACGGCGCAGAGGTGGGCTGGAACGGTGGGCTGGAACGGCGGAGGGAGTGGAGGGAGCCCTAACCAGGAAAAGTTAAGCGGGAGTGTAAGTCGACTTGAGAGAGCTTGCTGTAGACAATGGACCTGGGCTGGGTGGACGGCGAGTCTTGTCGCGCGAAATTGCGACTTTTACGAGAATACGAGTCGGATGGTCCTGTGGCACGAGATACCCAGGGAGGAGACGTCTTAGTTTAGCGCCGGGCCACGGCTGGGGCCGCACCTAGGACAAGTGGTCCAATCAAATCCTACAGCATGTCGAGTGACAACAGTATCCTGCATCACAAGAAACACATTGTAAGTGGCTGACTTGATGTCAGAAGCCGGAAGTTGACTAGCGTTAAGCTGCCATTTTTTGATTTCTCGCTTATTCTCTGAGGGCCCGCAGCCCCTGTGCCCTGGATGTGCTCTTCGACGCCCCACGCCCCCTTTGACTAGGCGCTCTCTTTGACACTCCTGAATACTGAGACGGAGCACGGCTCCTGGTCGACTGTGACTGCCCTCGTCCCTCTCTCTCCCCGCCTCGCCCAGACGCGACAGACTTTCCGCCCTCACGCCCGCGCCCTCGCCTTGGTCGTCGTCCACGCCCACCATTTGGTCCTATTGATTGGTTGAGAGTGCGGACCGACCATGACAGGGCCACCGAGTCGGGCTGCGTGCTCTGGTCCCACTCCGGGTGTTGCGCGTCCTGCTCCAAGATTGATTGCATGGTCACGTCCCGCTGGCTATCTTGCGAACCTGGGCGCGTGTAGCCTTGTGGAAGGATCACCGCCGCAAGCGACCGTGTCCAGTCCATGACGCTTGGTAGCATGGCGACCGACACGACCGTGCCGTGATCGTGCTGCGACGCGTCGACGCTCCTCAAGGTGACCGTGGCCTGGCGCGTTCTTGAGCGGGTGTGTGCCGCTGGCCCTGCAGGGACGGGAGAGACTGGAGAGGCGGGAAAGGCCGGATAGACGGGAAAGAAGGCATCACGGAGAGCACGAGCGGTCGGGCGCTCCGCGGCCGTGTCAGCGAGCATGCATTCGAAGTGGGGCGCGTGCTGCCGCATGAGCTGCTGAAATTGCCGGTGCCTTGGAAGCCAATGAGCTTCTCGTGATTCGACGCCCTCGAGGCTGACCAGGCACTCGAGAATGCACACACCAAGCCCGTAGATGTCGACCATGGGCGTCTGCTCGCCCCCATGATAGATCTCTGGTGCTGCGTAGAACGGCGTCGCTGTCCTGGTCGCCGTGGGACTCGACATATCAATCATTTTCGATATCCCGAAGTCGGTGACGGCCCAGTGATCTCGAGAAAAGAGGATGTTGGCGGGCTTGATGTCTCGGTGTATAATGTTCCGCGAGTGGATGTACTCCAGTGCGGCCAAGATCTGGGGGAGCATGCTGCCCAGCAAGACTCGCATCGGATCGGGCGGCCCGATGTCGCCTGCTCCAGTTGCGCTGTATTGCCGCGCCGACCTGAGCTGCCGGATCCGTGAGCTGAGGCTTCCGTCATACACGGGCATGAAGATTTCGACTGCGCATCCCATCTGCCAGCCCTGGTGGTGGAAATACGGGACAATGTGGTCCTAGAACAGCGGTTAGCTTGACGTTGAGAACATACGTGTCGGTTAATCGAGTGTGTATCGTACATGGTCTACCGTCTCCACTAAATCAATCTCCTTCATCAGCTTCTCCTTAAAGGCACTTTCTGTAAAGATATTCCATTCGTGCAATGGTCTCCATTGGAGCACCTTCCGCGCGTAGTGCTCGCCAGTATGGAGGTCCACCACCCGGTCCTGCGCATTTCACTGGTTAGTCTCGACGTTGTCTGCGGATTACACGGGGAAGAGAGCGAAGGTGATTACCACTTGGCCTTGTGCGCCAGCGCCAAGAGACCTCCGGAAGGCCCACTGGATCTCTTCGCCTCGCTTGCGGGCCTTTGGATGCACTTTGCGGAGGTTGTACGACTTGGCTGTGGCCACGGACGGGCCCGACTGCATGCCTTCGAATGTCCTATATTCTTCGGGTATCTGTTGCAGAAAGGCATGGCGTTCGGCAGCGAGCGCTGCTTTTGTCTTGTCGTTCCCTGCTTTCCGCGGACGGAGATGGAACTTGGCACCTCCAATGTTTAGGATCCAGTCGCTCTCAAGTTGCACGACACATTGTCTCGGCCTCCGTAGAATCTGGTTGCTGCTCTGCGTTTCTCCAAAGTCGACGAGCTTTGTGTTCTCATTTTTCGAAATGTCGTGGAGAAGTAGCTCGCCCGTTGTTGGGTGTAGGTCGAAATAGCACTGGTCTTTTCGCAACGCGTTATTAAAGCCTCCCCAGCATACCATATTGCTTTACGACCACGGTCCTAATTTCGTACCTGTATTGGCATATGTATTGCCCCGAAGGAGGATGTCGGAATTGAAAGGCAACCGGCCGAAAGTGACAAGGCGTGAGGGGATTTTGGCTGTTTGGTCCGTGCCGATCCTAAAGATGTGGGCGGAGCCATTTTCTGGGTCTGGGCGCCGCCGGTCTCGATTAGCGTCGTCTCTGACGATTGCGATGGCTTCGTCGTTCACCGGACGCAGCCAAAAAACAGTCTTGGGCTCTTCCATCGTGCAAGTTGTCTGTCTTGCAATGTGAGGGAAAGAAAAACAGAGTCCATCACGACGAGCGAAAATTACGTTATTTACTGATTTTGGTCGGCGGCAAGGAGAAGGAGCAAAGGAGGCGCCCCGAATCGATTGGCTGCGGCGCGTCGGCGCTTCTAGGCAGCCAAAGTGGCTGGGGGTTACCAGCAAAGCACCCACAACAGCTCGAGCAGCCTCAAAAATTGAAATCGCCCGCGGAATTTGCAACAACACTTAACCGCCCGTCTTCCTTCGCCACCTCGTCACTTTTGTTTACTCTGCACCGCTGCCCATTCCCTACAATCATTGCCCATTTCCGACATTCGAAATCTTCGAACGGTTCCTCTTAATCTGTTACGCCAGTTCCATGACAACGCGCATACTTTATGGCTCCTAAAGCAAAGGTCCGGCGACCGGCCAAACGCGCGACACCAGCCGACCGTCGCCCAACCTCCCGCAGACAGACTCGTCGCGCCGACCGCGAGACACCCGTCGCAGCCAGCTACACTGGCAATGCCCGAGATACACAGAGACCCTGGACGCCGCTGCCGGACCCGTTCGATGCCGAAACCTACTGGGCCTGGGGGCGGAAGCATTACGGCGAAGACTGGTTCGAGCTGCGGGAGACAATGCTGCGAGAAAGAAACTTCCTCAAACGCGACGTCAGAGATGATCACGTCTTCCTAGTACGCCAGGCCGAGCTACGGAAAATGGAACGCGAGAGGGAGGAGGGCAAGCTTGTGCTGGACAAAGGCAAAACCTGGGAGGAGCTGTTGGCCTGGGCTCGGTGGCATTATGGCGAGGTCTGGTACGAAGACCAGCAAGCTCTCGCCCGCGACAAGCAGGCAGCTGAAGACGAGACGCTAGACCCGGCAGAGCGGGAGAAAAGGAGAATAAAGGCCGACAAGCGCTCTGCACGTCTATACTTTATGCAGATCGACAAGGATGAGGCGGAGCTCACGCGAGGGAGGACCTGGGACGACATTATGGCATGGCTTCCGACAGCCGAGCAGCGCACCGCTTTACAGGTCGATAAGGAGGCAAGCCCTGCCGCCCTTCCCTCGCCAACCAGCAGCACGCGTAGCGACAGCAGCCGGATCAGTACGTTCCCGCCCACCCCGACCGATGCTCGTCGCCAGGCGCTAGACGGGCCACTGTTGAACACCCCGAGAGAGAAGCTTGTCTGGACGGCCAAGGCCGGCTGGGGATACACAGAGTGGAGTGCGGTTCATTCGCGCCTGACCGAGGCGGACTATGCGCGACGAAAATGGGAAGCAACAGAGTTCGCTCGGACGAGCAGGTCGCGGCGGGAGGAAGACGAGGCATGCGAACGAGAGCAGCAGGAGCAAAATGAACTTCGCAGAAACCGGGCTGGTGACGACTACTTTACGTTTTACGCAAAGTACGAGGAAAACGCGCGCAAGCGAGAGGAGGCGATGAAGGCGCTCGATCTCCGACACAAGGCCTGGATGCAGGAGCAGATCAACACGCCGCCGCAGAACCAGGAAGAGATGGACCGGCGGTTCGACCGCTGGGAGATCCAGGGGATCTCGCGCCAGGAGGGAAACCGCCTCGCGCGAATGTACGGGTTCCCAGAACGGCCGCGTTTCGTGTTTTCTGGCTACGTGCCCAACTTGGAATGGCCACCACCGCGCCTGGAGGAAAGACTACACCTCCCGGTCCTCAGCCATTCTGCGACTTGGGCAAACTCACCACCGAAAGACGAGGCAGAAATGGAAGCTCGGTTCCGCTACTGGGATGGCCGGCTCAGCCGCGCAGAGCAGGACGAGCTGGCTCGCATGTACGGCTTTGGCGAGAGGCTGTCGGGCCACGAAGGAGACGGCGAGACTCGCGAGCAGAAGCAACAACGGACCTCGCCGCGTGTCGACGACGCCTCCCGCAGAACTCTCGGTGGCCGAGTCGCCAAGACGACTGGACAAGGACGGAAAGGCGCCCGATCCGGCACCACCAGAAAGACACAAGCGGCACCCTCGAGTCGCAAGAGGCCGGACAAGACAGACACGACAGTTCGGGCCAGCCGGAGACTCGCTGGCCTGTTGCCCGAGTATGGCATGCTCCCGGAACGACGCGAGGCGCGGCCGCTCCACAACACCTCCATGCCACCAGCTGCGAACACAGCACCGACGAAAGGTTTGGGTCCTCGGGCTCGTGCGAAGCCTCAGGGGACCGCAAAGGTCAGGAAGCAAAGGGGCGCAGGGGCAGGCAAAGGCAAGGGCCGCAAGAGTTGAGTAGGGTGTTGAGATGGTTCTGACTGCTGTTAATATCCTAGTTGGTTTTCTCTTCTACGTGAAATTTGTCCATGCGCTGACGGCAAACATTGTTTTTATTTCTCCCATTTAGTCCATCGACCTGCTGCATTGTACTGGAATTGATGTACCTTACCGATTATCGTCACGTATTCTAATTATACCCACAACTCGTTTCCGTGTTTCACTGAAACGGTCCTCCAACGACACCAACAGATTCGTAAATAAAAGAAAGGGGGATGAAGATCGTCGAATAATATACGAGTCGCGGCAGCTCAGAAAACCCAATTGAAATTTCGGATATAGGACATCTTTGAAGGAGATCACCTGTTCACAGGCCAAGACCAGGAGTTCCATGAGTACCGGAGACGAGCGCACCTTGCCGAGATCGTTTGCCTTCTCGGCCCCCCGCCCTCTGGAGCCTGAGCCACAAGTTCTTTTCTGTCGACGGTAAGCGGAGGACCACTATCACATTCACGCATGATTGACACGTCTGCTTGACAGGACACCTCCTCTGGGAATTATTCTTTGCGTGTCAGATTCTCCTCGAAAGAAAGGAAACGTCTCTAGAGCCGTTGCAAGGATTGAGACCAGTTTTAGAACTGATGGGCAAAGATGCTCCAGTGGGATCCGCAGAAACGCAGCTCGGCCCAGGAGCTCGCCAAGAATGATTGGATTATGGAGCATTCTAGGATGGAATACAGAATAGGAGAAACAAACTTTAGGCGGGTATACCCGTATCCGGTCCCGCGCTAATGTGTGACAAACCATGCAATTGGAGAATTTGATTTTCGTATAGTGTGTCCTTGTATACAAAGAACCAGGCATCTGTCCATATGAAACATGTTTTTGATTCGAATCCCGGCGTCAACAGGCGAATAGTAGCAAAGCCAGACGGCAAATGCCTCGGTTAAAACGGTACTCCAAAATATGCAAATAAGAGAATAATTACCTCCAAATGGCAGTTTGCCTTGCTTGCGAAAATCGATAATTCACACTCACAAAGTATGTGATGTGACCAATTACACAGAGTTGCAGAGTACGAGAGAGTGCGCGGGGTCGAGGAGGGGCGGACGCAGAGAGTGTGTGAAGGTTGCAGTGGTTGCCTATTTATGAGGCCGGGCACAAATATCCCTCTCGTTCCCAACGTCCTCTACCACTGTACGACATAAACATTCCCTATCTTCCCTCTCAAAACGCCAACAAATATTCCTTACCTCCTTTTGCATAAAACAAAAGCCGACAAAGCATCATAAAAACGACCACATTCTACTCATAACTCACTTTTTTCTCCCGTCCACTCGTAATGGGCCTCTCCAAGCGAGAACGGCGCGACCTCAAAAAGCGCATCAGCGAGATTATGACCAAAATTGACAAGAAGACGGCCGAGCTGGATTTTATGACAAATTCGCTCCGAGAAATGAGTAGCGAAGACTATGTCCTCATGATGAGCAAAGCGTCCGGTTCCTTGGAGCGACGCGCCAGAGAGGGTGTCGATGGCGGCAGCAGCGACAATTATTACAACGACGTGGACGTCGAGGCACTGATACAAGAAAAGATCCGCCGCATGGAGGAGGAACGCATCGCCAAGGCTGAGTCCCTCGACCGACTCTGGAACAAGTTGTACGAATTGCAACAAGAAGAACGAGAACTCGAGGGCCTGCCAAGAATTGATTAAATACAGATTTACAGTTCGGGTTAGATGCGCTAGGTTCGAAATGTTTATTCATGATGGAAAACATTAGAGATATGATTTCTTGCTATGCACGTTTTAAATCGCCGTGTCCTTCGTGTCCTCTTCGTCCGTCGTGTCCTCTGAGTCCTCTGGGTCGTCTGTGTCGTCTGTGTCGTTTGAGTCATCTGTGTCCTTCGGGTCTCTTTTGGCGCACAGTTCTTTTCCAAACTTCAACGCATACTGCTTCGCTATGCCCTCCATCCGGTCCCGGAGGGTTTCGTAAATTCCGTTGTCCTCCAGGTACTTACGGTATACTCGTGATTGCTCGCACCGTCTCTGCGCCTCGGCTTCCACCTCGGGGTGGTCTTCCAGATACTTGGCGATGCGTCTTTGTTCGTCTTCGTCTGTGATCGGAGGCGAGCTGCTACTGCAGTCACCGGCCAGAAACTTGTAGTACATGTCAATGGCATCCCCCGGTTTGCGCAGGATGTGCGCAATGGTAAACCGTTTGTGGGCTGTCTTCGAAATCGGGGCAGCGGGGTCCAACAAGACGTCTTCGCCGTACCACTCGATTGCCATCTTCCAGATGGCCGGGTCATCCTTTGCGCGGGAACGCAGTGCTTCGCGGAATTCTATGTGCGCGAGGCGATCTTTTTCCTTGTCGACCTCCTTGCCATCTTCCGAGTCGTCGCGGTAGCCTGTAATCCACGACGGCGGTGTAAAGAGTGGCAGTGGCATGGTCTTGGTGAACTCCCAGTCCAACACGGCCTGAATTTGCAGCTCGTCGTTGACAATCAAGTTCGCCGCGTGCAGATCGCCATGGGCGAGGATGAATGGGCCGCTATCGGACGCAGGATCGACCACGTCCAGTAGCATCGGCCGGAGAGCATCGAGAGCAAACAGCTCTCTCCGCACCGTCTCGAGTCGAAGGTTTCCGATTGGTGCAATAAAGTATTCGGATACAACTTGGATCTGATGTTGTATAAAGTCCGTCATAGATGACCACAGTGGTGGCGGCGGTATACACAAGCTGTTGTCGGTCAAGGACAGCATTGGTCCGAGGACGGGTCGCGTGGTTGCTGTCACGTCGTCGGTGTCCGGAACCAAAGAACCTATGCGTGGGTACTCGAGTGATCGCATCTGGGCCAAGATGTCGAGCAGCTGCAAATACAGCCGCCTCCGGAGTTCTGGATCTGCGTCATACAGCAGCTTCCGGTGGAGGTATACGCCATCGACCCAGTCCATAATAATGTAGACCTGGCCTTGTTCGTTCTTGTTGGTGTTGGCGCTCTTGTCACCGGCGTTCTCAGCGTTCTCAGCGTTCTCAGCGTTCTCAGCGTTCTCGGCGTTCTCAGCGTTCTCGGCGTTCTCAGCGTTCTTAGCGTTCTCGGCGTTCTCAGCGTTCTTAGCATTCTTAGACTTCTCAAGGTTCATCAACGTCTTGAGTTTCTCGAACTTTTTAAGGTTCTCGGAGAACAGGATGTCCCTACTGTCCTTGCTGTTCTTGTAGAACATCTCTCTCGCCTTGATTCTGCGTTTTTGTTCGTCCATAATAAGTGCCGGCTCTCGGCCAAAAGCATGTACCCGTGGTATGGGAATTGTTGTGTTTTGGTTCATGTAGCTTTGGGTGGAACATAGCATTCATTGATACTAGGTCAGTCTATGTTTCTTTCTCGTGTAACAGATTAACGCATAGACTCACCGCATCGTCGTTACCTCACTCAAGACTTTGTCCCAAGGCTGGACAACTGTGTGTGGAAGAGGTAGGCGGACGACCCACCGAGTTGGTACACCGCCATTGTCGCCATCCTGTTTGTCAAACTCGACAAATAAACAGAAATTGAAGCTTCCAGCCAGTTTGCGTTCAATGCGGCAAGGCACGCCGTTGTTGAAGCGTGATGCCAGAGCACAGACGGCATCCGTGTCAACCGAATTCACAAAGTCTTTGAATGTGTCCTTGTCTTGTTGGCCAGTTGTCAGGCTGTAGCCGTTCTCGTCGAGCCGCTTCTTTCGCCCCTCCGCAATGCGGGCCTGGCGGGCCTGGGGAGAGTCGTGGCTGTCGTGCCCCTCCTGCAAACCATGCGGACTGTGCGAAGTTGCGCCACGAAACAGGCCAAGCCATGACCAGGCATTGATACGGTGGATAGCGGCGGATAGGTTGTGGAATATGCCAACACATCGTGTCCGCCACAAACCTAGCACCGATGCCAGCACGGACAGCATTGTCAATGGGACGTGTCGTTTTGCAATGCCGTAACGAGACAGAGATATCGGCGAGGCTGTTTTAGCTGTTTTGACAGTTTTCAAAGTACTCGGCCGATGAGCCACGGCGGTGCTGCAGGCCCGGTACAAGCTAGTACTGTGAGCGTTGTCTGCACCACGTGCAAGAGCTGGCGTGTCGCCGCCGGCTGCATTCGCTTTTCTGAGTGACGGTCGCTTGGTGGTTACGATGATGTTGACGTTGGTTGAAGGTTCTAGGGAAGGGAGGCTAACGAACCCCTAAATGATGCGCTAAGGCGGACCCAGTTTTATCTCGTCCAAGTCAGGGGTCCGTCCTGAGATGATTATATAATATTGTGGCGCACTGATTGTGGCTTGAAAGGCTGCCCTTAGATGGGCATGGTACCGTGTGACTACAGGGTTTCGCACAGTATACAGACACTGTCTTCCTTACCCACGCCGGTCGACGGCGGGATCCGCCAGAGTGCCTATCAAAGGCTGGACCGCGGAAGGCGCAAACTGAACTGCACGTCGCAAAAAAGCAGACCCTGCGCGTTGTACAATGTGAATTCACAGCAACCGCCATAGGAAGCGACACGCGACACCACGATTCAGAGACACATGAACACGACGCGACTGACTCGCAACACGGGCCGCAGATGGCGTCGGCGACGACGCAGCCGCGCATATCCCAGCGCCAGTCACTGGCATGCCGAGGTGAGTTTTGCAGCTAAACAAAAATCTGGTGATGCATGCGGTCATAGGAGATGACAGAATCTGAGCACCTGGGCACCGCTGACGTCACAGAATGCACCCGGTCGAAGCGCAAATGCAGCAAGGACATTCCGTGCACGCGCTGTCGACGGCTGGGCCTGGACTGCAGCCGCGAGGTGGTGCGGCTGCGGCGCGTGATTAGCCAAAACGGGCGCGAGATTGCCTTTCTGGACTCGTTGCGTGCCGAGCTGGCGGGCGCTGCTGGGCATGGTGGACGACACAGCGGCGGACACGGTGGTGGGCAGGGCGTGGCGCGCGTCTTGCAGCGGCTCGCGGACCGCGTGCAGTTCTTGCAGTCCGGGCAGACGGGGACGGGCGACGATGGCGATCCGACCGGCGTGTCGGGGCTCTCGATGGCCGGGACCGGATCACCAGAGCAAGGAAGCCCGCCGCATGCATCGCACGCATCGCACGCGCTCGCCAGCACCGACCCACGACCACACCCCCACGGCCAGCGCCCCAAATCGCGATCAGCGTCGGCGTCGTCGCAGGACATGCAGGACTCTCTGATTGTCACGGCTCTCGAGCACGTCGCCTGGGGCCGCAACACGGGCAGCTGCTACCCGCACCGGCGCTGCACGTGCCAATACAACACCAACGGCCCGACGCACTACTACTCGCAGCAGATCCTCTATTCGCTGGTGGCCGCCCGCGTCGTCCGCGACAACCTGCCCGGCCGCGACCGCGCCGAAGCCATGGTGCGGTTCCATCTGCGCCACATGGCGTGGCATCACAGCTGCCTGCACGCGCCGACGTTTCTGGCGCAGTGCACGCGCTTCTGGACGACGGGCGAGACGGAGCATCCGCAGTGGCTGGCGCTGTACCTGGCCGTGCTGGCGGCGACCCATTTTTGCCTGCTGCACAGTCCCAAGTACGGCCACGCGCCGGCGTTTGGCGCCACGGCCACGGCGCCGCCGCTGGCGGTCGACCCGAGCGACCCGCAGTCGGCGCAGTCGCTCTTCCAGGCGATGCTCGACGTGCTGCACGAGTGCCAGTTTCTGCAGAATGTGTCGCTGTTTGCCGTGCAGGCGATTGTCATCTCGACGGAGGTGGCCCACAACTTGGGCCTGAGCCAGCTCAATGCGACGCTCATGGCGGCGGCGGTGCGGATTGCCGAGTGCCTGGGCGTGCACAAGATTGCCGACGACCCGGCGCGGCGGCCCGGTGTGCATGGGAATGCAAGTGCAAATGCAGATGCCAAGGAACGAACTGACGGCGTGTTTGCCGTCGAGCGGCGCGAGCGCGAGATTGGCCGGCGCGTGTGGCTGCAGATGGTCATCCAGGACCACTTTGCCATGCCCTTTACGGACGCCTACGGAATCCAGCCGCAGCAGTACGCGACCGGCCTGCCACGAAACTGCGACGACGCCGAGCCGCACGCGGGCGACCAGCGCGACGGGCTGGTCGAGCAGCCGCCGACGCGGCCGACCATTGTCAGCTACAACATTGTGCTGAGCACGCTCGCGCGGCTCGTGCCGGAGCTCGCCGACGGCCTGGGCCCGCTGCGGGCGCGCAAGCCGCTCCACGAGCAATACGAGCACATCCTGGCGATGGACCACAAGATGCGGCAGGTGGTGCGGGCCATCCCGCCGTTTTTCTTGCGGCAGGACCCGGTGCTCGAGGCCCAGGTGCCCTGGCTGGCCATTGCGCGCCAGAGCATGGCCATTACGGCGGCCGAGAAGATTATCATGGTGCACCGGCCGTTTCTGTTCCGGTCGTTTCAGACGCCGCCCAAGGGCGCGTCGTCGACACCACCACCCTACATCCACACGCGCCGCACCTGCGTGTCGGCCGCCATGACGATTCTGCGCGAACACCGCAACATCACCGAGGCCGGCGACATGTCCTTGTGGACCCATACAGCGTTTTGCATTACGGCGGCGCTGCTGCTGTCTTTTGAGGTGCTGTGCAGCAAAGACGTCGACGTCGACGCTGACGTTGCTGTCGATGTCGAAGTCGACACCAACGAATCCGCCGACCCCGACCCCGACACCGCCCGCGAGCAGCAGGCGACCTACCGCAGCGCCATCCAGTACGCCCGCACCTACTTGTCGGGCCGCCTGCACGACGTGCTCGCCCAACGCGGCGTCCTGCTGATCGACTCGCTGTTCCCCGGCGGGCCGACCAGCGACGCGCCCACGCCGTCGCTCAAGACCAACGAGCACGGCAGCAGCAGCATTCGCTTCGACGACGTCGTGTCGGCGTTTATGGCGGGCTGGGCTATGTTTGGCGTCCAGTCGGATCTGCAGCGCGGAGGCGGCGGCAGTGTGGGCAGTGTGGGCAGTGGGCCCGGTAGTCTGGGCGTGCCGTCGCCGTCGCCGGGCATGGGGCCATCGGGGATGGTCGGACGGTTTGCTGCCGGTCCCGGTCCCGGTCCTGGTCCTGGTCCACCAGGATCCTCCCAGATCCTGCCATCTCTCCCGCCGCCGCCGCAGCCGTTTGTGCCCGATGTCGGCGTGCTTCCAGGCATGGGTGTCTACGGCCACCCCGGACAGCAGCAACAACAACAGCCACAACAGCAACAACAATATGCCGAGCCGATGCCGCCCATGGAGGACTTTGATGCGTGGTTCCAGCACATTTTTGCCACGGGAAACGGGACGACATTTGAGTAGAGGGACAGGATTCATACGGAGTACGGCGCACGGGGCATGGACGACGCGGATGATTAGCCCCTCGTCACGATTCATGAGACTTTTGAATATTTGATTATTGATACTTTATTTTGAATACCATACATTGTGATTTTTGCAACGGCCGTGCGCACAACAAATGCGGAATGGCCCCGGTGTCGTTTTCAGCTTTCAGCCTCAACAAGGTAACGTTTATTGGCCTTTATTTGTGTCGTTTTGTTCTGTCATGTCATCTCTTCGTCTCTTCATTTGATAGTCCTCACGCCCACAGGCGCCGTCGCATCGCCTTGTAATTCCCGCAATGCCATTGGTCTAGCGGTCGCCCAACATGACTAGCCAAGCTTTACCTCGCTGCCTCGCCAGGTCGCTCGCCACGGTCCCTGGTCTCGCTCCAACGACCCCTGCACGTTTTGGTCTCCACATGGCCCGGCGAGAGCCAAGTACGACATCGCACGGCCGCACGTGGTCGTTGCAGAGTCGTCTTGATGTCCATCATTTCGAATTTGGACCAGACTTGGGACCACTCTTGGGCCATGCTTTGCTGGCGTCTCCAATTTGTGCAGTCGTTTTGCGTAGCCAGAAACAGACACCGAGATGTTCCCTGTTAGTGCCGTCTTCCGTGCCTGGATACATGCTGTTAGCGGGAGATGCGCACCAAGTTCTTGTACTCTTTTTCCTTGCATTCAGTCTCGTAGTATTCAATTTCCTTGTATTGGTTGTCCGCTATTTTGGTCCATAACATCCACGACACTGGCTACACGCGTCCACCGACGCCCACAGCTCATGCATTGCTGCCAACAGCCATCCAGAAAAGGCTACCGAAGGCAACGATCAAAGCAGGACAACGGACAAGCAAACACGAGCATCCGATCAAGGCCGATTGTCTACTCAGCAACGGTACATACTGGGCGGACCGGGCAGACTGGGCAGTGTGGCAGTCTCCTGCACGGCAAGGCTGAGGGAAATGATGCACACCTTTTGGTCGTCTAGTAGTCAGTAGTCCGGCGCCACTGTGGATTGTCAGGAACGTGCCCAGCGCACGCAGAAGCAAACGTGCCCACGAGTCCAATGGCACGCTAGTGTGGGGGACCCGACAAGTTGCAAACTGGTGGAAACCGGGTCGAAGACTGCGAGCTTGCGAAGCTTGGGACGCTAGACGAGGTTCGGGGGAAAGCTTGGCGGCCGTCTTCGCGGCGACCGGGGACTCATCTCATCGCGCAGGGACTATATAGGGCGAGCGATCCATGTGTCTGTCGCTGTTCGGTTCTTGTTTCTGCTCTTTAACGGATCTGCAGCATCCCTTCGTCACTCGTTTGTCATTCATTCTTTTCTTCTTCCTTCTCTTCATCTTCTTCTTTTCGTCATTCGCCATTCCTCTTCCCCTTATTGCTGCAATCCACCACACCACCATGCGTCTGTCCGCCCTCCTCCTCCTGGCGGGCCACGCCGCGGCCAGCTCCATCATGCCCAACTCGTCCGTCACCAGCCAGGTGCGCGTGGCCTACCACGGCGACGACGGCATGGTGGTCAGCTGGAACACGTTCAAGCACCTCCTCCGCCCGACGGTGCTGTACGGCCTGAGCGCCGACAAGCTGATCCACCAGGCGACGAGCCACGTGTCGGTGACGTACCCGACGTCGCTGACGTACAACAACCACGTGCTGATCGACGGGCTGCTGCCGGACACGACGTACTACTACCAGCCGCAGGACCTGCTGGCCAACGAGACGGTGTACGGCCCGTACACGTTCAAGACGGCGCGCGCGGCCGGCGACTTCACGCCGTACTCGGTGGCGTTTGTGTGCGACCTGGGCACGATGGGCCCGGGCACGATCGGGCTGACGGACACGCCCAACAAGAAGACGGACGCCAACGAGGTGCTGGCGCCGGGCGAGAAGACGACGGTGGACTCGCTCGTCGAGGAGATCGACACGTACGACTTTGTGGTGCACCCGGGCGACATTGCGTACGCCGACTACTGGCTCAAGGAGCAGCTGGCGGGCTACATTGACGGCACCATCGCCGAGGGCCCGCAGCTGTACGAGACGATCCTCAACCAGTTCTACGACGAGATGGAGGCCATCAGCGCGTACCGGCCGTACATGATTGGCGTCGGCAACCACGAGGCCAACTGCGACAACGGCGGCTCCGGCAGCTACGACAACAGCATCTGCGTCGCCGGCCAGACCAACTTCACGGGCGTGCGCAACCACTTCCGCATGCCCGCGGACACGTCGGGCGGCGTCGGCAGCTTCTGGTACTCGTTCGACTACGGCATGGTGCACTACGTCTACTTCAACACCGAGACCGACCTGGGCAACGGCCTGCTCAACGACGAGCAGGCGCCGCTGGCGGGCGGGCCCTTTGGCAGCTACCCCAACGAGCAGGTCGACTGGCTCGCCAAGGACCTGGCCGCCGTCGACCGCTGCGCCACGCCCTGGGTCGTCGCGCTCGGCCACCGCCCGTGGTTCTCGTCGGGCGACAACTGCGCCAACTGCTCGACGGCCTTTGCCGCGCTGTTTGAGGAGCACAGCGTCGACCTCGTGCTGCAGGGCCACTTCCACGTCTACCAGCGCAACGTGCCCGTCTTCACCAACGGCACCGTCGACCCCAACGGCTACGCGAACCCGTCGGCGCCCTGGTACCTGATCAACGGCATCGCCGGCCACTGGGGCGGCATGGACTCGTTTACGTACCCGCTCGCGCCCTACCAGGCCTTTGGCCTCGACGACGCCGAGGCCACCTACGGCTGGTCGCGCCTGCACTTCTTCAACAAGACGCACATGCAGCACGAGTTTGTCGCCAGCAACAACAACAGCGTGCTCGACTCGACCGTCCTGTACAAGGAGCACGTCTGCTTGTCGCCGCCGTCATCGTCGTCGTCGGCGTTGGCGTCGGCGTCGGCGTCGGCTTCGGTGTCTGCCTCGGCTTCTGCCTCGGCTTCGGTGTCCGGTTCTGCCTCGGCCGCGCCGTCGTCCATTGCCGACTGCGAGACGACGTCGGTGTCGGGCTCGGGCGCTGGCTCGGCTTCGGCCACCGTCTCTGGCACCGCCTCTGGCACCGCCACCGCCTCCGCCACCTCTTCCTTCACCACCTCCACCATCCTGTCCACCACCACGTACACCGTCACCTCGTGCGCGCCCACCGTCACCAACTGCCCCGTCGGCCACGTCACCACCGAGGTCGTGACCCTGCTCACCACCTGGTGCCCGGAGACGGCGACCGAGACGACGAAGACGTCGCCCGCCGGCAAGCCTACGGGCTCGGCCGTGCCCTCGGGCGGCTACACCAACTCGACCGGCGGCCACGGTTCTGGCTCGGGCTCTGGTTCTGGCTCTGGCTCTGGCTCTGGCTCTGGCTCTGGCTCTGGCTCTGGTTCCGGCTCTGGTTCCGGCTCTGGTTCCGGCTCAGGGAGCACTTCCAGCGCCAGCACCAGCGCCACGGCCGTCGTCACCGCCGGCTCGGCCAACGTTGTCGTCAGTGCCGCCAGTGTCCTGCTGGCTGTCATGGTCGGCGCTGTGGCTCTTCTGTAAAGGGCGGGTAGTCACAAATTTGTAATACTTTTTTTTCTTTCAGAATGGAAGCTAGGAGGATATGTGATGTATATGTCTAGTGTCTTTGTGTAGGAATAAATGAGAGTTGTATCTGCTTGTCATACCGCCCACCGTATCTGTCTTTTCATGTTGCGCAGCATACTGCTGCGCCGGAATGTTTTTTCCTTGCTACGCCACACCTGTTTGTCCGTCTAGCCAACAACCCCCCCCCCCCCTCCCCACTAATGGGCAAACCGAAAGTCCAGCCGCTTGTTGCCCTCGTCCGTGGTCGTCGCCAGGTAGTGCAGCCGCTGTTCCTCCGTCATGCCGTTCCACACGCGATCGCGGTACTGGTTGCGCTTGACGTAGTACACCTTGGCAAAGCCGTAGACGACAAAGTTGAGCGCCAATATGCCCAGCAGCACCTTGTTGCCCCGGCGGTACAGCGGCGCGTCGTCGGCGCGGTAGATTTGCGCGCTGATGATGCCCGACAGCTGCACAAACATGTTGTAGGCCGCGGCCGACACGGTGCGCGAGCGGACCGTGTTGGAGTTGCGGCTGTTCCAGGAGACCTGGATGGGGTGCGCGTAGGGCTGCGACAGAAACAGCGTCATGACGGCGTAGACGACCCACTTGTTGCTGGTGCTGGAGTACGCGACCTCGAGCCAGACGAGGAACGGCAGAACCCAGACCTGGGCGAAAAGCGACGACAAGGCGAGCTGGCCGGACCACTCGGAGAAGGCGGCCAGCAGAAACATGGTCACGACTGTGTTGTGAGCGGAGGACGATTTAAAACGGACACGGAGACGGACACAAAGACATACTAGACAATACGTTGAGGGGAATCGCGAGGAGATTGACCTGGAAGGTCGTGAACCCCAGGCCGCGAAGCGACAGCGTCAAGTAGCTGCCGGGGGGGCTGGACGGGATCTCAAAGAGCATACCGATCATATACAGGGGCCTGGACGTCAGTAGGGTGAGCCAAGACGAAGAAACGAGACAAACCCAGGGAACCTACCACAAGTCGTAGTCGCACAGGCTCTTCCACAGCAGCTTGGGCGTCACGGGCTGGCGGTTGTGCATGCCGCTCTTGGACGGGTCGTCGCGCAGAACGCGGTTCACGATGATGGTCTCTTCGCGCGGCGTAAACCAGCCGTTCTTGCCGCGGAACCAGCTGGCCGTCTGGCACGGTCCAGCAGGCATCATCAAGAAGGCCAGCAGGCCGACCAGGAGCGTGATGATGCCCTCGATCAAGAACAGCCACCGCCAGCCGGACAGGCCGTGCACGCCGCGCAGGTGGAGGATGCCGTAGGCCAGGATGTCGGCGATGATCTCGCCGCCCGTGTCCATGCCCCAGAACCAGCTGAGGCGGAGGGCCATCTCGGAGTGCTTGTAAAAGTAGGACAGGTACAGGATGACGTCGGGGATGAAGCCGCCCTGGAGAATGCCGAGGAGCGCGCGGGTGGCGAGGAACGAGGACCGGCCCTGGAGCCAGAACTGCGAGCCGGCGACGATGCTCCAGAGACACATTTGCAGGGGGATCCAGCGGTCGGGGCCCATCCACTTGGACACGAGCTGCGAGGGGATCTCGGCGCAGAGGAAGGAGATGAGGCGGACGGTGTTGCCGAGATTGTAGTCTGCGCTGTCAGCGGCAGCCAAAGGGAGGCGAGCGAGAAGACGAGCGAAGCGAGGACAAAATAAGGCGAGCGAGGTGAGACGAAAAACGAAGAGGAAAAAAGGCGAGCAAGGCAAGGACAAAATGAAGGCGAGCGAAGCGAGACCAAAAACGAAAAGGAAAAAAAGACGAGCAAGGCAAGGACCCAAACAAGGACATACCATTTGTCGTCAGCCCCAGGTCGGTCAAGAAGTTGTCCGACAGCGCCTGGCCCAGGTTCGACCGGTCGAGCTCCAGCGCGATGAACATGATGCACGCAAAGCTCATGATGCGCAGGTCGATCTTGCGCAGCAGCGCATACTCCTCGCGCCAGGTCCACCGCGCGCGCGGATCGAAGCACTTGATATTTTCCCTGGGCGCGTCAGTCACAGACGAACATGTATGGGAAAGTGGACGTGGAAAGGAAATCGCCGCAGCAAGACACACCAATTCGCCGGCGGCTGGTACTTGTCGGCCGTGTCCGGGTCGTCAAACACACTCGGCAGCGTGGCAATGTTCTCGGGGTCGTAGCCCCGGCTGGTGCGCCGCTGCCACCAGAAGCGGCGCTCGTTGGCCGGGTCGCCCAGCGGCGGGACGTCCACGGAGCCATCCGAGACGGACGTGGTCGTGACCGAGACCGTCTTCTTGTCCCAGTCAATGGGACGCGCAAAAGCAGTCGACATGGTGGGCAGGCGGCGGGTCTGTGGCTGCGTGGGTGGGCGTGGACGGCCGTGGACTGCATACAGGCTGATGTCTGCTGTTTTGCAGCATCCCGCCGTGTACTCTTCTTTTGGACCACCCGCATTATGTACTTGGCCCAGCGGATGGCCGTCCTCCCGCCCACCGTCTCTCATCGACTCGCCAGGGCTGCGGAAGCATCGATGCGGGTCGTCGGCACAGCGATAGCAGCAATGGTATCATCGGCTGGCCATATCGCAAAATCTGACAATCGCACAATCACACATGGCATCGCGGCCAAAATGGCTGACCATCACATGCATCTTCATAAAAGATCTGACCGATGTCCATGGCAACCCCACGCGCCATGGTGTATAATTGGAAATAATGGGACGTGGCGTGCCACTGGCCATCGTTGCGAAAGCGGGCGGCACGTGTCGCCGGTTTGTTGAGAGCATCGCCGGCGCACATCTTTCCTGTTGGAGGACCGCCGCCGGGCAATGGTGTCGTGTCCTGCGGGTCCGGGCCCTCATCTCGTGTGGCGTCAGCGGATGGCGTCTTTGGCGCTCGCAGAATTGCCCATATCCAACGTCATTTGGCAATTGCTACCACATAATCACAGATGACCATCCATTCAGCACCATACGCGGATGATGCAGGTTCCTTGAACAAGCAAGCAAACGCCATCGACGCAGCGCCGTTTCGGTGCCGACACCACGACACGATTGTCCTATTGTGGGTTACACGCGCCAGATGGGTGCACAAAACGCCACAGCCGAAGCCAAGACGGGAAGGACGCTTGACAGCTCGGCATGCTTTCTTCTCCTGGAGTGCTGAGTACTGGGCTGTGAGGATCGCAAAATGCTTGGCGTTCTGGACGGACGCGGAGGTGGCGCCGGACTCCAGTGCATGTGGACTATATAAATCGCTACTGCATGAATTTCGCAATACCATGGCGCCTTACCTCCACGCGACGCCCACGCGAGCTGCGTTTGTCGGTGCATCGGCCAATTGGGCACATCATTTGGCGCCTATTTCGTCATTGCGCACCCTGGTTTGACGTCGACCGTCGATACGTCGAATCGGTAACGACCATTTGATTACCTGATTGTTGTTCAGCGACCGATTCATTTCACAAATATTTTCTATTCTATACGTGATTTTTTATTTAATTACATATATATATATATATTTAAAAATTTTATTTATTTATTTATTTTTTACGTACTCGAAAAAATCCGGATTTACAATGGTCGTAAGAGAGGCTCACTTTACAGATTAAGTCGAGAAAGCGCTGTTGTGGTCGCCAATTTGTTTGGTGCGGGCCGCCGCTTCTGGCGGTCGCCGCAGTGAGCGGTTTGTCTCTTGTAAGTACTATGTACCGCCCTCTTCACTTTTACTTAGTTAACATAGCCAAAGCTACCTTAAAAGACACTATGGTGATAACTATCACGGGACGAAGCGGTCACATCACAGGCTATCGCTTAGCAGCAAGACAGGAAGAGACAGACAAACCGGAGGATTAACCATTACATATTCATTTAACTGCACACTGTTTACTTTGTATCATCAGACTGTAAATAACATCACACACTAGATCTAGCGGTGGTTTATGCCCCAGTGGGTTCCATCTAGTACAGACGTGAATAGCCAGGACTGGCAAAATAAACACGATTAACAACAACGGCCTAATACAACTAAAGTTACGGAGTAGATAGATACCGTGTTACAAGCCTCCTCATGGATACTCACAGGTATTCGAACAGCGGCTACGTGCTAGAATACTGTGTGCGGTACAGTTATATTACTGACTTAACACTGAACCAATCATCTGAATGACATTACGCTCCTGCAGGCTACTCGACCAAGATTCACTTCTTGTATCATATAATTATTCTGCGCTGTCCAAACCACTCACCGAATGCACCCCTGGTTGCCCTGGCCGGTAAATACAGGAGGGTGAGCCTTGTACCCCGGTTAATCCAGGACACATCGCTGTAATGGTTCACCCATATTCTGTGGTGGTCCGGCGGGTTGCGGCAGTGCAAACTTAGGATACTAATGACGAGGATTTGGAAGGATAGTTTGAGGCGCCTTTCGGCTAGGCCTATTCCTGTACATACCCTACTGGCTAATCCCACCACTACTTCTACCACTACCACCGCTTCCCCAACGCAGGCTGCCTGAGTAGTTTTACTTCCCCATAAGGGTTTTCTATTCAGGGTATTTGCAGCACAAGACGCTACATAGTCAGGATTGGCTCAATACAGCAAATAACCTCTATTCTGCACTGTCAATAATTTACCTGCTGTAAGGGTCCGCGTGGAGGAATCTCACGAGGGCATTACGGAGTGGATTGGTCCTGTCAGTGACTATGCTAAAGATACAAAGGGAAAAGGAGAAAAGACGGCGCGGTCCGGCAGGATATTTCACAATGACCGCGCACGTCGTGGCCCAGGTAGCTGATTCTATGAGCGCGATCATACTCGGTAAGAGGATTGGACTGAGGCGGAACTGAAGTTGGCGATGAAACCTCAGACTAGCCTCAGACGGAGCACTAAGGTACGACTAAGATCCACGACTATATACAAGGATGCTACCTAGCTTAGATAGAATCTACTTAAACAGTTGACGATTCACTCGGTTCCGCTTTCCCGAAATAAGAACCTACATGAGCCTTTATTTCTGTGCCCTCGTTGTCTGCAAGCACCCCATTGTTCTAGATACACTTTGTCCAAGTTCTTAGAACATAAAACTCCCTTAGACTTATCAGCTAGCAGAGTACCTCCTCACTTGAAAGAAGCGCTTTGTAACATCTTCGTAAAGTCTCTCTGTTGATCCGCTGATCGTTTTGTGTTGTTGTCGACATACCTCTTCCGTATTCTCGCTGTGTCGGCAGATGATCCGTCTGTCGTCCAAACCGGGGTAGTTAATTAGGATGGAGAGCGTCAAAAGACATCTTTGACATATCGTCTAACTGCGAAGTGACAGCACCTAAGCGGCTCCCGTAACGGTCTCCGGAAATTTTCATCAGGGAATCGTCAGATACGGAACCAACCAGTCGTGTCCGTGTCGAGACATGATTTATCGATAGCTGGTTAACAACGCCAAAGTTCGGAGGGGTCTCGACCACGATCTGATCGCTTTCGCCATGGGAGATGGTCAAGTTGACGAGAGGGACATGACGTAAACATTTTTCGCAGGTTTCTAACAACTTCTGTGCGTTGATTTCTTCTTGAAGGCGCGCTCTAGGCTCATCCAGTTCTATAGAATCGGGTGTTCCTGGAGTCGATCAATGACATCTGCTACCTTATTTCGCGCCTCCTTCAGCGCCTGATGCGCTTTGCGCTGCACCTCGACTGAGTTTTGCTCGGATTCGGCTGCGTTCTGAGGTACCACTTTCAGAGCAGGTTCCAGATCATGTAATAATTCAAGACGTGCTTTAGCATCTGAACAAACGCGAAGGCATAGCTTCAACGCTTCTTTTTCGTGCTGCAGGATCGTAATTGCATCCCAAGTCTTGGTGTCGCCTGGACTAGGATGCGACAGTTCGTCTTCGAGGCGTTGTAGGCGGACTTCGAGATCGTAAATTGTATCCTTGATCCTCTCATCATATTCCTGGCTGAACTGGGAGGAGCTCCTATATGTCTTTAGTAGAATTTCTCCGATGCAACCGAGATTGGGCGACTTACGTTGTTATTGTGTCAAGGGCGATGCTAATCGTCGACTTGAAGGCCACCAGAGTGTCAATGAACGCATTAATGTCGCCTCCCATAAATTCCATTTTCGCCCAGTCTCGTAAGCCCGTTTCTGGCTTGCTGTTATACTTTCGCACGGCTGTTTCAAATTCGCTGCACATCTTGTCGCACCAGCCAACGGGACCCTGGAGAAGCTGTAAAGCGTCCGAAGCATTGCCAATATTCTCCAGGTTCCTCAATATATAATGAAGTCCTGAAGTTCATGTAGCAGCTTATTCAACGTTCTGTCGCGTCCCTTGTGTTGCGTTATGGTGTCACAGAGGGAGACTGTCGTCTGGATTAACACAGATTGTTGTGAAATAATTGCCACCGGTGGCATCTTTCCATGTCTTGCAAAGATCCAATGCAACTTCATCTGCCGAGTTATATGCTTCCGTCCAACAACTCCAAATAACTCGACCAACTGTAAGATCTCCCAAAGAAGGAAACTCTTCACGTGCAAAGCGCTTTTCAATCTCGGTGTCCTCTAAGTCCTCGTACGGTCGACGCCATGCCATAATCTCGTAAATGGCCGATCCTAACGCAAATAGCTCGCGTTTTCGAACGGGCCGGTCGTCAAAGTCGCGTCCACGACACGGTAATTCATACCGCGCCTCTTCGCACACGGGTGATTTCGTAAATAAATTATCACCGTTGATAACGGAAGCTCCGAAATCGCCGATTTTCACTCGGAACTCGTCAAACAAGAAGAAGTTGCGGCAACTTAGGTCAGCATGTTGTACGCCACGTGAGTGAATGTGGGAAATGCCGCGTGTTATATCGAGGGCCATTTGGAGACGCGTTTCTATCGTTGGTGGATATTCTCGGTGGTTATCCATATATTGACGTACGTTACCCAGGCCCGCCAGCTCTAGACGTAACGCATTGACGCCCGGATGAACCTCTTCAAGCCCAAAGTATGTAAGAATCTGTGGATGCGGACGTAAATGTTCGTACACGCACGCTTCATGGGCCAACGCCTCTTCGCAAGGCCGCGGATAGGAAGCTCGAAGCTTACCATCTTCCCATACCTCGTAGCCTTTGAGTACCGTCTTGCCGTCTGTACAGGTCGCAAAGCAGCTTGCTCCCAAGCCCAAAATCGAGTACCACATTATTGTGATATATTGGCGAGCTTTGGGTGCGATTGAATAGAGACTTGTCCGTTATTCCTATCGAGAAAAACCGACGTAAAAGGCGGTGGCTCACAGCGTGCACCACAATAAGCAACACGTCATGAAATTATCTTTGAGCCTTCGTTCTAGCCTTATATCTAAGGCACCAACTTTCTGTCTAGAATAGGCAAGGGACTGCTATACCGGATTTGTGCAACTGCCTAGATTAGGTAAACCTGTACTCCGTATCTACTTCCATTTATATGGGATTTACCCTCCGTCTAGAGGTATATAGACACCGTTAAGAGAATAAGTGACTTCAGAATCAACAGCATATGCATATACAAGTAATTTGACCTCATTATGCGCACATTAACGTGACCTCAGGCGCCATACAATATTTCCTGCCTGCAAACTAACTACTCGATGGGGATTCTACGGTGGTCCCTATATAGGCCATCACCCCTCCTCTTGTAAAGGAGAGGGGTAAGGATTAGATTTTGCACATCCTACCGCCTAAGCTCGAACCCCATGCTCGTGATCCTCTCTGATTGATAACCCCCTCCCAAGATTTTCTGACAATTTTCTACTGAAAATCTATTTTGTGAAATTGTCTGTCTTCTGATATCTGGTAGGAAACGTTTAGGGGTCTGTCACACCCTTTTTATCAATCTACTAGGTGGTAAACGTAAAAATTAGCGAAGAACCCATATCTAGAGTTGCTGGCTACTATGGGGTCCATCTCAGCCACATCTCAGTGCTTTCTTATTTGAAAGCAGGACACGATTCCACATAATAGGGACTCGACATACAGTTAAAGTGAGTGGCGATAATATACTTGCGGTTATTTGGGACACAGAGGGCATTCCTCGTTTTTGGAGACTGAACCGTATATGTGGCTAGTATCTTCTTCCGCGTTTGGACAAAATAGACCTCGCATCGGATCATCGCAGTACAGAGTAATCGTTCGGAAAGTTTCAACGTGCATACTTCTCAGTATATTTCGTGTATTTGCACATCGTTGAGCTAAGGCGAGCTTGCAAGGTAGTTGTTTACTTTTGATTTTTGTGATGTTTCCTTATTGCTGTGCTTTGTTTGTTGTAGCCAGGAGGATTAACGTATCCACGACTTAGCAGGCCGAACTCTTCATTTAAAGTTGATCATGCGGCTCAATAAACGACAAGCAGGCATCTCGTGTCATTCGTTGAAACTTTAAGAAAATCCTGCGTAACTTCTTACTGTTCCTGCGTGATAAGTCTTGCACAGCGGCTGTATCGCAGATATGTTACCTTCGTTGCTGCTCTCAAGGACAATCCCGTCTTCGCTGTCGACCCCGCACCACGTGCCCACACAAATTCGTCGTTAATACATTAAAACTAAAACAAGATCAATCTTAAGCCAACAGCAAACTTTTGGAAAGGCGACGTGTTACCATTACGGCCCTCACGGGGGCCTGGAAAAGAGACCCAAGGCGGTCAGAGACGGCAGAATAAGACAAGACCGGCCAGCTGGGGATATGTTGGTGCAGCTGTGACTAGTACACCCGTAGCTGGTACAAAAGTGCTGGCACGGAATGAGCCAGTACGTGTAGAATAAGGTCCAGCACAAAAGGGTGTAGCTGAAGATAGGTGGCTTAACCAATGGGAAAAAGACCACCGCTACTGGAGGCATCTCCAGGGAGCAGGATAATAAAGCAATAGGAATCCCGGGAAGAATGACTAAGCAGACTAATTCATACGGTATGAAATAAAGGAATAGGATACGAATAAAATACGAATGAAATAGAGATGCTATTGATATGAGGAACGAAAGAATAGAATAAAACACGAATGAATTACGATACATATATATAGCACTAAGGCTTCCTCTAGTAGCCTGGAGGGAAGGCTCAGTCGCTACCGATTGTCTAAAGTACAAACCTACATAAACCTGTATTCCTGTGCCCTCATTACATACAATCACCACCCAGCTTACACGTGTTTACTTATTGTTCAGCCGTTGCACCTTCTCACTGTCTTACATTTTTAATTTTCCGAAACATCATTCTCACTGTCCCCAGTGTTTTATGTTGTACAATCTCATTTCCTTTTCTTTCTACGATTCGTCATAAATACATTACAATTTTATGCACATAAGCGGCTCGACCGCATTAATAAACCAATTCACCGTGCTGTTTTGTAGTGCTTGAAATTGATACACGGTACGTTATTCCAATACTCTTCTCTACCATCACCGTCAGCACAAGCACGCCGGTCAAATTCCTTTGTTGTCAAGAGGACTGTGCCGGCCTACCGACGTCTATTACTCCCGCCCCAGTGCCCTCTTGTACACCGACAAGGCTGCCTCCCGCGCCTCCTTGTGGTGGACGATGGGCTCGGGATAGCCAGCCTCGTGTGCCGCATCCCCTGCGCCTCGTGCATAGGGCTCGTGAATGGCCGCATTGTCCTCGATGGCCCGCAGCTCGGGCACCCACTGCCGAATGTATGCGCCCTCCGGATCGAACCGCTCGCTCTGCCGCGTCGGGTTGAAGACGCGGAAATACGGCTGCGGGTCGACGCCGACGCTCGCCGCGAAGCCCCAGCCGCCCACGTTGCTCGCCACGTCCCCGTCCACGAGGTGCCGCATGAACCACTGCTCGCCGCGGCGCCAGTCGACCAGCAGGTCCTTGGCTAGGAAGGAGGCCACCACCATGCGGCTGCGGTTGTGCATCCAGCCCTCGTGCCGCAGCTGCCGCATCGCCGCGTCGACAAACGGGTAGCCCGTGCGGCCGGCCGTCCATGCCATGAACCTGGTGTTGCTGCCGTCGTTGTCGTCCTCTGCGGCCCAGGCCACGTTCGCATAGGCCGGCTTGAACGGCTTGTGCATGGCCACGTGCGGCCAGCCCACCAAGACGTGCTTGTAAAAGTCGCGCCAGGCGACCTCGCTGACCCACACGCGGAACCCGTCGCTGCCGCCGTCGAGCGACGGCGCGCCGGCGCGGTCGCTGGCGGTCTGGACGACGGTGCGGGCGCTGATCGAGCCGGTGGCCAGGTACGGCGAGAGGGCGGACGTGGCCCGGGCGGCCGGCACGTCGCGGTCGCGCGCGTACGCGCGCAGGTGGTCGTCGCAGAAGCGCGCGAGACGCGCCGCGGCCGCCTGCTCGCCCGCCGGCCACAAGTCGCGGAAACGGGCGCGCTCGTCGTCGCTCGCCAGCGCCTGTCCCGCGGGTGCGCCGGGCACGGGACAGGCAAAGAGTGCTGTGGGTAGCGCGTCGCACACGCTGTCGAGCACCTTGGCGGGCGCGCCCACCAGGTCGACCACGTCCTCGTGGTCGTGGATGTACCGCTTCCACGCGCGGAACCACGGCGTGTACACGGCGTACGTGCGTCCGCTGCTGCCGCTGACCAGCTGGCCCGGTGGGACGACGCACGTGTCGTGGACGACGGCCACCGACCGGCCCTCGGCCGCGGCCATGCGCAGCAGACGGGCCTCGCGCCGCAGCTCGTCGGGCTCGTACTCGAGGTTGGCAAACAGGTGCCGCGCGCCCCACGCGCCCATCGTGGCGAGGATGCGCCGCGGCACCTGCCGGCGGTCGTCCACCGTCTCGATCCACAGGGGCACGTTGCGCTGCGCCAGGTCGCGCTTGAGCACGGCCAGCGTCCGCAGCACCAGGTCGACGCGCACAGCCGCCGTGCTGTGGGCCTCCCAGTCCTGCGGGCTGACCACGTAGAGGCAGATGAGGGGGGCTCTGTTGTCGCGGGCCAAGGTGGCCGCTGCATGGAGGGCGCGGTTGTCGTGCACCCGCAGATCCGACTTGAACCAATGGACGACGGGGCTCGTCCTGCTGGGGGCATCGACCCGGCGCATTTGTGCTGCGGTCTCGTCGATGGCAGCGTCCAGGGCCTGCATCGGCGTTGTCAGCTCGCCGTCGGCATACGCCTGTGCGCGCGCCGTTGACATTTCCGCCGGATAGTATTGCCGGAGAATGATGCCATGTTGCTCGCCAGCGCACGATGGGCCTGGCTGGCTCAGGGGGGCTGTCGGTGATCCGTTGGTCGTTCTTGCCGCTCTCGACGTCGTTGCCGTCTTTGCCTTTTTGGATTGTTTGCCGTTTTGGCCGATTGAGGAAGGACTGGCTCCACCACCGGGCGCCGCACGTTTGGGTCGAGGCATGTTGGGCAACGGCAGACAGGCGATGGAAGCAATGGACAAAAGCGGCCGGCGTCGAAGAAGTGCTCGAAACGAAAGTGTAATCGGCATGGACAGGGCGGCGATACTTCAACTCGGCAGAGGAGTGATCAATTGAACAAAGCAAAGCATGTTACCGGATGCGACTGCCTTTTGTTCCGTGGTAAGGTGCCTCTGCACGATCGCACCTACCCGCGCCGAGATCTCGACGTCATCTTGCGCCCGTGGCGATCGGTCGACCAACCAGGCGCTAAGTGTTAGTGGAATCGGCACTTTGCAGCGAGCTTAACGTGGGGTTAGCTTGTGGCCTGGCGCTAAACTCATTCCAGCTCCGGCAATCGAGGAGAGAATGATGGTCAACGCTTCCATTTGACTGGTACGAGAATAAAGAAGCTTTCCACAGTCGAATTACCAGAAGTACGGTGGGCCTCATGCGGTGTTTTACACACGGCTGTATCGTGGCAGATCAGGCATGTACAACTGTATAACAATAGATCAACACCATCATACCTAATCATGAGAAGCACTGACATATGCAGGTCTGAAAGAATTCACACAACGAAGACACCCATCCCAGCGTCTTGTTATTAGACACAGATCTTGTATGGAGACTGGGAGGATACGGGGAACGTATTGAAGCTGGCAAGATCGACTTCATATAACATAGAAGTGGGTTGCGTAAGTCGTCCGTGCTCGTCGCCATGTTTGTCGGCCACACCGTGCGCATCATCCCGTAGACTACAGGAGCTGTACGCCGTCAAGCCCGTTGGCGGCTGTGGCAACTGGCACCCCGGATGGTACGAGGCCGGGCTGACGGCCAACGATACAGTGCTCATAGTTATCTGCCCGAACTGGGAGGTGGAGGTGGACCTTCCGGCCATGGACGAGGCTATGAGCAAGCTTGGACCGGCCAACTGCCTGAGGCAAGTAGTCGACCCGGCCACCAATGAGCTCCTCGTCGAGTTGACGACACTCGACTACTATGCTAATGTCACGGGCAGCATACAGCGAAGGCCGCGGGCAGCATCTTGATGGCCTGGGGCCAGAACCCGAGCCTTGTCGAGTGCAGCCGCGGACATCCAGTGCAGCGAGGTGCAGGCGTTGGACGAAAACGTCGAGAGGATTGTGGCCTTCCGAGTGGCTGTCGTCATCGTCGTTGCAGCGTCTGTTGCTTTCAGATGGTGCGTCTGTCGGCAGGCTCGCAAGGTAAATGCCGTCACATCACAGCAGCACGTCGGATGAGGCGACGACGGCGGAGGCAAAGGTCTATTGGCTGAGGCTGACGAGTACAGCGTACTACTCGTCGAGAAAGTCGAGACCTTTGCGTTTCGCAGCTCGACACACTCGGACGATTCCGAGCCTAAAAGCTAAATAGAGTCGATGCTGTGCTCTGTATGACACATACGGAGGTACGGCATACACATGCCTTGCAATGCAAGCCGCTTTGCATTCTTGTCTCCTCAGACTCGTACGTTTGTAATTGTCCGCAAACGTGGCAGCCATCCCGTCGTGTCGGCCTGTCGTCTGTTTATTTCGTTAATTTGCTTGTGGCTTGCTGTGGCTGAGATGACCGCTGAAGAGTACTTCGTAGAGGCCTGTAAGACAATACGGAGCGGCATTCAGCGCGTCTTTCAAAACAAACAAAAAAATTGGCGAAATTGCTGGCACGATCAGACGACTTGGACGCAGACCACTAAAAATTCGGGAGAATGACCTAAAAACAGGAATTTTGTGGAACCACCCAGGGATTTATGGGGGTTCGTGGTGGCAGTGCAAACCAGGAAAATGGAGCAAAGTAGCTGAGCAGGTGGTAAAAAGGGGTGAACAGCGCCGGGAATCAGGGACAATAGTGGATGTTTGTTTCGTGCCAGGAGCGCCGCAGCCAATCAGTGGTCTGGAGACGCGCCGCCAAAAGGGGGTTAGCCAGGGCAGACGATCGAAAACAGTGGGTCCCGCCAATCCGGGACCACGAAAGGCTGGATCCAGGAACGGAAAACCAGAAAGTGGAAATGCAGCTACAGAGCACGAACGGAGCGTCGCAGCGGGCACAGCAGCTGTGGGAAGGCATGACAGGGACCACACAGCAGTCAACCAGTGGATTTTGCAGCTCGGAACCTCTCCTCGTATCGCTATTTTCGTCGTCTTCTCGTGCCTTTCGATCCGTTGGTCATCTCCCTTGCATTCCTGTTTCTTTCATTCACTCATTCACCTTGTTTGTTCGATCCCTTTCATCTTTTGACTCTTCCGTTTCCTCGTGTTTTTGAGGCCGACATTCTTTGAATTTTCACTTTTTATCTAGTCTCTCCTTTATCCTTTTCTTCTCCCTTTTGCACCCTCCGTCCATCACGCTCTTTTCGACAACGACGCGTCTGCCATTCCTTTGATCTATTTTCGATTCGATTCTATCACGACCGACCTTTGTCCTCTGCCGACCGCTTCCTCACAATGCGTACCTCCGGCTATCTCGTGGCCAGCGCCCTGGCGTCGGCCGTCTCGGCCCAGAACTACCTGGGCTTCAGCACCGGCTCGACCAAGATCGACGGCTCCGTCAAGGTGCAGGCCGACTACGAGGCCGAGTTCAAGGCCGCCCAGAACCTCGTCGGCGCCCCCGGCGTCTTCAACGCCGCCCGCCTCTACACCAACATCCAGGGTGGCTCGGCCACGGACCCGATCGAGGCGTTCCCGGCCGCCATCGCCACCAACACCAGCCTGCTGCTCGGCATCTGGTGCTCTGGCACGACCACCATCAAGCCCGAGCTGACGGCCCTGCAGGCCGGCCTGACCAAGTACGGCAGCAAGCTGGCCGACCTCATCATCGGTATCTCCATCGGCAGCGAGGACCTGTACCGCAACTCGGTGACGGGCGTCGAGAACAAGGCCGGCGTCGGTGCCGACCCCAGCGTGATTGTCGGCTTCATCGACGACTACCGCAAGGCGTTTGCCAACACGGCGCTCAAGAGCGTGCCCGTGGGCCACGTCGACACGTGGAACGTGTTCCCCAACGCCACCAACAAGCCCGTCATCGACGCCGTCGACTGGATCGGCCTCGACGAGTACCCGTACTACCAGACGGGCCAGGACAACACCATTGACAACGCCGCCAACCTGTTCAAGGCGGCCTTTGACGCGTCCAAGGCCGCCGTCGGCGACAAGCCGCTCTGGGTCACCGAGACCGGCTGGCCCTACACCGGCATGACCTGGGACAAGGGCGTGCCCAGCGTCGCCAACGCCAAGGCCTACTGGGACGCCGTCGGCTGCGACCTGCTCTTCAACAAGGTGCCCACCTTCTGGTACGACCTCGTCGACGACAACGCCGGCAACAACGAGAGCTTCGCCATCACCGACAACCTGTCCACCAAGGCCCGCTTCAACCTGACCTGCCCGCCCCCCTCGACCAGCTCGTCCAGCAGCGGCGCGGCCGCCTCGTCGACCCCGACCAAGAGCGGCAGCGGCAGCGGCAGTGGCAGCACCAAGACGACCGGCACGGCCGCCACCACCGCAACGGGCAGCAAGACCACGGGCTCGGGCTCGGCCTCTGCCTCGGCCTCTGGCACGACGGTTTCCAAAAACGGTGCCTCGGTCCTGAACCTGTCGATTGGCACCATTGTCGGTGTTGTTGCCTTTGCCTGCATGCTGTAAGGGGAGTCCTACGGTCGTCCTATGAGTCAACCTGATTTCCTGGGCTGGTCACGGGAAAGTCGTTTGGTTCTTCTTTTTTTGGCATATCATTGGTCTTTTTAGATACTATCTCATTTGGATCTTGTCGCATACGACTCCTTTTGGTCTTTTCCTTTCTTGTCTCTCCTTTGCTCTTGTTTTTTTCTCACCCCTGTTAGACATCACGGACAGTGCATCACACGTCATAATATCGCAGAAAGCGGCACGTCTCTGGTCCGCTTTTTTCATAACTACTTTCATATAGACGGAATGGATTTTTGTTGTTTTATTTTACTTTATTATTTTGTTATTTTTGCATACACTCCTCTGCTTGGCGCTTGTCGTACACGGCGCGGCTACAAGCCGCCCGTGATGGCCGTGGGGGTTGCATCCACTTGTCAATTTGTCTGTCTTGGGTCGGTTCTCTGCCTAAATGGGCAAACCCGACCACCAGCGCCTGCGCACGGGCAACACTGTCTGATCGTGCTCCTTTGCGCGCGGTTGCGAGCTGTCTCGCGATCGTATGTCTGCAACTTGCGGCCCGCAACGTGCATTGCATTAGTGGCCGTTGATGGCTCCTCTCAGCAGACGCATGCAAACTTGCCGTCGACCATGGCCCCCAAATTGACGACCCCCCAAGACCACACCCTTGGGCCATCCATCGCAGGTTGCCTACGCGGCGCCCAATTGGTTGGCATTGCTTGGTTTCGGTGACCAAATGCCATTCAACGGCATTTTGAGAAAACGACACCCTCACACGCAGTCCCATCTTTCGAAGTCTCCCTTTGGCGTACATCGCCAGAGCCGCCGACGAAGCCGCCTATGGTCCTGTGATGGGTATTGTTTTATATCTCTGGTCTGGTTGGTGATGTTGCATTTCTCTCTGCCCGTCTCACCCACTGTGTCACGTCTTTGGCTGTAGGCTGAGAGACGGAGGTTCAACAGGATTGAGGACTAGTCCGCGGAGCACGGAGTACACAGACACGAAATGATTACAAAGAGCGTGAGCACGACAACAACGAGCAGTACTTCGTACATGCACAGTGTACTACGTAGCGTCTTGCAAATCTGGCAGGGATGCGCAGATGCGAGGAATACGTGCATTGGGTACACTTGGTACGTCTCTCACTGCTGCATTTTCTCACGTCTCTACCTCTTTGCTGCGTCTGCTTGATGTTCTTTTTTATTTTCGTTTTATTTCTTCTTTTTATTTGGGGTCCGCCCTTTGTTTCCTGTTGCTTTCTTCGGGGTTTGGTCGTTGGGCACCCCTAACCTCCGCAAACAGCGTCCTATTCTTGTCACTCTTTGTTGTCGACATCCCTCTCGCGGGTGAGCACGTATTTCATATTTCCTGCATTTCACTGCCATTGATAAACTATTTTCCCTGCAGTCTTTCTGTATTTGCCCAAGTTGTGTTGTATTTTCATGCTCTCCACATCATGGCCTTTGCCTCCGGAGCACCGCCCTCTCTCCGCCTGCTGGTGTTCTCCAGACGCCGCGTCCTGTATGTCGCTGTCGCCTTCGTCCTGACGCTGGTCGTCTACTTTTTGGCCCTTTCGGATCGAGCGACGGGATTCTGCGCTTCGTGTCTGCCCGCCTGGCGACCGAGTCCGTCAGCGCCGTCAGCATCACCACCGGGCTCCGGATCTGCGTCGCCCGAGCCGTTGACCTTACCCGACCTCGACACGTTGCCACCACCCCCACCGGGCCGCGATGTCGGCTACTGCCGCCAGCACTTTTCCAGCGACTACCTGTCCGACTTGCGGGACCATTCGATCCAGTACTGCGAGGGTAATGAGCATGGGCCCGCGCAATCTCGTCTGACATGCTTCCATGGGCACATCCGGGACGACCACCAAGCGGACTCGTTTTGCATTGCCTCGGGCGCCTCGTGGGATGCGACCACGCAAAAGTTCCAACTGGGCTGCCCAGTGTGGCGGACACCCAACGAAAACGAGACGGCAGGCGGCCTGATTCCGTTTACGGACCTGGCGCCGTACTGGTTCAACACGGGCCCCAAGACCATTTTTAAGGAATTCGTCTCCATGACGGGGGCCGGCGCAGCGCACGCGTCCAAAGCTAGGGCGGCGGCAGACGGCAGCGGCACGCCGTCGTTTGTCCTCCTGGTCAAGCGCGAAGGGGCGGGCAACCTGTGGCACTGCCTGATGGAGATTTGGTCCATGACGATGACCATGGACGTGCTGCGGATGGCGCGACCAGACGACCGCGCCGCGCCGTTCTACGCGACGCCCATGGACGTGGACAACACGCATGTCGTGCTTCTCGACGACCACGGGCCGGGGCCGACGCTGGACCTCTGGCGCCTGTTCTCCCGCCACCCGCTGGCGACGCTCAAAGACATGACGGCCGATCCGGCCAAGGTGCCGGCGCCGCTGCTGCGTGACGGCGCGTCGCACGCGTCTTTGTCGTCGACCCACCTGGTGGTCCCCCTCCCCGGCGGCAGCAACCCGCTGTGGCACAACGACTGGGCCGTGCGCGACTGCCAGCCCGGCGACGCGCCGCTGCTGCACCTGTTTGTGCAGCGCGTCTTTGCGCACCTGGACGTGCCCCGCCTCGCGGGCCCCAAGACGGACCAGGACGGCGCCGAGCCGATTGTCGTGACCTTTATCGACCGGCGCGGCACCCGTCGCCTGCTGAACGGTGCGGCCCTGCTGGCGGCCCTGCCGGGGCGCTTCCCCGGCGACGCGGTGGTCGTCCAGTCCATCGACATGGCGACGCTGTCGCTGGCCGACCAGGTGCGGCTGGTGCAGGACACGGACGTGCTCGTGGGCGTGCACGGCGCGGGCCTGACGCACACCATGTTTATGCGGCGGGGCGCGGGCGCCGTCGTGGAGATTCAGCCGACGGGGCTCGCGTACAAGGGCTTCCGCAACCTCGCGGCGATGACGGGGCAGCACTACTTTAGTGCCGAGGCAGAGATGGTGGCGCAGGGGGATGGGGAGGACGAGCATGAGGATGGGGAGAAGGCAAAAGGAAAGGGCAGCCAGAGCACGGGTACTCGAAAGCCAAGGAAGCGTAACGATCCGCCCAAAGTATGGCAGGCCTCAAACGTCCGCATGGAAGAAGACCGGTTCCTGGCATTGATGGACGTGGCCATCAAGTCGGTCTACAACGAAGGCCTGCGCAACAAGCATGTGGTAAAGTAGGCAGCGCATGTGTGTAACGGTATTGTTACTTTTGATTTCATAGTTTATCTCAAAGCCTACTTGAAAGTCTGCTTCAAAGTCGACGACGTGGCATATCCACATCGTTCGTTTTCACGCGACCCGTGGCTTCGCGGTTGACGGGACTGCGAGGTCGTCGATTTTGTACACCACCACACCCAAGGCTCGGCCAAGCCCCTTTGCTGGATGGTGCAGAATTCCGGCTGTAGAGCTCGCTGACATTTTTGTGCCAACTGAACAGCTAGTCGACGTTGGTGTTGTCATTGTGGCCAAACATCGTAGAGCTCACTTTGAATCAGAGTGTCTGATACTCAATTTGATGCAACAGTGAAAGGCACCAAAACGCGGCCGGCCTTATTGCGGTGGTGTTTGTGCCATCTGGCGATGTAAGTAGAATGCATCCACAGTCGGTGTAGATTGTGCAGGACCATGTGTTTTGCGAAATACGAAACTTTTGTCGATGTGATGTTCATGTCAATCGCCAATCTTCGCATGGATCGTCCCATCAATTCGCATTATCCACCTCCCAGTCACACGTCTTGGCGTATATGTAGAATCGAAGGATCTGCATTGTGGCGGAAAGCAAATTAACCTTATGTCGTTATGAGTACTTTTGTGTTATGTTCTCCACCGCTATTGTTCTTGGCAGGGGAAAAAAATGGACAAACGTGCAGTCACGGTCGATGTGAGGACAATGCGGCCGAATGGTCGCTGTGTTGGGACTTGCTTTGTCGTAGAAGAAATGTTTCGTATTTTTATGCAAAAGGCTACAAATGATGACAAAGGAAACAAAGCCCAGAGAAATGGGTAGAAGAGAAGAATGACGAAATGAAGAAATGAAGAAAAAGCCCAAGATAGAAAACCCAAGAAAGAAGACAAATCGAACTGAAAAAGTAAAATATAGAAAATGGTAGAAAATGATAGAAAATGAGAACAAAACAAAGCAAAGAACCCAGTCCTCAACGCCCGGTCCGTGGTCGTGATCTGCGTTGCATGATCCGATCCATATGACTCCGTCTGCCGGTGAATTATATGTTACACGCCAACCCTTGGTTCGTCTTTTGTGTCTTTGTATTCTTTTGCTTCCTTTGTGTCGGGTGCATCGCCCTCACTTAGCCGCCTTGGTCTTGCTCTGCAGCTCGACAAAGCTGTACCAGGCGGCACCGGCCAGCGACACGAGCATGCCCATGCCGTTGGTGAGGCCGATGGTGACGTTGAAGAAGACGATGCCCAGCAGGACGGTGAGGCACTGCTTGACGTTGCCGCAGACGGTCATGGTGAGGGCGCCGGCGGCCTTGTTGGCGGTAAAGGACGAGACGTTGAGGGCGAAGGCGAGCACGCCGTTGCCGAGCAGGGCCAGGGCCATGCTGGCGGGGGAGTCGCCGACGGCGCGGGCGACGACACGGGCGGCGACGGCGGCACTACCAGCAGGGGACGAAGCCGCCGCCGCCGCCCCCGCAGCGCCTGCCATGGCGCCCGACAGCTCGCCCGAGGCCCAGGCAATGAGCAGGGCCTGGAAAAAGGCGAGGGGCGACAGGCGCAGCAGGGTCTCCATGGGCGACAGCTTGAGCGAGCCGGTCATGATGCGGTTGGTGGCAATGGTCTTGGCGACGGCGAGGACGACGCCCAACAGGGTCAGCAAGAAGCCGGCGAGGGTAAAGTAGTACTCGCCGTAGGTGGTCATGCCGACGCCGAGGACGATGGGGACGAGCGACAGGTAGGTCTCGGTGGAGTAGGCGCGGCCAAAAAACACGCGGTAGGCGGCGACGGTGATGACGGGCGTGGTCGAGCGCATGATCTGGTGGAAGGGCACGGACACCATGGCCAGCGACACGTTGGAGATGGCAATGTTGACGGTAAAAAGCACGGAGAAGGCCAGCAGGGTCATCTCCTCGCGCCAGTCGAGCTTCGTGCGCGTGATGGTGCCGCGCATGCGCAGGACGTAGCAGCCGATGGAGGCGGAGCCGGTGTGCAGCGCGGTCAGGAGCCACGGGTGCGGGAACTTGCCCAGGATCAGCTTGTTGTAGATGGTGAGGGCGACGTTGCAGAGGAAGTAAAAGCCGAGCTGGGCCAGCTTGGCGCGTGTCGACACGGTGTCTTCGACGGCCAGCGGCTGCTGTGCCGGAGCGCCGCCGGCGACCAGGATGCCGTCCTTGACGGCATCTTTGCTGTCGAGGAGTTGTCCCTCGAGGTCGAGGTCGAGGTCGAGGTCAGGGTCGTGCTGCGGCACGAGCTGGTGTGTTGACGGCATGGCGGCGTGGCGGAGGGGTGGCCCTGGATGAGAGGAGAACAAAAGGAGAAAAGAAAAAGGCAGACAAGGCGAGCGTGGCCGAGGAGTCAGGAGGCCCTCGTAGTATCACCAGATCGCGTCGATGCCGTCGTTTTCGTTTTTCGAGGTCGTGTGGTCGGGAAAGAGACGTCCGCACAGAAGGGGCAAGAACGATGGGCACGGTAAAAGCTCAGAGTCGCGGCAGGCAGGAGCACTCTATTTTCCCGTGGCACGTTTTGTCGTCGTCGTTGCGCGCGTCGTTTTTCCAGTTTTCCAATTGTCCAGTTCTCCAGGTCTCCAGTTTGTCGTAGGGTTGCCAGTGACCTTTTCACGTCGGTATCTGCGCCCCTTTTCCGATCGCTGGGCAGACGGGTGCTTATGTGTCTGTGCCTGGATTGGGGTGTTCTTTCGTGTCTACTTAGTGTGTATTTAGTGTGTGTTTTGGGGCCGATTTTGGGCGGATTAGGGCGGATTAGGGCGGATTAGGCCGGTTTTTGGTGTCGTTTCTGCTGGTGTCCGATTTGGCAGCGTTCACAACGGCGTCGATCATGCCTCTTCTGCCTCGTGCGGTTGCGACGGCCTTTGCTGATGTTATTTTACTTGGACGCTACGAATTACAGCAAGGTTGTCATGCTGTTTGGTGCAGAATACGAGCATCTGTGTACGCACGACTGGACAACGCCGTCTTGGCTGTGATCCTGCGCTGGGATTGTCATTGTCTGTAATTCGTATTGGCTGGGTGGCCGGATGGCAGATGGCTGGATGGCTGGGGCTTTGGATTGCCTGGTTCGCCGGGATGTTTCTTGGCAAAGGATATCATCATGGGGCTTTGTGCGTTGAGCAGCAGGGGTAACAGCAAACGGGCCAGCGCTGGAGGGATTATGAGTGAGAGGGGAATTTGCAATGTAATTCGCGACACCGGGAGGCAATGCATTGCGTTATGCGCGTATTCTGTATTGTCCATTCGACTCTGTCGGTTTACTCTGTCTTTCCGTTTGCGTTGCAATCAGTGTCGCGCAGAGACTAGCAAGACAACCGAGACATCAGCCAGTCTCCCAGTTCACTGTGTGGTTGTCGTCACCTAATCTCGGGCTGCGTCGTCAGCCACCAGCCCCTTGGCCCCTATTTCGACGGAGCGTCCTCTCTTATGCCTTGGCCGTCCCCTTTGCTCTGCTGCCCTGGCCGTCCCCTTTGCTCTGCTGCCCTTGTCAGTCCCGTCACCGCCCCCTCCGCCCCTCCAATCTGCAGGCGCACGACGTCGTATTGCAATGGCATGCTTGCCAAGACGAGAGTCGCTGTCCTGCGCGGTCCTTTGCGGCGGGACACCGTACGGTGTCGACGGCAAAGGCAAGGTGAAAACGACGAATTAGTCTGTAACCGAAAGTTACTTTGTAGGAAATGGATCCATGCGTGACCGTCGCCTGTGGTGACTGCGCGGAGGCTGTGAATGCCTCTGGTCGAGTCGTGACTGGAATGCGAAATGTACGATGCTGCGTATGCATTCGGCAACGCCAAAGCTGGTGGTGGTTGGCGGGCAGATGCTTCAGGCCCTCGCAGCCACTCAGCCACTGATGATAACCGAGACGACCTGCAGACCGCCCCGCTGTCTCGCTGTCTCGCCCCTATTCCCGGTTTCCCCTTTCTGTTTAGCGTGCTTTATCGTGCCTTGGCAGATCTCAGTCTGCTTCCTCTTCTCTGCTTCTCTCTCCATCGCGACGCATTAGGCAGGCGCCGCTTAGTAGTATGTAGTATTGTGGACTGGCCTTGCCCGCCAAATTAGCGCAGACGGGCTCACGCGCTCACGCTCACAGGGTTTCCGGCGGTCCCTTGGGCGTTTTTGGCAGGCGAGTTGTATGGCTGTCGGGCTGTCCCTTCCTCGCCTGTCATATGTCGCGATTTTGTATTTTTGCCGTCGAGGGCGACTTCCTTCCCGCTGGCACGTTGCCTTGCACTTGCCTTGCACTTGCTTGCACTTGCTTGCACCTCGTCCCGTCACTCGTTTTTCCTCTTTACTCTTCACTTTGAACTTTGACTTGTGCCTTTTCTTTTCCTTCGTTTCTGTGTGTCGCCGGTCTGGTCGTCGCATGTCGCCGTTGCCGTCATCGTAACACGCTCGCCGCACACCGCACGCCCTTCTCGTCGCTCTTTTGTCACTCGTTTAATCTTTCATACTTGACTTAATACTATTGGAACACATCTTGTTCGCCTTTTGGTTTTTTGGTGTTTTTTCCTTCTTTTTTTTAAATTGTTTGTTTCTCATCTTTCGAATATCACGACTCTACCTCTACTGTACGACGACGACGACGACCACCGCCTCCCCCTCCTCCTCCGCCACCACCACAACCATGCGTTCCCCGGCCCTCTTCCAGCGGCTGGTCATTTTCGCCTTTGTCTGCACGCTGCTGGTGGCCCTGACAGTCTACCAGCGCGACCGTCTCGCGGCTGGCGTCGGCAGTGTCGTCGACTCGGTCAAGACGGCCGCCGACTCGGCCAAGGAGGCCAGCAAGAACATTCCGATTCCGTTTGTGGGCGGCAAGGACGGCGAAGACAACAACGGCGACACCACCGACAATGCCACCGACAATGCCACCAACGAGGACGGCGACAATGACGCCAATGACACGGGCAGCACCAACAACGCCAACAGCACCAACAACACCAACAACACTAACGCGGCCGATGACAACAGCGACAAGCCAGCGCCCCCCGACAAGTACATCTCCGTCTGCCTGGCCGTCAAGGACCAGCGGCTCGACCTGCCCGAGTTCCTGCGGCACCACTACTACAACATGGGCGTGGGCCACTTCTTCATCATGGACGACGGCTCGGAGCCGCCGCTGTCGGAGCTGACCGACGAGGAGCTCACCATCCCGCGCGACGCCGTCGAGTTCCACTACTTCCGCCCCGACCAGCACGTCAAGTGGATGCAGTACACCATGTACAACACGTGCAAGAACGTGGCGAGCAACCACTCGTCGGTCAACACGACGTGGATGGCCTTTATCGACGCCGACGAGTTCATCGACGCGCCCGGGCCGCAGACGCTGCGCGAGGTGCTCGAGGACTTTGGCCGCATCGAGGCCATTGGCGGCGTCGCGCTCAACTGGCGCGTGCACACGTCCGGCGGCCACCTGACGCGCCAGCCGTCCGTCATCTCGGCCTTTACCGAGTGCATCTACGACGACCCGGCCCACAACGGCAACGGCACCAACAACCGCCACGTCAAGTCCATCGTCAAGCTCAAGCACATGGTGCAGCCGCGCAACCCGCACTCCTTTATCCTGACGCCGAACCACTTTGCCGTCGGCGAGAACGGCGACGTCGTCGAGAGCCACCTGCGGGCGCCCATCACGCGCGACCGCCTGGCCATCCACCACTACGCGCTCAAGAGCAAGGCCGAGTTCGAGGACAAGATGAACCGCGGCAGCGGCATGTCCCACCACAACGGCTGGAGCGTGTGGGACGACTACGAGACGATGCCGCACGAGCCGTGCGAGGAGATGCTGCGTTGGGCCAATACATGACGGCAAGAGTAGGCAGGGAGCAGGGCAGTGGGCATTGTCCCGCGTATGTTGTATGTCGTAATTTGTACATTTTACTTAATACCAGCGTTTGATAAAATACAGCCATATTTCGATATTTGATATTTCGATGTTTCGATATTTCGATATTTTCAATATTTTCAACCCATTACTGTCCAGTCTTTACCGTACCCAGCCACCAGAATACCTTTCCCTCCCTCATTTTGCCTCTCTAAAACCGGGTCGGTGGGATTTGCGCGGCCAACAAATTAACCCCAAATGAATGTGCGCGAGATGCGCGAGAGTGGGAGTGGGGATGTCAGATGTGGATTGCAGTACAGCGCAATGTCCATCCCTTCTGTTTTATTTCAGGCGGGAAAACAAAGCCGTCGATCACTTTTGATCCCCCTTTCTTCATGGGACGGAGGGACGTTTTCCTGGTGCCCATTTCCTGGTCGTCTCGATCCCTTTAATGAACGACCCCCCCTGCACCCCTTATTGTTCCTCGTCGACTGTCCTGACGGGATCCTCCGTTTCTGCAAAACCGCTCACAAGGCCAACGATCGTACCGAGTCGTTGGCCAAGAGCACAAGGACATACCGTCACCAACGTCCCGTTTACATACTGTGTAGCATAACGAAAAATGTCGAAATCCAAAAGGAGCAAACCGCCAGAAACGGGCCAAGGAACAGGGGTCGATGACGGAAAAGAACAGGGGTGCGACGCACAGTCGGCGAAAAAAAGGCTTGCTACGAACAGCGGCACACCAATGACAAGGAAAAAGAGACAAGCGGCTCTGGTAAATTGCGGTGGGGCACGCGCGACAAAGTCTGTTCGTTCTTGGCCGTTCAAGCAGCCATACACAGTAGTGTCCGTGATGACAGAACGCGGAACCAGTCAGGGCGTGAGACTGCGTAACGAGTAAAAACTGGACTGGCTGCAACCGCTAACTCGTAGCGTTGACTGTTGACAACGGTGTGAGTACCAGGAACCTTCCAGTAAAACTATTTGGCTTTTAATTGTGGAAATAGCAAAATGTTTAAAGTGTGGAGAGGTACGAATTATTCAGGAACGTAAAACGTCCCAGTTGGCCAGTACCCATCAAAGTGATGTACTTTGTTTGTCGTACATCGTAGGTCTCATCAAAATGGGCGAATCGGAGAACGGGAGAACGACCGACTGAGTTACGGCTGAAGGACCTCGTATCCAACTTGGTCGTGATTCTTGTGGCTGCCGTGCCAAGACACACAACCAGATCCTGAATACGCCATGTGAGCATGTCTGGATTGGTGGGTGTGTTGCGCCAAGATAAGCCTGCAGAGCGGTGAAATGGGCGAAAAGAGAAGAAAAAAAGAAAGAAAGAAAGAAAGAAGAAAAAAAAAAAAAAGAGAACGGGGGCCACAGGATTACGAGGTTTGTCCAGTGCCAAGAACTGCCAGGTTGTTCGCTGACGGACTGCACAGTAATTACCTACTGTGCTTGCTCGCACCACCGGATTGTGACAATCGAGGCTGAATCCCGCCAAATGTCTCAGCTCCCAGAAATGACGACAACGTCCTGCTAAGAGACATCCTCGATCGTCAGGTATTGCCGTCGCCGCTTCTCCACTGGAATTGGGAGTCGAAACGCCGGTTCCGGCAGAGTCAGACCTGTCAACTTGCGCGGCCCGACAAGAGCACGAGAACGCCACTCCACTATCGTGTACGGATGACGGCATATTCCTCGTATCCAGATGAGAGACAACAACTGGAATGGCAGCATGTCGGAAATGTCTTGCTGTCGGGCTTGTCTCACGTGATACTCGGTCAAGGCAACACAGATGAAACTGGTTTTTGGGTAGTCATTCCTGTAAATAAGGTGAAAGGAAAAATACGAAATAAATAAATAAAAAGAAAGAAAAGAAAAGAAAAGAAGGCAATGAGACTGCTGAAAGCCGACCAAGTCGAACATGGCTGAACCCCTGCCGTCATTCCAAGGCTTGGTCGGAGCGACAATTGACTCTCCTTGACCCTCCTGACCCTCCTAAGTCTCCTGACTCTCCTGACTACCCTGACTCTCCTCTGGCTATGGTTTGTTAAACGTCGCCGGATCACTGGAGGCGGGCCGTTCCACGACAGCACATTAATCTACTTGAGCAAGCCGCCACCAGCCTTACCACGGCTCCGCCAGAGATGCCACGCGACACTGTGGACATCCGTGCCCATCGTTGTGTTATTCCACTTGTAGAATACGAAAATGGTGCTGAGTAGAAATCTTGAAATGGAAAAAGAAAACAAAAAATGTAGAAATAAACGAGGCCGGGCGGTGTGCAGAGCAGGTCATCACCAGGCGTTCGCCCATCCAGCGCATCGAGTTACACGCGCAGCGGCTTGGCAACACGACGCACCGCCGGTGTGTCGTCTTGGGCGCCGGCATCCAAAGCGTCGATGATGTCGGCGTTTTCCTCGTGGTCCCAGTCTGTGGCCCAGTCGTTGTTGTCGTCGTCGTCGTTGGCCTCCACGTCGGCCTCCACGTCGGCCTCCACGTCGGCATCCGCGCCCGTCGCCCGCTTCGTCGGCAGCGCCACGGCCTTGCCCTTGCCGTCCTGGATCGACGTGACGTGCGACCACGGAATCGTCCCCAGCGCCGCAAACTCCTTCTCGTCGGCGTGGCCGTACTTTTTCTGGACGGCCGCGTAGGCCGCCGCCACGTCGGTGAAGATGCCCGTGATGCCCGCCGTGTCAATCGTGTACACGTACCCGGTCTTGCCGGCCTTCTTGCGCGCCTGCGCAAGGTCGCTCGACGTCGACACGTAGGGGTCGCGCGACGGGTACTTGAGCGTGCCCTCGACGTGCTGGAACACGGTGGCGGCCGGGTCCGGGCCCAGCCGGTGCGACGCGCCCTTGCTCTTGAAGCCGCCGGCCGCCTTGATGGTGGCCGGGTCGCGCGAGTCGCCGCGGTACAGCGTGGCGGGGATGGTGCCGGCCACGCCGGCCACCAGCCAGGCCAGCAGGCCCAAGACAAGGAGCGAAATGTTCTTCATCGTGGCGGTGGACGAGGGTGAGGGACGATGGTGAGGGACAATGCGCGAGTAGAGGAAGAGTGAGCGTATGATAGGAGTTGGAAGTGTGCTGTGTTTGCTTGCCGGTCTATCAAAATAACATCACGACGACTCTGGCGATGCGTCGTCTTTTATATCTCTTCTCCTTCACTCGTACGCCGGTCATTGTCAACGTCGCTCTGCTTGTGCTCAGATGTAACAAAGGTTGAGAACTGAGGGCTGACGACTGCGGACTGAGGACTGAGGACTGACGACTGACGACTGACGACCGCTTGGCCCACGGCCACACATAAACGTCTCTGGCACGTATCGTACGCCTCGTAAGGCCAAATGAAGCATATACACAGTGCCCACCACATCGGAGCAGGCCGGTGTGTCGTTTCGGCCAGCTGTAAGCATCTGGACCATCGGGTCGCTGCGTGCATCGGCATAATAAAGGACGGCAGAGTCCACGATGGCACCTCGCGTACAGTTCAGAGCCAGGAGCCTTGCCTTTACGAATATGAGCCAGGCCTCCGTGCCGCGGTGCAATGCATCACGATAGTACCCACGCTCCTTTGCTGCGAGGAGGAAAGAAGATGCACACATATCACGTCTTCGGTTCACATCATTCGCTGCAATACAATCAAAGTCAAAGGGTGTTCACGATGCTGCTCTACAAGAAACAACAACGCACACAACGCACACAACGCCACAATATGTCGTATATGTAGGCGACGTATGTCCGACGCAGGCGTTGCCCATCACCGACATAGTTCCGGTACGCGAGAGGCGCATACCGTCGCAACTCGATGTTAGTCCACTGTTTCGTCAGTCTCGGACAGTGTTGGTCGGCACAAAAATAACAGACGGGCGGCTGCTAATGAGCAAAGCCAAGACTGTGGCTCTGGAGTGGATGCACACTTGGTGGACCGGTGTTCCGTATTCGGCGTCTTGGGTGACGACATTCGTGGCGATGTCGTGGTCCATCGGATCAGACAAAAACCCGTCCATAGCCATTGTCACGATACTTGCAGACAATGAGTGTCGTTGCCACCTGCGTCTCCCGACCCCAACTCACTGCGGTCTGACCGGTCCGTTCGGGCGAATGCTGTTGCCCCGTTGACGGCTGCATGTCCTCAACGCCATTGGTTGCATCGCATGACGCTACGCAGCAGCGTGTTGTCGTACGCGAGCAAACGCAACAGACGACGCAGAGTATAAAGTGCGGCCCATCCCTCGCGTCGCTTCTTCCTTTCTTTCTCACGCTCCACCAGTCCTCCCGCGGTGCTCGTCCTCCCGCCTTTATATTAATACACACGAACCCGGTCCTTAAAGGGTGCAGAGACGACAGACCGGCCAGACCCCTCCCAGCCGCGTCTCGACTTCAGCCCCCCAATTTATCCTTGCGAGCGGTTCGCATATACAGCGGCCCGCGTCGCCCATCGACCGCCCATAGACCGCCCATAGACCGCCCACAGACCGCCCGTTGCATCGCGTACACGTGCATCCATCTCGCCTCCCGGACTCCGCCAGAACCGGACTTGACAGACATGCCCGACATGCAGGAGCCCATGTCCGCCGCGTGGGGCCTCGTCCTCAGCGCCGCCGACTGGGCCAAGCTGCGCGCCGGCCTCGCGGCCCGCGACATGGACGACCGCTGGCGCTTTGTGGTGGACGCCGCCGACCGGTCGGGGGTGGTCACCATCCATGTGCGGCGGAGCTGGACGGGCACCGAGCTGTACGCGCTGCACGTGCAGCCAGGCGTCGACGGCGCGCCCGCCCGCGTCGTGGCCATCACCTGGGAGCAGAACAAAAACGGCATCCTCATCACGGAGGAGCAGGCCAAGCTGGAGGTCGCCGTTCTGAGCCGGTCGCAGCTGGGGTGCGACTTGGAGCGGCTGCCCGACTACGATCCGGACCTGGTCTGGAACCATCCGAACGCGCGGCTCGACAGAAACATCAATTGAGGCGCATCGGTAGGGGTGGGGACGACGCATTCAATACAGGTGTATATACGCAGACACTCGGCACATCGTACGCCATTCCGCCATTCGTCTTGCACGGTGCGTCGTTGGTTCTTTTTTTCGAAGACTCTGTTATACAAAGTTTACAAATGTAGCTTAGGAACTGATTTATTTTGAAAATAAAAACCCACAGAAACATGCATATGGTGTTTTTTATTTCATTATATTACTTATACGAAATACTTCGTACTTGGTAATGAATTTAAGTGTATTCATATTTACGAAGCCACCATGCTCATACTGTCTTGACAATTTAATTGTCTATAAATATAAATGGCGGATGCCTATGCCAACACGTTCTGTGTTGGCAACTCAATCACATTCTATTCTATTCGCCGACCTTCGTAATGAACAATTTGCGTCGCATGCTGATTCAAGTATCGCCTTGGCCAAGGTGGCCTTGGCCAAGGCGGAGAATGAGAAAAGACAGCGATTGCACCAGTCATTCCGAGCAGCGACATTACGGGCGGGTACGCCAAGGTCGACCTTTTGCATTTCCAGTTAGATCTCGTAGGGCCAATCGCCAGAACCGGGGTAGCCATCGATGCTGTGTGGCTGTGCTTCGTGTTGGAGTATTTTTGCGGCGTGTCGGACGTTTGTGCCGCCTGAAAGAACCGACTCATGAGGCCAGACCACCACCACCAACCACGGACAGCATACCCAGAATGGACGTCGGATCGTGCTGGTTGTTTAAATAACCATAATTGCCTGGTGTGGATAAAGTGGCCGTCCGTGCGGTGCGTGACAGTGGTCCTGGCCACCTGCAGGGGCAATTTTGTTGTAGTGACCTCAAAAGAAGCCCATTTCCGTCATTTTCGCAGACGATCGGACGCCACACTTTGTTGTCTGTTTGATTATCTCCGATCGCAAGATGGACGACACAAGCGAGGCGTTGTCGATATCGTCGACCTTGTCGCCATCAACACCGTCGACACCGTCGACACCGTCGACAATAACAGACACATGGACGACAGCCGCTGTAGCGCCGACGACGGCGTCGTCCACAGTCGACACAGTCGACACAGTCGACACAGCAACAAACAGCACGTTGCGGCCCATGCAGACAGCCTTTGAACAGCCCGCCAGCTGCACGGGTCACTTCTCCACCACATCGTACCTCTACTACAACACGGCCAACTTCGACTACACACACGTCACGCTCGCGATTTCAGACACGCGCCATCCGCAGTTTGCGACGTGCCAGCCGCCAGGATGGGACACGGTCGTCCCGCGCCACCGCTTCGTCTTCAGTCCCGGCGTCTGCCCGCAGGCATGGACCGCATACGATCTGTCGGCCACCACGACGCGCTACGAGACGACCGTGTCCAGTGCCTACTGCTGCTCCAGCGGCTTCACGCTGTCGTTCGACTACCCCTACCAGACGCACAGCACCAGCGCCATCTACACCAGCGACGACAGCGGCGCGTACTACACGCTGTACCCGGGGCCCATCAGCGGGTACCAAGGGCCGGGCTGCTACCGACAGGTGCCGGTAACGCCAGGGACGACGACGACGGCAACGACAACGACGACGACAACGACAACGGCACGCGCTGACACGGCGACGCCCTCCGTGTCGCTCGAGATGCATCTCCCGTACAGCGTGCAGTGGAAGGCCGGCGACACCAAGCACATGTCGCCGACGCCGCCGCCGGTGCCCTGCACCTACAGCCTGTACGCGTGGACGCCGGGGGCCCCGCTGCTCGGGACCAGCGACGCCACCTACGACGCCGGCGGCAGCCTCGTCGTCGCCAGTACGAAAGGCGGCAGGTTTGGATTCAACCATGTTCCGACGACCAGCAACGCGCCCGTCAACACCGACTGCCCGCTCGTCGAGGGCGTCGGCAAGGGCGTCAACCACGGCTACGCGGCGGTCATGTACTTTGTCATGATTGGCATTCCCCTCATTGCCGCCGCCTTCATTTCGTGCTGCACGTTTCTGTGTGTGCGCGGGCACCGCCGCAACAAACGGGACAAGCGCCAGCTGGAGGAGCGGGCGGCGCAGGAGAAGCGGGAGGTGGAGCAGGCGATTGCACAATCGTTGATCGAGGCAAAAGCGCCTGCACAGAACGAGACAGCTGCCGCTGCGGGGGCCGCCGAGGGCGTGGCAGGCCCGTCTGGGACGAAATGAGCGGAAATGAGCGGCGTTGTGGCTAATCAGACAAAGTTAATATTTAATAGCTAATACGGCGATGACACGACAAGCAATATAATGAAACGCGTATCGAATGCGGTGGACAGTATATAGACACATTGGGAGACAAGATGCAACGGCCGATGCGGCGACGTGCGTAAGTATATGAAAATCAAGAGCAGCAGACGCCATTTGTTAGTCCACCCGTTCTGCCGCCCGGAACGAGGGCGTCGCCGGTCGCTTGGACGGCTTGTGGATGCGGACCGCGCTCAAAAAGTAGTCTTCGAGCGGCAGCAGGTTGCGGAGCAGCCCACTGACCTGCCACACCGCGAGACACACAATGCCGCCCACGACGGCGACCAGGACAAAGTGGTTGGCCGTGGCAATGATGGCGATCCAGATGAGGGCCGGGTAGACGAGGCCGCCGAGCACGGCGAGCAGGCGCCGGCGGGCGCGCGCCGCCCTGCGCGTGTCGCCGGCGTCGAGCGGCAGGGTGGCCACGGTGAGGCCGATGAGGAACGCGTAGCCAAAGTGCAGCGACGGCATGGCGGCGTACTGGTTGCAGAAGCGGTTGGTGGTCCAGACGCTCTGCGCGCCGTCGGCGGTCGCGTGCACCGTGTCGACAAAGGCGTAGCCGTGGGCGGGCCCCGGCTCGCTGTGGCCGGCCAGGTGGTCGGCGCCCAGCAGGCGCGGCGGCATGACCGGCCACGCCGTGAACAGGACAAAGGCGACCAGGTTGCACATGGCCATGGTGCGGCGGCGGCGCTCATAGAGGTCGGGGCGGTAGCGGTCGCGGCTGCGGTTGCGGTGGACGGCGGCGTCCGGGCGGCGCGCGGCCTGCTGCATCTGCATCTGCATCTGGCGCTGGGGCCGGGTCGTCGTGATGTAGTACAAGACAATTAGGAACAGTATCGTGCCCGGGATGTGCACAAACGCGTACAGGCGGTTGATGCCGCGCATGACCGCCGGGCGCCGCTGCAGGAAAAACCGCTGCACGGCCGGCTCCACGAAGATGGCCAGCGCCTCCTCCACGCGCATCAGCTGCAGCGCGTGGCGGCGCGCCGCCTGCACCACCGACTCGTCGATCAGCAGCACCGCCGACACGGCGCGGGCCAGCTGGTACACCCAGTAGATGAGCGCCCAGTACCAGGCCTCGACCAGAAACGGAAACTTGCGCAGGACGCGGCTCAGCAGGCGGTTCCTGAACCTCTCCGTGTTGGGCGTCCACACGGTGCGCCGCCAGGGGCCGAAATAGAGCGTGCGCGGGCGCTTGTCGCCGTGGACGATGTGGATGGTGTCGCCCGCCATCGTGGTGCGTTTGTCGTCGGCAGGGCTCCGGCTCGATGCCATGCCATCCTCGCTGCAGGGCGTGCGTGTGTGGGACGCCGGTAAGTTGTCGTCCTCCATATCCAACAAACGGACGCTGGTGTCGCGGTTGAGCAACGTGCCGCCACTCAGCAGCCCGACGACCACGGCGACTTCGACAAACGGGCCGACGACCATGATGAGCACGGTGTCAAGATGTGCGTAGATGAGGCGTTATGAGAAACAGCTGACGATGAACTCGCAAGGCATATGCATATGGTAAACGGCAGGACAGTTGGAACAGTCTGAAAATAGACAACGCGCAAAGAACGATGGCAGCAGGACAACGATTAAAATCAACAACAGGACTACGACACGGCCGAAGAATCGGCGGGGCCCGAGCAGTTGCAACAAAGATGACGTTGGGGCCACAGTGGTCCATAAACGTACCATCCATCGCCTCCATGCCTCCATGCCTCCATGCCTCCATGCCTCCACGCCTCCATTGCCAACGGTCGACCAAGCATCGACATCGACAGCATCCCGCCCATGCTCCTTGGCGACGCAGCACACGCGCAGAATAGGTATGAATAGGCGCCTTTCTGTTCCTGTGGGCGTGCGTGGTCGTGCAGAACGGCACAAAATGCCTGCCGGGTGCTCCGGGTGCTGGTGCGCAACAGGCCGAGGTCTCACGCGCGGCCGCTTTGGCCGTCGCTCGACGTCGTCCGTACACGAAAATGGTGCGCACCCATGCTACGTGCTGTGCCAAGGATGCTCTGCAGGGCTAAAATGGCAGCTCTCACGGTGCTGCTTATGCCGTTTCCCACAGAGGTTCGCCAAAGTCAAAGCATGCTGCCCGCGCACGACATGAGAAATTGGGGGCGTCAGACGACACGTCGTCGCTGCTTGGCATGAGAGAGCACCCGAAACAAGAATGAAGGGGCCGTCTTCGCTGTGGTCCAACGGGGTTTCGTGGTTGTGCTGATGTCCTGTTGTGCTGATGTGCTGATGGCGGATGCCAAGAGATGACTCCACTATATTCGTGGGTTGGGGCTGTTTGGGTGATGGTGCGTGAGCAGCCCCGGATCCGATGGAAGTGGATGGCACGTATACGTAGCGCACGCGACACCAGAGACAAAGGAAATACTCCGCATCTGTTGCAACGCACAGCAGTCTGCCCTGCACGAGGTAATTACCGCAAGCCATTTTGTTGCTGGACGCACGCAAGAGAGGGTAGTCTGGCACATGACAATGAAGAGGCCTTTTCGATTTGGGGGACGTTGTCATTGTCATGGTAGATTTGATTCTGGTATGTGATTGGTGCCTTTCCTTGGCGACGCTCCCCGAATCATCAAGACATCCATGTTCATTGATCAACAACGGCGGCACTTTGACTAAAACAAGGACATGGCATGGACATGCCGACAACGTATGGGAATCGACATCTTCACCTTCGTGGACGGGCTTGCATAAAAGGAACAAAGGCAGCAGATGCCGTTCAGCCGTTCATTGGTCAGGTCGCGTGTCGTATTGCCCGTCTTGGCATTGGCCTGTCGTCTCATTTCAATTTCCTGCTGTTCCGGTCATGCGGCGGATCTACGCTGACATTCTCACCCACCGCTGTCAAGCACCAACGGCGCAAACAAGTGCCGACTCCCGTTGGATCTGCACGCAGTGTAGATGTCCTTGGTCCGAATATGCGGTTCTTTTGTTCTCCAGCAGTCGTATGTACTCGGAGAGCTACAATACACGTAGCATGGCATAGGTGCTGCGTTTTCACACTGCCAGAAGCCATGCTCTCCTTGCCATGTCAGCCCACACTTGGAGAGAGGCCCGAGTGCGGGGGTGAAGGAAAGACTCGTTATTAAAATGTCGTATTTGTATGTATATATATACATCCTCCCATACCTGTACTGTACACCGTTCCCTAATCGACCATCCATTTAATCAAACGGTGGCGGGCAATGAAGCCGCGGGCCCGTTTGCCAAAGACGTACATGGGAATGGTGGTCAGGGTGACGCCGACGGTGATGCCGCCAATGACAAAGAAGCAGTCGCGCACGCCCTGGACGGCGATCCAGTCGTTGGCGTAAAAGGTCATGCCAAAGGCAAACATGTTCTTGATAAAGTTCATGACGGCAAAGGCCTCGGCAGCCTGCATGCGGTGGCTGTCGGCAACATACGCCACGACGCCCGTGGTGCCGAGCTGGACGCCAAAGTTGATGAGGCCCATGCAGACGACAATGGGCACGGCCCAGGCGTCCTGATGAAAGAGGGACTGGCCCCAGGCGAAGAAGCCCGTGGCCGTGAACAGGAGGTAGGTCACCATGATGGGCAGGCGGAACTCGGGCTCAAACGTGCCGCCGTTGCGGCGGGCCAGGGCCGTGACGACGCCGTCGATGGCCGGGCCGGCGACGGCCGTGGCGAGCAGCGTCGCGACAAACGACGAGACGTTGGTGGCGCCGACGGCGCTGACGGAAAAGCTGTACGGCGGCGCCGAGAAGATCTGGGACAGCGTGATGCTGATGAGGACCAGCCACGAGATGCAGGTCGTGAAGAGCAGCGTGGCCCAGAGCACAACGGGCGACGCGAGCATGCAAAAGGGCTGCAGCAGGGTGCGCCAGAAAGATACGCGGTCCCAGTAGCCGCTGTAGGGCATGAGCGACTGCACAAACGTCTGCGGGATGTCGTTGCGGCTGTGGTCGGTGTCGCCGGCGGGCACGTCGCGGTGCCCAAACGCGCCGGCCTTTTCCGAGGCGCCCTCGACGCCCTCGACCTCGACGCGGTGCGTGCCGCCGTCAATGTTGAGGGCGCCGGTGCGGTGGAAGGCCGACTCGGGCATGAAGAACAAGGTCAGCAGGGTCTGCAGGACAAAGGCGCCGCCCATGGCGTGGAGACAGACGCGCGACGAGCTGTACTGGATGATGGCGCCGGCTGGGGAGAAGGAGGGGAGGATGTCAGCATGAGCTCTCTGGTCTGGAGACACCATGTCAAATGTCACAATGTCACAATGTCGCGCGTCGACTCACCAATCGGCGACGCGAGGTTGATGCCGCCGAGGACGCCGAGGTTGAAGATGGCCGTTCGATAACCGCGCTCGTGGACGAACCAGATGTCGGCAATCGACGCCGGCACCAGCGCCTCCATGGGCGCCATGCAGAGGCCGGTGACGGCCCGCGCGGCCGACAGCGACGCGAAGCTCTTGGCCTCGGCGCCCCAGAAGCAGCCGATAAACAGCCCAATGGACGAAATCAGGTACACCGGCCGCTTGCCGACCTTGACGGCCAGGGTGTTGAACAGGATGCTGCCGACGGCAATGGCGGCAATGCACGAGCCGTTGACGCCGAGCGTGAAGCGGGACAGGGGGACGTCAAACGTCGCGGCCAGCGGCACAAACGCCGACGTCAGCAGCGGGCCGACGGCGCCGACGCAGCCGCAGCCGTAGGCAATGGCGACGGTGAACAGCTCCTTCTTCCAGCGCGGCCAGTTGTACGGGTCGTTGGGCGACGCGGACGGCTGCGGCACCAGCACGGTCGTGCCCGACGCGTCGTGCTTGAGCAGCGTGCGGTCGATGCCCTGGGCGATGGCGGCGTCGGAGCGGCCCAGCTCGCTCAGCGGCGATGTGCCGGGCACATGCTCGAGCTTGCGGTACTCGAGGATACCAAGAGGCATGGTGGGGGGGGGGTGTTGCTATTTGGGATGGAGGTCAAGATTTTGTGGCGGCGGTGTGGAAAGAGAAAAGATGAAGAAGATGGCGATAGGAAACGATGAAAGAAGATCCAGTCGACTCCTTACATTTGCCAAGTCTACGTTTTTCGTCCTCTGGAGTCGTTTTGTTGTACCCCAAATTATATGTAGATCAACACTCTCTCCTCATGGTCGCATTCATCGGAGTCATTGGACGGGAGGAGGCAAACAGGCTTGCCACGCCCTTCTGGCCCTGTGCCATACTGCGAGACTGCCTTTCCGCCAGGGGCCATATCTTGGCCAAAATGCGGCCGGAGGATGCTCGGCCATGGACCTCCCATGGAACCTTGATTAGTCCATGAGTCAAGTCTGACAGATCGCTGTGTCCTGCGGGGAACGGCAACAAAACAGAAAAGGCGAGAAAAGGGACGATCAAGGAGGAGTTGCAACCACCAATGGACAGATGGGGTGGTTTTGTGGAGAGGTCTGGGGAGACATCTGGGCACACTGCATGCTGGAGAAACTGGAGGAGCGGAGTCTTGGGCCAGTTTGTGGGGTTTCTCCGCACATAAAGGACGTTTCCATGGATAATCTCTTCTACAGGTTGTTTTTCCAGGTTTGTCTCCATTTCATCCCCGCCTGCACGTTGAAGAAAACAAAGTTCATTCGTCTTGACAGATGCATGATTTGTGCTGTAGACCCAGCTGCGGCACCTTTGTGTATGTTTATTTTTAAGAGACCATGGCACTCCTGTCCACGTTGCCTTGGTCGATTCCTCTGATGCTGGATCTACATCTACTTTAGTTAGGTTCGGCATATGCAGCCGAGATCAGCTATTTCACACTAGCGCTCGCAGCTTGCCGGCCATCCTCCGGCAGTCGTGTTGGCGGCAACCAGAGGACAAGAGGGACGACCCGGTCCTGTATTGTAAGTCGTATGGAAAGTCAAAGTCATTCGGGACGTTCCGTTATGGACAAAGTGAAGGAGACACACTCACAGGCATAAGTCTAGGGCTATATGCAGGTAACGTTGCTCTTCTGACGGATTCTGACTGGCCGTTGATCTCTTGATCTGGTGATCTTAAACAAGGCTGGACGGCAGTATTTCAATTCTTGACCACGATACGCCGTGCGACAATTGACTGTTTATACGCACCCACACCCACCCACACATCACAATGACGGCCATTCCGTTCTCGCGAGAAACACTCAACGCCTTGTCCGGCAAAGTGGTCGTTCTGACAGGCGGTGCGCAGGGCGTCGGCGCGGCCACCGTCCAGCTGGTCTACGAAGCCGGTGCGCACGTCTTTTTCGGCGACTGGGCAGACGACAAAGGCCGGTCGCTGGCCGCGTCTGTCCAGAAGGATGTGAAGAGTGTCGGGTCCGGGTCGGTCACATTCCAAAAGGTCGACGTCCGCGAGTATGCCTCGCAGCTGGCCCTCTTTGATGCCGCCTACAAAGCACACGGCCGCGTCGACGTCGCCGTTTCCTGTGCGGCCGTGTCCGAGCCAGCGGGTTTCTTTGAGCCCGAGAATCTTGATTTGGAGAGTGTCAAACAGGTGAGCACGACAATCACCACACCACTGGCAAATATTGGTATGGCGTCCACATGTCTGACGCAACGGCCTCAGGAACCCACGGAGCTGCGCTCCCGTCTCGACATCAACCTCACCAGCGTGCTCCTGTTCAGCCGCATGGCGCTCGCGTACATGAAGGCCTCGCCGCAGGACGGCACCAGCCGGTCCATGGTCCTCGTCTCGTCGATTGCCGGCATCACCGAAGCCCCGGGCCTCTTTGCCTACTCGACCGCCAAGCACGGCGTCATCGGCCTGATGCGCGCCCTCCGTCCCTACGCGCCGCGCCGCTATGGCGTCCGCGTCAATGCCATCTGCCCCTGGGCCACCGACACGCAGCTGCTCGCGGGCGTCGTCGACACGTGGGTGCAGGAGGCGCTGCCGCTCAACCAGCCGTCCGACGTCGCCGGCCTGATTCTGCAGTGCGCCGCCGACGCGACGCTCAACGGCAAGGCTGTGCTTGTCGCCGGTGGCACGGGCTACGACACCGAAGAGGGCTACGACAAGACCCAGGCCCAGTGGATGGGCGAGCAGCTGTCGGCCGAGTTCAACCGCGGCCAGCGCGTCCTCGGTCTGGTACGTACTGTCTCGCTGCGAACGTGGATGGGACCCTGTATCCTCCGTGACTAACAACTGGTTAATCTCAACAGGGCGACGGATGGACGAATTGATTACTGGATGTGGCTGGTATTGACAGTCGAAGAGTAGAAATACAGCTACACTGCATCAGTCTATCTGTACGCAAGTCAACGTATGGACCTCCTGTCCACATGTTTGTCGACGGTTTGTTTTGCCAGGGCGGTGGCACGAAAAGGCAGCCCTGGCGTCAGTACTCCGTACAATATCTGAATATATCTATTTGGCGAATGTCATTGTTTTATTTCGTTTGTTAAATACCGCTTTATTCTCTGCCTGTAGAAATCACTGGACGCCAGCCTTGTGTGAATTACCGCCTCCCAAAATATTCCAAAAATACTTTGAAACATAGCCCCATCAGACCCATCAGATGAATATACGCCCACCATGCGCACGACTCATGATATCAAATCAGAGGTTGGAGAGTCGTGTAATGTAAACAGTGAGTTGAGTGGGTTGGTTTCAGCAGTCAGTGGCAAATCGTACTGAAAGGAGCCTGCCGCCGGTACCCACTTATTGCCGCTCTGACCCACTCCACGACTTACACCAGTGGACCCACATCCGTGTGGCGTGCACCGTACTCTGTACTTTTGTGTTGACATGGACGCTGAATTGGGCACTTCCAAGTCGGTAAACGCCGGTTGCATATCAGGGGGAGGAGAGGATGTATGTTCACATTCAGGCCTATGAAATGTCGGACGTTGAATAGTACCAGTGATTTATGTACGTCCTTGGCTTCTCTCGTGATATCATCAATCTCGCGCAAGCCAAACATCACCACCTTTCGACATGCCCTTCTCACGACGAACAGTATGCGCCCACCACGCCCACCTGTCCACTGCACAGCGACAGTAAAGGAGATAGATCCAGGCATACCACGAACTGGCACCACCTTACAGACAGGACTAGTCCCATAACACTTCCCTAGGAAAAGGCTGAAGTGTCGACCTGTCAGTTCTGCCTTCGGTATCCCCGATGCGCGGCGAGACTGAAGGCGGTCAGTATCACACCGCTGGCCACGTTTGGCCAGACAAACAATGGCTTGTCAACATTTCAATGCATCTATTTGCGATGTGTCGTAAACATGGCGTGGCGGTTTCAACTTTAGAGTGACATCAAAAATACGTCCTTGAAAGTGACCAAGTGCCATACCAAGATGAAAGTGTACAAATACAGACCTTTCCGTTGCTGGCAACATGCCAATCTCATCCAAAGCACTCTCGTTCGTCTTGTCCTCATTCGGCCCTCATCCGTTACACGCTCTCGCCGGCCGTCAGCAATGGACATGGACGTAGACGAGGTTCGTCCAGACCCTCGTCTGGTTCTGCGCGTTGCAGAAGACGACTACTACGAAATTCTCCAAGTCAGCCCCAATGCCTCCAAAACGGTCATCAAGGCCGCCTCTGACGCTCTCCGTCTCATGAACCAGCCAACGGAAGAGGGCGCCACGCCAGAGCCCACGGCCAGCGCTAGCCTTGTATGTCTCGTTTCGTCCTCCCAGTTTTGGTTCATGCTGAACCTGGCTAATTTGGTCTTCTTGTCTTGTCTTGTGTAGATGCTGAAAGCACAGCAGATCCTTCTCGACGACCATGCGCGCCAGGCGTACGATCGACACGTCCTTCCCGGCGTCCTGACTCGGCGGGTGGCAGCACGCAGGCCCGTGCCAACCAACGCAGCGCCAACCCGTTTCGTGCCATCCCACGTAAAAATCCGGGCACCAACTGCGGGCAAAAAACGAAAGACATCCGAGCTGGACGCTAGATCGGTGGATTTGGAGCTCTACAGGATGCGGTTGACCATCCAGACCGCGGCCCAGACGGTAGACGATGACCTGCAACGGCTGACTCGTATCATCAAAGAGAGGAGGCACCTCCGGATGGACGACGATAGCAACCTCTGGTATGGTCATTTCAAGACGGCGTCCGACATCCGCGAGCAGCTCGACTGTCCAAGTTGGAGGCTACGCCTGGACATTGCCGCAGAATTGGCCAAGTCGATGAGGCACGAGCAGGCATCGCTCGAGAGATACCGGGATTGTTTCTGGGAGCATCATACCAAGCTGAGGCCGTCGCACAAAAGACAGAGACAGAATCAGAGCTGATTCCACAGGAACTGGCGGTGGATCAGGCACGTTAGGAGGTGTTGGTGGATAGCGGTAGATAGTTGGTGGTTCGCAGTCAATGGATCGAGTCGTGTTGGTTGGCATGCGTTGACCCAATCGTAGGCGAAAACAACCAGGCGATTCCAAGTGATGCAGACGAGACTGGCTCGTGTGGTCGTGGCACAAGTGCGACGTGCAGCAGTTGCAGACAACGGCGACAACCAGCCGTCAATAACAGTGGCTCCGAGAGCCGCCTCGACGTTCCCGTCGCCGCTGTGGATCGACACGGACAGGTCCTAGCCGACTCAGAGACCGTGTCGGCATCCGAGACGACCGTCGTAGTCGCCATGCCCGCGCTGCCACTGGTTTGGTGTTTGCTGGATGGCATGTGCTGGCGGACGTGCTGGCGGACGTGGTGCTCGTCTGCTAGCCGCTCCCGGACTGGCGTTCTCGGTCATGCGCGCGTCTCCATCAATGCCGTCATCGCCATGACGCGTCACGTTTCTGCAACGTGCCGTTGAGCCGTCTTTCTCGGATGGCTCTGCAAATCCTCTCCGTGCTCTGAAATGCCTCGTTCTCGCATCTGTTATCGGACTCCCGCGGAAAATCGACAGCAGTGATCACACTGTCGGACGTACTCTGCATCGCGCACTCCGTATCGCGCACTCCGTGTCCCGTCAAACGTCGTCAGTTGCCCCTGAACCGCTTTCATTCGCTCGTCAGCAGTTCGTTTCTCCATTTTCGACGTGTGCCGGCTTCCGTTTGTTGGTGCTGCCATGTGCACTTTTGAGTGTCTCTTCTAGGCAGCGCTAACAGCTTGTAGAGGCTTTCGGGAAACATTGAGCGCGTCGCCCGTGGCGGAGCCAGTGGCTTAGATTGGTGCTATTGGTGTTTTTGGCGCATTACAGTGAATGTTGGTGTGCAATGCCGGGTCTTTACCGTTCTTTATTAGGCAGTTTTCGTCAGGCTCTGGGTGTCCTTCTAGCGGTCTTGCGGTCCCGACAACAGCCGATCCACGACTACACAGTACTGTACCTTCCCTATTCTGTCGCCCACGCTTTCTCGATCCAGCATCGCGCCTTCCTTGGCGCCTCCCGGCACTGACGGATCCTTAGCCTCTTCTCCGTGTCTCGTCCCAAATGGCTGGCAACGACGTAATGGGACACCGACAGTGAGAACCATGAATCCGTCGTGGATTGATGCGGCGGGTCCCCCCTTGTATTGGTATCTTACGTGGCTGTGGCTTGACGAACGGCCTTGTGACAGCCTTGCCGTGCCTCACAAACCGGTTCTCGCCATATCCATCGTACCTTCCACATTCGCTCTCTGCTCGCTGTTCTCTGGTCGTTCTTTCTTCCTCTGCTCTCCCTCGCCCCTCCTTCCGTTACAACCCTGCACGGCAACCGCGACCCGCAGCTTGCGACGCTCAAAAGGCAAGGCTGCAGCAGTCGTTCTTTCCCCTCCTCGCCTGCCTTTCCTCTAGCTCTCCCGTGCCTGCCAAGTTATTTAGATAGCTGCAGTCGCCCACACTTTCTCGTCTTGGCGCTTTGACGGCGCGTCTCACGCCGCAGTCACAACCAACCACAACGACCTCACCTCAGACGCCACACAACCACTCAACCGCCACCATGACAGCACAGTGGCTGCCGCAGCTGCGCAAGCTGCTGCCGCTCGATGATGCCGAGCTCACTCAGATCATCGACTACACGGCCAAGCTGCCCGCCGACAAGGACGAGGAAGCCGCCAATCATCTGCAAGGCCTGCTGGGCGACTCGCCCGAGGCAACCGCGTTTGTCGCCGACTTTGTCGAGCACCGCGGCGAGGTGGCGGCCAGCCTGTCGCCGGCGCCGCCGCAGACACACAGCAGCGCGGGTCCGCCGACATACTCGCCTCCGGCAGGGCCACCGCCGGGACACGCAGCGAAAGGTGCCGACGGGCACGGCCCCAGCGGTCCCGGTCCCGACGGTGCGAACAGTGGCGGCGCATCTCTGGCCGGTGCCGACTCCGACAACGCGCCTCCGCCGCCGCCGTCCTACCACGCACGAGCCCCTGTCTCGATACCTGTGTCTGGCAATCTCTTTGGCTTCGCCAACCGCCACACCAACGCCCTCATCGAAGCCAGCAAGGTTCGCGCGCGCGACGAGCAGGAGATGCAGAACAGCCTCCAAAACGTGCAGTTTGAGCACCGCATCTACAACCCGGAAATCGAGCCCGAGCACGAGTCCGACTACTACTGCAACTGCTCGATCCACCAGTACTACCGCCGCAAAATACAGCGGCTGCCCGTGCAGCGCCTGTGGTGCGACGCTGTCATGTACCCGGGCGAGAAATTCTACTCGACCGTGTCCAACACGACGGTGCTCTTTGGCCAGAACCCGTACATGCTGCGGTGCGGCTCGCCCTTTGGCTACGGCTCATCGCGCAGCTACAACAGCCTCTCCGTGTGGGGCCCGCCGCGGCCGTCGGCGTATGCACACATGGCGTGGACGCAGAGCGTCATCAGCCTGTCGAACGACATCAACCGAAGCGCGCAGGCCTGGGTCGACAGCAAAGAACCCAAGCAGAGCATCTGGGACGTCGTGCCCAGCATGGCACAGCTGACCATCGACGCCCCGGACGACAAGGCGGATGCCAAAGGCGACAGCAGCAACACCGAAAGCGAGAAGCCGCGTGCGAGCGCAGGCGCCGGTCCCAGCGGCGCGCCTGTCAAGAAGAGCAAGTTTGCCGGCTTCAAAAAGAGCTTGGGCATCAAGTCGTCCGAGGAAAAGTCGGTCGAGTTCGCGTCCTCGCTGCGCGCCTCGATCCTCGCCGAAGAGGCCGGCCGCTGGCCCAACAGCGAGGACCGGAAGCTGGTGGCCAACTACCAAGACAAGGTGGGCATGACCCGCCACATCGCCGACCTGCGCGCGCGCAAGCCCATCCAGTATCTCCACC